GCCATGGTCCTGCCGTCCCACCTCCTAATCTGCACAGGGGCGTCCCGCTCCGTCTCCATCTCCATCTCCACCTCCTTGACCAAGACCGCCATTATCTTTTGTCTGAATGTCTATCACTGTTTCCTGTGTGGGCTTCCTGATTCTTACTTTGTTAAAAAAATAATAACAATATAAAAACAGAAAACATCCCATTGGGTTATATTTTCCATCACTGTATACAGCATGGTTCACAGGTTTGGTCATGCTAGGGCTGTCCCCTTCAAATCCCTGCCCCTTTCTACAGCCCAAATGAACTTACTGATCATTTCACTTCCCCATTTAAAATGTTTTGGAAGACTCCCCATTTTCCTGAGGATAAAGTCAGCTCCTTAGTGAGACTTACAAGGCCCTTCAGGGTCAAGCCTTCTGCTCCCTGCCCTCCCCTAATTATGAAAACAAAATGAGAAAATGACCCACAGCAGCCACTGGTGTCCCATCAGTGCTCCTAGCATGATTTGGAGGTCCAGTTGGTGTTCCAGCAATTCAAGGTTATGAATGTGTGCTGTTCAACAAGACTGATTTCATTGTCGAGGTATTTTCTCCTACAATTATACCTCCTATTTCCATTGCTTGAATTTATAATCTGTGCTACATTAAGCAAACAGCACATCTTTACTTGTTAGATCTTATCAGGTGGTTTTTTACATTCCCATTCTTCCTCTCAGCTATCTGACCTATGCTTCTCTCAGTTTCTTAAACCACCCTCTCTCTTTCCCTCCTTCCTGCCCTTCCTCCAACACTGCACCTCGCAAACTGCCCTAGATTAGATAGCACCCCCCCCCCAATTCCTGCTGCTAAAGGGAGCAGATTATAATCATTACTTTAAATCACATTAAAAGTAGGCAAATTTCGGACCCTCTCTGAGCACAAACACAAAGCCTCAGCCACGTTTCCATATTTATTGCCCAGCTTTGTGGTCTTATACTTGCTGATCTTTCCACATTGGGAAGCAAATGACAGACGAAACAGATGGGACTTGCTCAGCACCTTCCCCATCGGCACTCTGCACTCGCTCTGCCACATGAGCTGGAGAGGTGGACTGCAGACATGCACAAAGGGAGGACAGCCTGCCTTAGCCCTTCATCGTGACCCAGAAGGCAGATTCCCACTGCCCACCCATGCTGAGGTGGGACACAGCTGCATAGCTGAGACTGTAGGGGATGAAAAGCATAACCTCCTAGGCAGCTCAGAGCGGGTGAGGCAGCTCCCACTGAGCCAGGGCAGTGCTCCAGAGAAAGGTGTAACCAGCACCCACAGCACCCAGGGATGGGTGCATCGTCCTAGTGCACCTGGCCTGTGCACCATCAGCCTCTGCTGCTGTCAGTAATTTCAAAAAATATTAAACGTGAGCCAAATAAAGCATACCTGCAAGACCTTTTTATCCAGTCAGTGGCCATTTTCACCCTCTTATATGGACGTTCCCAGAATCCAAGCTTCGATGAATCAGCAAATTAAAAGTCACTGTCTACTGCAAGGGTACCCCTCTTTTTCAAGACCTTGTCTGCACCGCAGAGACTTCAGTGGCTGTGCAACGTACACCATTCCATCTCCAAATGTGGTCTAAACCACAATACACAGCATTACCTGAAACACCAGCCTGTTCTTTGGGTTTTTGTTTTGATGGAACACTGCATCCAGTGAAGGGAGACCAGGAAAGAAGAGTGGTGGACTTCTTTTAATTTGTAACACAAAAGATTGCATCAATCGTAATTTACCCATAAATTGAAAATCAAACATGAAAAAGGAAATCACTGAGCCCAAACCAACGTGGCTGACGGACAGTGTGTCTGACATTGACACAGCCCTGTCACAGCTGAGGGGAGGGTTTCTTTGCTGGCTCCTTCAGCAATCCTGACTTGGGCAGCTCTGCAACTGGAGCAGTATTGATTTTCCTTGTTTGCCACGCATTCTGTTTTAAAAATAACTGAATCTAATCCTGTTTGGGTCAGCATAACAGGAAAGTAATCATCTGTTCCTGAGAGCAAAATGAAATTTGATCCAAAGAACTCTCCCAATATTCTATATCAATTCTTTGAAGGAGGTTTTCCATTTTAATGATAAGTTAAAGCCTTCATTATGATGAAGCTTTCTTTGTCTGCTGCCTGTTAGCAGTGGGGCAGCTTTACCAGTCTCCTTTGTTTCCAAAAGACCTCTTGCTTCCCCAATATCTAGGTAGCATTGTCAGCTGAGGTGTTTTTTTCCCTCAGGTCTGCAGACTCTCTACAGCTTTTTATTCTTACTTTTCAGATATTCCCATATGCTTTTTTTCCCCATCCAAACCGCATCCTAGGGGGGTGCAAATTTTGAATAAGAGTGCTGTTATGTGGGGCAGGGACCTGCAGAGTCTCCCCAGAGAGTCTGCTGCCCTGGGGTGATTTAATAAATACTCCGAATCACCCTCTGCTGGTCTTCACTGTCCCGAGCTGGTTAGGCTGAGTGACGGCCCCACATTAATTATCAGCTCCAGCCCTTCACTGTCCTCTGGCTTTTCCTACCCACGATGGGTCCTAAATTTGGCTCTACATTAGAATCAACCTGGGAAGACATTAAACATCTAACTCCAGGGCCCTACTGAGACCTGAAGAATCAGAATTTATCCAAGGATGAGGTTCCGGAGTCTAATGAGCCTCCCAGCACCCAGTCCCTCTGTCCTTTGCCTATAATGGTATGATTTCAGCCCAAGACATTGTCAGCCAGAGACACCTGACCTGAAAGGAGCCAAATGGAAGCTTGTGGAAGATGAAAAGAGCTGTTCCATGCTCTTATAAGGCCATCCTGGGTGAGGATGGAGGTGAGGTACCGAAGAGCTAAATTACCCTGCCTACCTGTTCTTGTTCAACCATCCTTCTATCCATCCATCCATCCAGTCAGACCTGTACTGAGCTCATGCCCCATGTCTAAGACCCTGGGCTTTGTGAGTGGTGAAGAGGAAAGACTTTGAACCCTGCCCTCCAAGAGCTCACAGTGCTTGGTGGTGCTTGGGTGGTGCTAGCCCAGTGTTTCCCCAAGAGGAAACCTAACTCGTCTCTCTTCTTGAAAAGAGCAAGTGGGAGTCAACTCAAGTCTTCATCAGGCAAGAAAGTAATGACATTAATTTTTCCCATCATGCTGATTTTTCTAAATGTGGTAGATAAAACTAGTTTTTAACTTACTGTAATGATACAAGGTTTTCCTTGAAAATAAGCCTACTGATTAACACCACAATGTGCCTTCACTTCATACTCATTTGAATAGTTACAATTTAAAATACTGAATACCAAGTATGGGTGAAGACGTGGGCCAACCAGAACTCTCATCACTGTGGGTGGTTGTGTAAATTGGTGTAAAGTCACTTTGGGAAATGGGCACTTTCCTATAATTTTAAACATATATATACCATACAACCGAGCAGTTCCCTTTCTTGGAATTTACATGAGAGGAATGAAAACATAATGTCCACAGAAAGACAAGTACTCATTTGTTCTTAGCAATTTTATAGTATTAAAAGCTGGAAAAAGCCAAGGTGTCTTATCAACAAGATGATGGATAAACACTCTAGTCATCACACATACTGTGGAATACTGCTCAGTGATGAAAAAGAAGAGACTACTGCCCCTTGCTACAGTATAGATGATTCTCAAAACTACTATGCTGAGCAAAAGAAGTCAGACACAGGAGAGTACATATTTAGGATTCCACTTACATGAAACTGTAGGCACAGCTTAATGTACAGTGGTAGAGAGCTGATGAGTGTTCATCTCGAGGAAGGGTTGGGGGTTGATTGGGCAGAGGCAGAAGGGAACTTCTTAAGATGATGAACATTTTAAGTGCTATGTACATTAATATGGTAGTAATTATACTGGGAAGGTATGTGTGTGTGTGTGTATACATATATGCAAAAATTCATCAAACTGTATGTTTAAAGTGAATGTTAGCTATACCTCAATAAAATGGATTTATTAAGTGATACTAAACAAGGCAGAAATCATGAAGTTGGAGGGTAGTGGAACATCTGAAGTTTAGGAAATGCCACTCAGGTGAAATGGACAGTATCCTAAAAAATGAGCACGTGAAATGCTGTGAAACTTCAGAGGAAGATGGGAAGTGGTGGGAGCTTCATAAAACAGATAACATTTCTCCTGAACCTCTTGAGATAAAGTAGATAGCACATGGGGTCAGAATCAATATCTAAGTGAAATTGGGTTGAAATTAATATCAGGGGCCTGAGATGGGAGAGGGGAGGTATCCTTAAAAAAGCCCTTACACCCTGGGAAAACAGTAAGAATGAGGGTGACCCCACCACTTTGGCCTTTATAAGGTCCTTTCTGTGAAAACTGAACATAAGACCTGTACATAAGGCTTTTAGTACCAGCTGGTGCAGTCACCCGCTTTCCCCCTTGGCCCTTGGGGGCTCTGAGAACTTGAGTGGTGACAAAGCAAACTGGCCAGGCCAGGACCAGGGTGAGGCAGTCAAGCCACCCAGAGCAAGCATGATGGGAGGCGGGGTCCCACAAGGGCTAAGCCCTCACTACCAGGACCTGGGAGTGCGTGCCTCACAACCTTATCCTGCTTTCTGCTAAGCTGGGAGCAGGAGCCCGAGTGACTCATTAATTCCGAGCTATGCCTGCGTGCCCCTGCAGGCCATGCACTGTGTTAGAGGTCGTATTAGATACAAGTCCCCAGTGAGCTCACGGTCTAGCAGGAAGGGGGGGTACAGTGTGTGAGGGAAGCCCGGGGGCCACGGGTTCTCAGAGAAAAGACACTTGACCCATATTGGAAGGGGCTGATCAGCAAACTTTTGGAAAACGTGAAACCTCAGTTATGAAGTGAGGAAGGTCAGTCCAAGAGAGGGGGGTGGGGCAGTCCCATCTCGACCTGCCTGGTCTAGGAGTTGGAGTTTGGCCTCCAAGAAAGAGCCCACCAGGCACTGACCTGCAAGAGCTGAAGTGACTGTGTTTCCCCGCCCACCCTGTGTTTTGTAGGTTTGCGACAAAGAAGCCCGACAGTGCCCCCTTGTCCCAAGAGGAGTCCACCCCAGTGACCTTGGCATCTGTCAGCTCGGCTGCAGTCCCAGCAATAGAGTCCCCTGAGATTGACCTAAGTGATTTTGTTAAGTAAGTGCCAACTCAAAGCCACAATGTGTTTCTTTAAATAGCATTCTTTACACTGAATTATATTCTCAAACTCATTCTTCATATCCTTCATTTATTCTTCCAGCAGTGTAATGAGTTAGTCCCTTTGCTGGGCATCTGGGATCCAGAGTTAAAAATCATCTCTGCTCTCAGAGAGTGTAGCCTCCTGATTCCTGAGAGACTGAGCCCTTCCTATCATGTTGCCTTCTCCATCTGCCCAAGGTCTGCAGCCAGGGTCAGGTCAAGTTTGTTTAGAAGGCAGAGAAGGATGTGACAATGGGCCAAACCTTGTAGTCTCACGATAAAAATGTTCCAATAAATGATGAAGCTTAACATTGAGCACTTGGGGGGCACATCCAAATTGTTTTAAGGGTTGCCCGAGCTTTTGAGAACTTCTGTAAGTCAGATAAGGGCTTCATAGGCCAGGAAAGAAGGGTTGAGGCCTCTGGAAAATTGGCCAGTGTGATGCCTTAGACTTCATGTTTGGGGCAGGGAGTAACAGAGCACTGACCAGCTTGAGAAAAGTGTCTCTTGAGTGAGAACCTCACTTATTCTTTGGGGTGCAGCAGAGGGGAGAGGAAGACGGGGCCATCATGCAGCTGGAGACTGTTGTGACGGTGGCTGAATGAGTGATTCTCCACATTTCATTAAACTCCCTAGGACTATTATTGTGGATGAAGAAGTTGGATCTGAAGAAAGAGAAAACAAAAAAGCACAAGTGCCTGCCCTGGCCACCTCAGACGTATGGTTTCCTTTCTCTGGGGCGAGTGGGCTATGAATCTTTTTCCGGGTCACTTTCCAACCAAACACCCACAGAACCATCACCTCAGTGACAACCCAGACACCTCAGCACATAGATTTTCTCTGTAACTAACGGAAAAGCCAGTTGCCCTTGACCTTGGCTATCATGCATTCTTCCCAGCCCTTAGATAGAGGCTACAAAAGGAGAACTGTCTTACATGGTTAAAAAAAAAAGAAAGAGCAAGAGAGTTTATGAATTTATACTCTTAAATTCTCCTTCTAGAATGATGGCCTAAGGAAATAATCAGGAATGATTATTACAATATACAATACAATATGTATATTGTATATACATAGATGTATATACAAAGGTGTATGTAAAAATAGCAAAAATAGAATTGAGAAAATAAATTGCTTTGTGTCCATGATGATCTCCAATCTTTTAAAATAGGATTTGTCTCAATAGTGGCAGAGTGGGGGGAAGCAAGCATTTTCACACTTTGTAGGTAGGGGTATGAATTAGCGCAGCCTTTTTGACAGGCAGTTTCGCTGGTGAATCAAAATTTAATGGACAAGGAAATGGCAACCCACTCCAGTATCCTCACCTGGCAAATCCCATGGACAGAGAAGCCTGGCGGGATACAGTCCATGGGGTTGCAAAGAGTTGGACATCACTTAGCAACTGAGCACATCAAAATTTAAAATACACAGTTCCTCTACTACAGTACTATTCTACACATATACCTTTAGGTTTATATAATGACAGGTAACTGTCCTTGTACATAGCAGCTTTATTGGAAAAAGGAAGAAAAATTGAAAACCACTTAATTCTGCCAATGAGAGACTGGTTGAATATATTACATCTGCACAAGGCAATACTATGAAGTCCTTTTTTAGAAAATGAGAACTTTTTTCTTTTTACTGATTTGGAGTAATCCCTGATACATTAAGTGAAAATACTACATGTTCTGTTTTTTAAAGTATTTTAAATTATGCCTGTAAAGAATATTTAGTCATATGGGAAGGTGTCAATCATGCTATAATGTTAACTGAAAAATCAGAATATAAATGTATTTGTATATACTCACACTATGCACACACACATATATAAATCTGCAGAATAACCTGATGATTGATTTGTATTTTGACCTTTTAAGCTTTCTGTGTATTTTTAAGATGTCATAGAAAACTTAAGAATATAGGAAAATGAAAGCAAAAATTTTCAAAATTGCACCACTCATAGAAAAACTTTAGCAACTTAACCTCCCAGATATCTCTATTTGCATATGAAAATCTGAGTGAATTTATACACACTCACACTTGCAGGTGTGATACATAGGCATATGTAATATCACACAGATGAGATTAAATGGTTGCATGGCATCACCAACTCGATGGACATGAGTTTGAGCAAGCTCCGGGAGTTGGTGATGGACAGGGAAGCCTGGCGTGCTGCAGTCCATGGGGTCTCAAAGAGCCGGACATGACTTGTGTTATGAACTGAACTGAGTATTACACAAATGGAACTGCTTTTTTACTCAGTAATGCGTGTCATCCCTGGTCCATAAACGCACACTGCATCATCCTCCACAGATAGAGGTACCACACACACTTCACTTAGAGCAACCCCCCTACTTGCCTAGTGATAGGCATTTAGTTTACTTCCAGAGTTTTGCTGTTATAAATAACACTGCAGTAAACATCCTTGTGCATACATCTTGGACACTTGCCCAGTTATCTCCCAGCCAGTGGCGGGGGCAGGGGGGGGTGGGTGGGTGAGGGGAAAAGTGCTATTTTTAAAATATATGCAACCTACTGCATTTTTCTGTCAGTGAAGGGGGAGGAGCACATTGATAACAAATTATGAATGCTTACAAGTTTTTCCTCACACCTCAAATCCCTAGGGATTGAAAATGAACTCTGCTGAAACAGAAAGAATAGATGTGAACCAGAGCCACAGGGAGTTTCAGGAATCCCCATGGAGCTTTGAACGGGATGAAATGTTGTCCATTGGGGTAGAAGAAGTAAGTTAACACCTCATGGGCCCTAGAGTCATCTGATACTAAGTCTTCTTACTGAGCACCTGCCCGCAAGTTAGAAATTGAAACTTTCCCAAGCACTATTACTGCCTTATCATCATATATTTTCAGAGTGCTGAGTTAGTCACCTTTCATAGAATCAAGCAAGGTAAAGTGAGGAGTCAGTCTGTAAGTTGGCTGAACTTCAGCCTACCCTTTGCAGACCCTCCTGTGGAACGACTTTCTCTGCAGGTGTTTGATATTTTGCCCCTCTATGGAGTGCTGCGGCCACACAGTAGCCACCAGATATCATTCACCTTCTATGGACACTGTGACATCATTGCACAGGCTAAGGCTCTGTGCGAAGTGGAAGGAGGACCCACCTATGAGATCATACTAAGGGGAGAGGCCTCCCTGGTCAACTATTCCTTTGACACCAAGGATATTAACTATGGATTACAGGTATTGCCAGCCATCGGGAGGAGAGTTTCTGGGTTTGCCTTCAATATTGGTCAAAGTCCTTATGCTCTCATCGCTCCTGGAACCTGCAGTCTTCATAGTCTCACCATCACCCCTGTCCTTGATCCCCAATCTGCTTCCTAACCCTGATCATCTTCCTACTGCCAACCACGTGGCAGACATTTTCACTTGCTTTTCTTATTGTCTCCTCAAATTCTGCATGTTAGACCTTAAAATTTGGATCTTTATTCTCAATCCAAAAGCCCACCAGCTGCTTTCTTTCAGTAGGACCACTCCTTTCTCAGCCCCTTGAGTTTATGACCTCTATGGAATTTTCCACTGCACTGTGTCCCTCACCTCCCCACATCCTTACACCCTCCAGAGTTTGTTCCTTCATCAAGCATAATTCTTCTGAGCTGGTTTTCCTTTCCCATCACCAATGCAGTTATCATACTCCAGGATCTCATCAAGCCATGCCTAAATTACTACTCAGACTATGATGTGTATACGAATCACCTGGAGTCCTGTTCAAGTGCAGATTCTGATTCAGTAGGTCCACGATGGAGCCTGAGACTCTGCATTTCTAACAAGCTCCCAGGTGATGTCAATGCTGCTGGTCCACGGACCCATGGAGACAAGGGATTACAATGCATTCCTGGCTTCTACCTATAACCCATCTAAATATCACTGTCAGATAGATTTCCCCAGATTACATTTTCATGCCATCAGTCCCTGAACAGTTAACCCCAGCGGCATTTGGAAAAGCAGCATAGAGAAGAGAACATTGCTTTGTGGTCAGAAGACCTGGGAGGTTATCTTACTTTTACTTCCTACTGACTGTGATTGTCACCAGCCTCTCAAAATCTCAGCGTCCCTCATCTATAAAATGGGAATGGGGTAGCAATTCCTATTTTGCCAAGTGGTTATGGTTTCTCTAGTGTCTTGTCAGTACTGTGCCTGGATCAGAGAATGCATTCAATCATGAGTCACTCTGTGGATCAGAGCCAGGTTCCTCCACCTGGGTAAGGGTATCCTAAGTCCCTCTGTTAACTGATACTCCCTACATATTGAACTTTGTTTCTCATGATTTCCCACTATAAACCATTTATTCATTTATAGTCAGACTGGTTTACCCACTAGCCCTAATGCACCCAGCCCTTTCTGCCTCCATCTTTCCTGTTGTATTATCCCTTTCATCCTCCACTCTGCCAACTCCAAACTCACACATACTGTGAGACCCAGCTCAGCTCCATCCCTCTGTTACCTTCCACCTGCACTATATTCTCTTGGCACTTAAGTATAGTCTTTACCATAATATAATAATATAATGTGCTTTCTAAATCTTGCTTTGGAATAATTGTCAATTCTATGTCTGTACAGCTTCTCTTCCCAATTAGGATTAGTGTTATGTACTCAGATACTGTATCTCCTACCAAATTTTAATGGGGATTAGACTCCCCATTATATAGCCACTGCATGTATTATTACTGAATTGCATGTGTACATGTATAAGTTAAAGACTGTGCTGAAAATCAAATTCACCCAACACCTATTGACATGTTGACTAAATAGAATTCTCTTTCACTCCTTATCTCCAAGGTCTTCTGGGTGATTGGTTCTGGCTCAGCTCAGAGTACTTCCTTTGAAGCAGCTAGTTCTTGCCCTAGTTTATTCTAAGAACCCCATAAGTGGCTTCAGTTTGTGATTATTGGACCTTTTGGATTGTGTTAGCAAAATCTCAGGAAAAAGAACATGTCTGGCCTATTTCTCCCATGTCTCTCTGTAAAAATAGAAACATTCACTCTAGAAAATTCTGAACTCAAATCTTATCCAAATCTTCTTAATGTAAAAAATCTCACTTTAAGATCCTCTAATATGAATTCCTTGTGGTGAAGAAAGAGGTCTAAGGAGATCACCCACAGCTGTACTGAACTAAATTAGCTGTTAGAAGACCTAAGACTAGAACCAGACTCCAGGGTCCAGTGCTCCTCCCACCCAGGAGGCACCTGGTTGTGCTACTAAAATGTGGATTGGCCAGCATCTACCCCCTGCAGGAGGGCCCGCAACCCGCTCCAGTATTCTTGCCTGGAGAATCCCATGGACAGAGCAGCCTGGCGGGCAACAGCCGTGGGGTCTCAAAGAGTCAGACACAACTGAACAAACTTAGTACACAGCACACACCTCATGGAAAATGAAATACGTGTATGTGAGGCATGCTTGTCTACCCACCTCGGTCAGGATGACGGCAGAATCTCGGAGGGTGGTGGCAGGGGAGTCACTCTGTTCCTTTTTCTCCTCTCAAGCTGTTCGACCATGTCACAGAGAATGAAATCACACTCAAGAACACTGGGAAAGTTGGCTTTGAGTTCAGGGTTCTGACTGACCCCCAGTCTTCCCCAGACAGCCTTCTACCAGGAGTGCCACTCATCCAGCCTCTCTCAGTAAGTAGCCTGCCCCACACCCCCCCATGACAGCCATTGATCATGGTAGGAGGGGCCCAAACTCAAACCTGCAAGCCACACCCTAGAGCGTATATATAACATGGTATGTAAAATATATAAAGTTTCATTTTATACATTTTTATTTTTGTGTTATTCAAGACACAAGATTTAATGACTATTAAGTGTTCTTCCTGGACTGTATATTTTACCTATTTTAAATAACCACTTTCTTCCCTTTTAATGCTGTTTACTTTGAATTCTTCTTTGTTTATTAATATTAATTCACAATATTAATATCACATCTTTTGAAGTAGCATTGTAACTGTCTTTCACAAGGTTTGGTATGTTGTTTTTACTGTGGTTTGGTTCTAGACATTTTATAGTAATCATGAGTATATCTTTTTCTTAGTTATATGTTCATTCCATCATTCTGGCTTCCTGGTAGCTCAGCTGGTAAAGAATCTACCTGCAATGCAGGAGACCCTGGTTTGATTCCTGGGTTGGGAAGATCCCTTGGAGAAGGGATAGGCTTCCCACTTCAGTGTTCTTGGGTTTCCATGGTGGTTCAGACAGTAAAGAATCCGCCTGTAATGCGGGAGACCTGGGTTCAGTCCCTCCATTGGAAAGATCCCCTGGAGGAGGTCTTGGCAACCCATTCCAATATTCTTGCCTGGAGAATCCCCATGGACAGAGGAGCCTGGTGGGTTACAGTCCATGGGGTTGCAAAGAGTCAGACATGACTGAGCGACTCAGCACACAGCACACCTTCATCCTGAGGATCTGTGTCTTTCATTTCTTATCTCTTCAAGTATTGCTTCTACCCTACTTTCTCTAGTCTTTCTCTAGTCTGCTAAAGCAAATGTTAGACATATGTTGGACCTTCTCACTCTGTCCATGTTTCTTAACCTATATTGCACATGTGTATCTCTTTACTGTTTATCTCTCTATACTGTTTTCTAGATAACTACCTCAGCTCTTTCAGTTAACTAATTTCCTTTTCAGTTGAGTATAATCTACTTTTTAACCCTACTCTCTTAATTTCAGAAATTCCATCTGATTCACCACTTTCACTTGGAATTTTAATTTCTTCATTTATCACTAATCATTTTGTACATTCTTTTAAATTTTTCTAATTGAGTTATTATTATTCCTATTTATATGACTGTTGACTCTCTTTCATTATCAGTGCTTTCCCTGTATGATATGTAATCTTTGACTTAGGGTCATCTTCAGCTGAGATTGTTCTCTCTGGGAGAGCCTCATTCACCCTGGATTGTAATGTGATGCTACCAATAGTGTTGCACTTGTTTTTGCCAGGTACCTCAAGGGGTCAGATTTTGAGTTAATACTTTGACCTGGATTAACCACAGTGATCTGTCAGTGTACATTAAGACTCCTTAAGTTTTCATGACTCAGGCTTTTTCTTATCTTCATTCTCTAATTTTTCCTCAAAGAATATACATCAGTTGTAACATCAAAAGACAATAAAATATGTTAAAAAACTATTAGAGGCCCCTTCAAAGATGACTTTTAAAGTACTTCTAAATAACTTGAATCTATAATAGCATTTTCCCCAGTTTATATTCTAGGCTGATTTGCCTTTTCTGGTAGTTTTTTACCATAAAATTCTCCTACTTTTATTTTCTGATTACTGACCTAGAGTCCTTATTTTGTGACTTTATTCACAATTTTTAAGATTTGTTATATTATATTTGATGTATAGAGAAGATATCCATGTCACATGTGTTTGACTTATAGAGCATTATAAAAAAATGAATACCCATGTACCTACCACCCATCTTCAAACTCAGAACATTACTAATATATTTGAAATCACTTGTGTGTTGGTGCATTCAGTTCAACATACTGCAATCTACCCAGGATCTTTTTGTCTCTCATATGCTTTCTGGCTACCCCTGGGCCAGCAACCACTAGTCTGAATTTTATGTTTGTCATTCTCTTTGTAAAATACAGTTTTATTATATATGTATGCATCTTTACATCAAGTACTTTTAGTTTATCACTTTATCAAAACTTCTAAGCACCTGCAATGACCAGGTATTTTTCTAGAACTTGTAATTGAATAGTAAACAAAATATACAGATACCTGCCCTCATGGAGATTTTGTTTTATGGGATTTTGCTTTATCTTGAGCTTTATAAAAATGTCATCAGTACCTGTAATTTGTGCAATTTTTCCCCCTAATATTTAGTTTTTAAGGTTAGTCTATATTGTTGCATGTAGCTACAGTTCATTTATTTTCACTAATGTACAATACTCATTTTGTAACTACTACATTGAAAGTAGTTTTCCTTTTCCCTGACAAAACACATTTGGGGATTCCCCCCCACCCCCGCCCAAGTTTTGCTGTTAAATAATCCTGCTATAGATACTCTTGTATCTGTGTCCCAGCCAACAGGTGGAAGAGTTTTCACAGAGAATTTTCCTAGGAGTGAAATTTTGAGGTCATAGGCTAGGCATTTGTTCAACTTTATAAGGAGGTGCTAACACAGTTTTCATGGTGATTTTTTCTGTGAAAAATCTGGTGATTTCCCACCAGATGGAAATGAGTTTCTTTTGGTTCATAGTCTTACTGAAATTTGGCAAAGTTTGCCAATCTTATGGTTAAAATTCTTTTCATTATGATCTTAATTTCCATTTCCCTGATTACTTGAGAATAAGCAGCTTTCACTGTGTTGACTTGCTGTTCCGGTTTCCTCTTTTATGAAATGCCTGCCCATATATGCTGCCTATTTTCCTATTGTCTGTCATTTTCTCACACCTGCATAGGAATGAATCTTGGGAGAGCAGTGTGAGTGGACACTATGGCATACACTAAGCCCTTGGGATTATTCAGTGCATCAAACTGCTGGAAGCAAGAGTCTATTGTAAATTTTACTTAAAGTTCTCTCTGATCTTTCTGCTGCATAGGGTTTTATCAGTTCCCATAAAGAGCAAGTGTTGAAGGTTTATTACTTACCTGGAGTGCCTGAGATCTTTCAAAGAAGTTTCCAGATACAGATTGCCCACCTGGACCCAGAAAATATTACTCTGAGTGGAGAGGGAATCTTTCCCCGAATCTCCCTCGATCTCCCCAGGAACCTCAAAGGTACTTCTACCCCCTGTAATATTTCCCCACTGGATAACAAGATGCATTTTAGCTGCTTATCAAAAGAGTGCCAGCAGTCTGCATTATTTGGGTGGCAGCCCTCCCTTTTGTGTTATTCCTCAGTTGCAAAACACATCAAGAGTTGAAATTGACTGGATTACCCGAGATGAGTGCAACAAGATACATCCATGACAGTCCCAAATTAAGATGTTTGGCCAATTTTGCCATTATTAAATTACAGAGTGATCAGGACTTCGTACTTCCAAATGCCTTTTCGTCCATGGCATGTTCTTTCCAGCTGCACTCTCTCCCTGAGTTGTCACTAATGGTTGGCCATTGAGAAGGCTATAGCTAATTTTACTGCAAGGAGTACAATTCTCAAAATATAAACTGTAGAGAGAAGCAACCAAGGTTCCAACCCCTTATGCTGGCATTACTCAGTTTGGGGGCTAATTTAGACTGTTATTAATTGTCTGCCCACATCCCTAGCCAAGGCTTTTCTGGGCAACATCCAGCTCCTGGAGCCATCACTGTGTACCAGAGTATTTCTGTCAAAGCAGATTCTGAAGCTCAACTAAGCAGCTTTTTGAGCCATGGACTGACTCTGGCTCTTTCTTTCTGACATGGGCTGCAGGATGAGGAGTCAAGAGAAACTTGTCACTCTTCAGGTTCCTTGAAACCCACATCCCCTAAGCAGCTTCAGACTAAGCTCTCCCTCCTCAGCCTTTCCTCCTACCCCACTCCCCAAAGTCACTAACTCACCTGTTGATTCATTATATCCCGACTGTCTGCTTCCTGAAAATATGAACACAAATATTAATAAATCTAAGACCATGTTACTTTCTAGCATCTAGAGTTCCAACCAGACATAGGTTAGTCCAGCTCCACATACAATTTCAAGAAGGAAACCCTTTGCCTCATGGCTGAAAACTGGATGCCAATCTGGCCTCTTTATGGCAGTACACATGTTTAACCAATTCAGAGCTTTAAAATAATTTAAATCTGAGTATTAGTTGGGTCTTCACCACAGTCTGAGCACTTCCTGTGGTTTCACAGAAGACATTTTAATTATTTTATCTACTTGGGCGTTTGAATTTGTGCTGGCTTACTGGTGAACTTGGGTGTTTGACATTTCTCCCGCCATTGCCCGCCCTCCCTGATTCAGGGAGACTGTAGCTTATTTAGTTTTAGTTAAAGCAACTTGAATCAAATATGTTCTTTTAGTTAATAGATAATCAATAAACATGAAGACCACCCTAAGGGTGACCATCCACCTGGGTTTGTCCAACATGGAGAGGTTTCCCAAGTGGTACAGCCGTCTGTGCTTAAATTGGCAAAATATCAAGTAAGCTGTTATCCAGTTGGTCACCCCACAACTGATTCAGGGTGTTACTGCCATAAAGTTCTTGAGAACTAGATAGTAGCTCACTAAAGCATGGTGTTATTAACTTCAGTGAGGTCTCTGGTACAAAATATCCTCTGAAGCAGAGAAAACATGGCAGGCGAAGTATCACAAGGTTCACTTCCCTTCTCACTTTATTGACCTTGAGCTTTGAATCTATGTTTTAGGCATAATTCATATATTTCTAGCCATCCAGATTTCCTTCTAACTCCAACCCCCACAGGAAGTGAAAAGTATGAGATCTTCTTAAATCAGGCCAGAAAAAACCTAGAGAAAGAGTGCAATAAACGTGAAACGCTTGATCACTTAGAGACACCAGAGGAGAATGTGCCTGATGATGAACCTTCTGAGGTAAGAGTGGCCTCCCTCTGCACAGGAACTAGAATCACAGGAAGCTGCAAGAAAAAAAAAAGTTTTTCCCAATGGTAACATCTTTTGTAACTATAGAACCATATAGAAACTAGAAAACTGACATTGGTACAAGCCACAGAGCTTATTCAGATTTCATCCGTTTTATATGTACTCATGTGTGTGTCTATCTGCATGTCTACTTGCGTATGCATATCTATATATGTGTGTGATTCTACCCAATTTTTCCATGTATAGCTTTGTGTAAACACCACCACAATTAAAACACAGAAGTGTTTCATCTCCTAAGTATCCCTTGTGCTTGTTAAGGGAAAATAGAATTACAAACAAACTCTCATTCCAACCCACAAAATCTTTCCACAAAGAAAGAATCCAAGTTTATTATTGATAAACATTAAAGTAGAAAGTGCTCCATGTTTCTGCTAGTCTGCTAGGAGATTGCAAAGACAGAAAGAAATCTCAGTCTTTCATGGAGCCAAGCAGATACAATCCCACTATATATAATATATAATCCCCCATTATATGCAAGTTCTCAAAGTAACTAGTCCTTAAGAACTATAACTAGTCCTCAGGTAAGAGGACTTGACAGCACCATTTGTCACACTTAGTTCATGCTGTACTCACATGGTAATTGGAATGACCATCTGTGTTAGCTAATTGGCTTTACCCAAAGGGAAAACAAACCTCTTGTGTTTTTATGATAGAGTCCTCTGAAGTTGGACTCTGTCCTCCCACGGAAACTGGGAGATGGGGCTCTGTATTCCTTGATGGTGATACAAAGATGTCAAACCATGTCAAAGAGATGGTTCCCAGGTCCTTGAGAAAGACACTCCTGGGTTATGAAGCTGACAAAAGGCTTACTCTCTAAAAATATTTATATATATATTTCTAAGAGACAAAGAAAGAACTTGCAAGTTTTCTTAAGTAAATGCGCAAGAAAAGTGAAGCTGAAATAAGTTTTCATCCTTATTTTTAACAGGGGGAATTGAGCCTCTGTATTTTTTTGGCTGTGCCACACAGCTTGCAGGATCTCAGTTCCCAGATTAAACCTGGACCACAGCAGTGAAAGTCCAGAATACTAACCACTGAGCAACCATGAACTCCCTTGAGCCTCTTATTTTTAATTTGTTTTTGCCCTTACATGCTTACATTGATGTAGCCGTCCCCAGGCTCCTCACCCCTTTTTGCTTAGCAACCACTATAGTTCTCCATCTCTGTACTCTTGTTATGAGCATATAAGTTATATAAATGGAATCATACAATATGCAACCTTTGGAGATGTTTTTTTCATTCAGCATAATGCCCTTGAGAACCATTAACATAAATGGTTCATTCCTTACTTCATTGCTGAGTAATATTCCATGGCATAGATGCACAGTTTGTTTAGCCTACTCTATCCTGCAATAAAAATTTTAACCCCATAGTTATACTGTATATCTATTTATGTACTCTGACCCTTTGGAGGGCCACAAGCCATTGCAATATCTAAGATTTTCTGACTTTCCCTCCACAAAGTAGTTTTTGCCTTTGGGGTGATATTGCCCCCACTGAGAATGCATATTCTAAAAGAGTTTATTCACTTGCTCTTCTCTCTTGCTCCAGTTAAATCCTCACCTCCAGATGGAAGTAGAGCGACTTATAGTCCAAGACTATGCCATAGAACATCAGAAATCAATTGTCCCTGGTTCCACGGATGACTTCTACCATCGGAGTCGCCGTAAACCAATCAAGTAAGCGACATTCCCTGTCATGTTTGTTTCAGAATGTAGCAGAGCTGGTGGTGTTCTCCACCAGAATGCTCCCTGAATTAATGGTTGATCGTGTTGGGATGAAATCCATTCGCTTCACATATCTGCTGTTCTCCAGCAGCCAGCCAGCCAGGCAGGTCTCTGCCTCTTAGAAACCTCCCACTTTGTGTAATAGACAAGCTGGGCTTCAGGTGCTTAAGGACCAGCACTGACTGCATTTAGAGATGAGGGCTAAAGCAGAAGTCCCCTGGGGGAGGTGTCTCATCTCTAGCCTCCATTCTGGAGAGTGGTGGTTCTCTACCCCACAGAAGGGACTTCTGCAGAGGATAGAGAAGAGAGCCTCACACTGTCTCACATATGGAAACGCAAGTGGTAAGGAGAGCTTGTTCACTGTTTCAGAGTCCAGCTACCAGAATATGTCCTGGACTTTGGCTACATCATCCTTGGTGACGTCCAAACCCACATCATCAAGATCACCAACACCAGTCACTTTCCAGTGTCCTTCCATGCAGAGAAGCGTGTCCTTCATGACACAGGTGACCAGGCTGGAGACCCTTCCTATTGTATGCTGTCATTTCTGACAAGTTTCCCAGCTGTACTGTCCTGGAGAGGTGGTTGTGTTTCTTCTGGGATCAGCTGAAAGAAGTGTTGGGCTATTAATCGATACTTTGAGGGATTGTCCTGCCTCAGATGGGCTCTCTCTAGAGCAGCTCTTGACTGCTACTTTTCCTTCCCACAACATTTTGTTTGTCTTGGCCCAGGCTTCAGTATTGAGCTAGATCGTGTGAAGAATCTGCCTTACTGTGAAACGGAAACATTTGAAGTGAGATTCGACACACAAGGGGGCAATGTTTCTGTTGGCAACAAAGAGGTCATTCTGCCCATCAAGGTAAGACGCGCCACTGGGTCCAGCTGATCCTCCCAAGCTTCCAGCCCTGCTTGCTGACCACCCTGTGATGATCCACAGCTATTTCAAAGCCATGATTCTTCCTCCAAGCCTGTGCTATGTGGTAACAGCAATTTTATGCCCACTCTAGGTGGTTGGAGGGCCACCAGTTCATATCTGTCTCCAAGCCAAGGTGACCATTCCCAGTATGACACTGTCTTGTGGAAAAGTGGAGTTTGCCACAATTCAGTGTGGACAGTGCCTTGTGGAAACTATTCAGCTTTCCAATCATCTCCAAGTCCCTTGTGAATGGTTTGTCCAGAGCCATAAGCAAGTTGTTAGTAAGGTAAGGGAGTTTTGGCCCTTTGTCGCCTTTTTTCCATCTCCATTTGTGCCAGTTTTATAATTCTAGACTTTCATTCTCTTCATTTCACCCTCCTGCTCAAAGACTTTCAGTGACAACCACTGCCTCCTGAATAAAATGTAGCCCTCAGCCCAACACTCAAGGGCCTATCAGGCCATGCTATCTGGCAAATATCTTATTTATCTTTGTCCCCCTGGCTCCACACATCCCCTGACACCAGGGAGATAATCAGTAAACACAGGTTGAGTGAATGGAGAATGGAATCATTTTCCAAAGAAAATGATCTAATTGTCTATTATTACTTCACCAGCTGGAGAAACACATGCCAAAATACTTAAGACGCAAACTATGCGCTGAATTAAAGCCAAAGACACGGATCTTTGAGATTCAGCCCACTTGTGGGGTCCTGGATCCTGGTGAGAGGTCCAACGTGCAAGTGAAATTCATGCCCAAAGAGGAGGTAAGCTCTAAAGAAATGTAGTCAGACTCCCTGGATCTCTTTGAGATTTACTTGAAGTCCATGCTTAATTGATCTCCAGGGAAGCTTTGAGTGACCTGTCCCTCATTGTTCTGATTGTGACATCCAGTACTCTGGTTCATACGGGAGCTGTGTCCTTGTGGTTAGGAGCCCCGTTGTTGGCATCAGCAGCAGCGGCGCTGATTCCTGTCTAATACTCTGACTTCTATCAGCAGACCTGGCTTAGTTGCCTTCTTCCTCTGTGCTTGGAGAGAGCATGATTTTGGACAAATTACTCAGCCTCACTAGACCTCAGTTTGCTCACAGATAAAATGAAAAATAGTAATATCATATGTCCCCAAATCCCTTATTGCAATTTCAAAATCCAATAAGATCTAAAAACCGGGTGGGGGGTGGGGGAGTGGGGGGGGGTGTTGGATTTCATAAGTTTCAGACCCAAATTCATTTGGCAGAAAAATCTAATCTGAACTGACATGAAACTACTTAACCTTTATTTACCCACCTTAGTTTGCAGACTCAAACACTACAGCCACAGAAATAATAATGTGCTTGATTCCAGGGGACCCTGCAGAGGATACTTTATAACATAGGGCATATGCAGTATGTTTACCTTTTTAAAAATCTGAATTTTTAAAGCATCTGGCCCCTAAGGTTTCAGGTAAGACATTATTGACCTGCAATAGCTATCTCCTAGGGTCATTTTGACAGAGAAGGCAGTGGCACCCCACTCCAGTACTCTTGCCTGGAAAATCCCATGGACAGAGGAGCCTGGTAGGCTGCAGTCCATGGGGTCGCTAAGAGTTGGGCATGACTGAGCGACTTCCCTTTCACTTCACTTTCATGCATTGGAGAAGGAAATGGCAACCCACTCCAGTGTTCTTGCCTGGAGAATCCCAGGGACAGAGGAACCTGGTGGGCTTCTGTCTATGGGGTTGCACAGAGTCGGACACGACTGAAGCAATTTAGCAGCAGCAGCAGCAGCAGCAGAGTCATTTTGAAGAGGAAATGAATTAATGTGAATAAAATGCACATCATTCTGCTCTGTATGTACTGGCTCATTATCTACTTACTTTTATCATCAGTAGTTGTGATAATAATAAGTACTTCCTGATAAACATACTCCCTGGGCCTCACAAATGTCTCTTTTGCAAACACCATCAACACAAAGCTACTCCTGACAAAGAACACAGTGAAAAATGATAAAATCCTAGAACCAGAGAGGATCTCAAGAGGTTACACTGTTAAGACTTTTGCTCAAAGTCTAAGGCATTTGGGAGATGTTTTTCCTCTATTCTTTTAAAGGAAGAAATGGATGTGAGTTTTATAAAACACCTATAGTTAACTCCTGTTTTCCAGGTAACAGCTTTGATGAGATGCTTAAGAATCTAGTGAGAAGAAAGAAAAGTGAAAGGTTTCATATCTGATTCTAAAATAGAGTCCCTGTTTCTATCATTGTCAAAATCTCTCTGGTCCTTTAAAAGAAAAGAAAACTAACATGTTTGTCATTCTTAGGAAGTCCTAAGACTATCAGTGGGGCTACTCAAGATTTTGGATGTCTTACTGAATGAGAGAATTATCAGTAAATATAGTAAAAAACATAGATTTGTTTGAGTAATTCCATAAATGAATTGATAAAAATTAACATTTCCACCAAATGGGAGAGGAGTTTTTTAAGCATCATTTTTATTAAAGTATAGCTAACTTACAATATTCAATGTTGTGTTAGTTTCAAGTGCACAGCAAAGTGATTTGGTTAAATATATATATGTATTCTTTTTCAGACTCTTGTCTATTATAGGTTATTAGAAGATATTGAGTAGGGTTCCCTGTTCTATACAATAGGTCCTTGTTGTTTACCTATTTTGTTAATAGTAGTATATATATGTTAATCCCAAAGGCTTTCATTTATTTTTGTCCTCACCCCACTATCCCTTTTGGTAACCATGAATTTGTTTTCTATGGCTGTGAGTTTATTTCTGCTTTGTAAATTAGTTCATTGTATCACTTTTTTAGATTCCACATATGTGATAACATATGATATTTGTCTTTGGCTTACTTCACTTAGTATCTCTAGGTCCATCCATGTTGCTAATGGTATTATTTCATTCTTTTTAATTCCGTTATACATAGATACCCCATCATCTTTATCCATTCATCTTTTGATGGACATTTAGGTTGCTTCCATGTCTTGACTATTGTAAACAGTGCTGTTATGAACATTGGGATGCATCTTTTCAAATTAGAGTTGGGAGAGAAATTTATTGGCTGTGTACAAGGACTTCCCAGGTGGAGTTGGTGGTAAAGAACCCACCTGCCAATACAGGAGACGTAAGAGACGCAGATTCAATCCCTGGGCCAGAAGATCCCCTGGAGAAGGAAATGGTAACCTACTCCAGTATTTCTGCCTGGAAGGTCCCATGGACAGAAGAGCCTGGCAGGCTACAGTCCGTAGGATCATAAAGAATCAGACACGGCTGAAGTGACTGAGCACGCACACAGACTAGGAGCTGGTTCGCCTGCGATCCGTACGGTCCACACGTGTGTCTGCACCAGCACCGGAGGCAAGAGAAGCTATTGATGCCCCACCGACAGCTCCTAGACGTTGTGACGCGCTCTGAACACAAGGAGACGAATGAAATGCTTTGGAAATATTTCCCTAACAAGCAGTTAAGACATAGAAATTTGGATCACATAAGATGCTAAGCCCATAATTATATAGAAAAGCTTCATAGCCAATAATTCATTTTCTTACTCTCTCCAACAATAGGTATTTTTTGAACTTGTATCTACATCCTTACACATTCCATCCATCTGATTTTCCCCTTTGAACTAAGGTATTCAAGAGCTCCCCAAATTGCTCAGTCAATCATACCATCCAAACCCACGCCATGGGCCCAAGTTTCACAACTACCTGGGCATCTGGTTAAAAGTGCAGAATTCCCATCCTTTCTCTGCCAAGACAAGGTCTCTAGGAATGGGCCTGTGAATATGCATTTTGATAGATTTCTCAATGAATCCAGATTAGGGTAACTGGTGTCAGTGTCACTGGTATTTGGATTGTAATTGTATGAGATGAATTGGTTGCCCTAGCTGATCATCTCTGACCAGTTGCTTAACTGTTTCTTCAAATAATAGAAGTGTGATCATTCAGATTCTCTAGGAAACAGACTTTGGAGTCAAGAATTTGAGTGTACGCTGTAGGAAGTGTAAGGGATACTAATAGAGAAGTAGAAAGTGATCAGGAAAAGGAAGGCAGCTAATAGGGTGTGAGAGTGAGCCAGCTACCTTGGACACTGGATCTTAATCCCACTGGAAACTCAGAGAAAATATACAAAATGCACATTTCAGAATCTTCCTTCCCCAGGAGTGAGGGAGCTCAGGTCTTCATACAATAACTCCCGGAATCGTTGATTGAGGATTGTTCCCAGAAAGTGTTATTTCTCCAGCATTTCTGCCCTGCCCTGCCCTATACTTATGGAAGCAGGGCCCATGAAACGAGAGCCCAGAGGTACACATAGTGGCAGTGGGACATCTGAGCACATTGGAGGTTCTGAAGGGTATGAGAACAACATTCTGAGGACTATGATAAAGCACTGGTACAGTGCCTGGCATGCTAGATTCCCAGCATTAACACTCTAATCTAAATTGCTCTCATGCAGTTTTATAAGAAAAGTTTTCTTTCTTAATCTAAACAGAATCCATTTTGTTCTCCAGTGGTTATCAGTTTTACATGACACACAACAGAAACAGATTCAGATGCTTGTTTTGTTTTTATGTTTCCCAGAAATTCTACAGCCAAACCTTGGTGTTCCAGATTGCCCAGAGCGCTCAAAAGCTTACTCTGCTGGCGGAAGGGCAAGGTCTAGAACCACGCTTGGAATTTAGTCCCTCGGTTCTAGAGCTGGGGCCCCTGCTGCCCTACGCAGCTGGAGATGAGGCCGAGGTGGTGGTGAAGAATCCCTGCAGCTTTCCCATTGAGTTTTACTCCTTAGAATTTGACCAGCAATATCTTGTAGAAGAGAAGGTGAGCACAGACCGAAACCAAGCTCCATTTTCCTACACATGCTGGGCCCTGCCAGGTACTCTCCTATCTGCTTGGACAACTCCTGACCTTTGCTCCTTCTTCCTATGAACCCTTCCCTGTCAATTTAAAGACCACTTCACAGCCTTTCCTGACCTACTTCCCTCACCTTGAGAGAATTCATTGCTTCTTTGTGATCTCATTATACATTTTAAACAACTAATTGAAAAACTAATTCATGCTTATGGTTAAAACAGTAAAGAACGTATGCCACAGACATCGTGTTTGAAGTGAGGTTCTTGCGGACAGCATATATTTGGTCATCTTTTTAATATACTCTGGCAGTGTCTAAATTGGGGTATTTATATATTACAGTATATTTAATGTAATCACGTTAGGACTTCAGTCTGCCTTTTACTCCCCAGTTTGTTCTGGGCTGCATATTTTACGATTGCTCTGCCTTATCCATTTTTTTTAAACTTAATTTTTTTAGAGAAGTTTTAGATTCTCAGCAAAATTGAGGGGAAGGTGCAGCGATGTCTCATATCTCCCTTCCTCCCACACAGGCATAGCCTCCCCCATTATCAACCTCCCTCACTAGAATGGTACATTTGTTACCATTAATGAACTTGTGTGACACATCCTAACCACCCAAAGTCCATAGTTTACAGTCCACTCTTGATACATTCTAGGGATGTAGACAAATGTACAAGTATCCATCATTATAGTGTCGTATAAAGTATTTCTATTGCCCTAAATATCCTCTGTGCTCCACCTGTTCATCCCCCCTCCTCCCAACCCCTGGTAACCATTGATCTTTTTACTGTCTCTGTAGTTTTGCCTTTTCCAGGGTGCCATGTAGGTGGAATCATATCACATGTAGACATTCACACTGGCTTCTTTCACTTAGTAGTATGCATTTAAGATCTGCTTCCTCTGGACTCTCCACCAACATGGCCTTTGAATATTGTCTTTACGTCCAGTATTTATGCTCTGCCCAATTTGGATTCTGTATCTGGAAATTTTCCTCCAAATGGGACTCTGTCCCTCTGGAAGCAAGCTTCTCCACTAGGTAATATTAAGTGTTCAATGGCTTGTGTTGGCACAACAGCCTTCACTGTGGGCCAGGGTCTGGGGAAAGCAGAATCTGAGACTCTGAGATTTGCATGCAGAAGGTTTATCAGGGAGCGGTCTCAGGGATGATCCTGTGAAGAATAAGGACTGTAGGCCTGGGTAGACAAGAAGATAAAGTGTGACGATGTGGCACAGGGCGTTGAGCTGATCCCACAGGACGCTGTATACCTGGGCTGGCCCAGGTGAAGCAAGTTGGCCAGGCCTTTGTGTCTCTGTGTCAGCCAGTCTTTGGGCCAATCCTTCCTTCCCCACTGATCTGCTGTGCCGCCTCTGTCCTGTATCACAGCTCTGCATACACATGGGTCTGTTCTGAACTTTCTCCTCTATTTCATTTTGTCTACCCCAACATCTATACCTCCCAGTCTGTTGCTCCAACTTCATAGGTCCTGATATCTGGTAGAACAGTCCTCTCTGTTTTTCTTCATTAGTGTTTTAGCTATCCTTAGCCCTCTGCTCTTCCATGTAAATTTTAGAATAAACTCATTAATATTGGTTTTCAAACAACTAAAATTGGTGATCTTGGAGAATGGTTACCTAACTGATTTTTCACACCAGTAACTTAGGAAGTAATTGCTTTCTAGGAGTCAACTTTACTGTCTTTTATACTAAATATACATACACCCTAGGGTAGCTGGATTTAGTAGAAAGAAAAACAGGTTGCCCCAATTAAACTTGAATTCCAGATAAACAGTGTGGGACAAATTCACACTTTAAAAATTATCAGTTTTTTATCTGAAATTCAAATTTAATTAGGCATCTTATGCTTCATCTGACAACCCTAATATACATCTGTCTCTATGTTTCTCTCTCAAACACACACACACACACACACACACACACACACACACACATATGCACATACATACCTAATGCCATTTTACCTGTTTTTCTCTATATCCTTATGAGACAACCTTTTTTTTTTAAATAACATGTCACTCAAAGTGGATAATTGAGTTCTGTACTTTTGTCAATGGGGAAAAAAACAAAAGAAAAACAATATATGTTGTTTTTAAAGCAAGGAGATAATTCTTTTCCACATGGGAAATACCCAGACACAAAATCCTATATATGTCCCCCATATATGTCCCCTATATGTCCCTATATATGTCCCCATATCCAGAACTCAGCCTTAAACTTTAGACCTCTGCAGAGGACCCTACCCTTTGAGGTCCAAAAAGTATTTGTGCACACCCCAGCCTTGGGTAGAAGCAGGGCTTTCATGAGATGAATGGCAGGCCCACCAGGGGCTGTGGGGAGGAAGCTTCCAGTCAGACCAACAGCAACTCCCATTCTCCTTACGCAGATCTTGCGAACACTGAAGGGCTATGATTCCTACAACTCTCTGCTGCTGCCTCCTCGCCTTCCGGGGGAGAAGCTGCCCCCAGAGGTGTTTGAGTACTTCAGGGAGATAAAGCGGTCCAAAGAGGAGCAGATGAAGGTGAAATATCTGGAGAGTCTGGCGCAGGAGAACGGTGAGAACTCAACAGTTCTGGAGCCACTGGCTTCTTTAAGTTATCTCTACTGGGAGATGAACCAGTTACTGAGCACCTGCCAGGTGCCAGGCAGGCTTCAGGTGTCCTGGGGATTTCCTTTCTAACCCTTACAGAATGGCCCTGTTGTCCCCATTGTATGGATGCAGACATGGGGACACATTCTGCTCTCACTGGAGTCTGGTGGGGAGTTGAGGCTTAAAAACAGCTAGGGTGAATCCGGATGGGGAATACATGTAAATCCATGGCTGATTCATGTCAGTGTATGGCAAAAACCACTACAATATTGTAAAGTAATTAGCCTCCAACTAATAAAAATAAAAGAAAAAAAAAGAATAAAATAAAATACAAAAAAAAAAAACCAGCTAATGCAGATATAGAAGGATGCTTGCTAGATGCTTGCAAGCTCTGTGCTGAGGGCTTCACACATGCAGATGAGAGAGGAAGCACTGAAAAGCCAGGCCCGCAGTTTTAAGTGGCAGAACTAGCACTCAAGCCCAGATCTCTCTGACTCTGGAGTCCACTACAGTAACCACTCTACTCCACAGCCTCCAAATGTGTGCCTAGGTGATGCAAGGTAATCTGTCACGCATGGTAGACATTAGTGCCCTACGAGAGGTAGGGGTGGGAGTTCACATGAGGAAGGACCCTCCAGATCATAACCTCAATCACAAAGCTAGACTGTGCTCTTATAATCTCTCCCTTTCTTGCCCAGCATCCCCAGGCTATCTGTCATCTGCCCAGGGCCCCCCTTGTGTACACTTGAACATCAGGGTTCCAGGGTGACCTGTAGGATCGTGTAGCTTGTTGGGGTGCTTCTTGTCTTCCCTTCTTCCCTGTGCCCTCATCCTGGAAATTCACTTTCCCCATTCTTTCTTTCTTTCTTCTGCATAATAGTCATCATGTGTATTTTCTTCACACCCATCTCCCCCCTAAACAAGAAGCCCCCATAAAGGCAGTGACCATGTATTCCCCAATGTAAACCCAGTGCATGGACCAGCACCTGGTACATCATAGTGCCCGATAAATGTGTGCTGTTAAAGTGAATGAATGAAGTCCATTTCTCCTGCTCTTAAAGCTGTCTTATTGTCTCTCAGGGAGACAGAAGCTAGTTGGAGAACATTAGTTTGCTCTAAAAGGAGAGAAGAGAAGGCGGCTGCCTGTTCACCTAGTCTCCTGGTTGTATTCACTGAGCATATTGTTTTCCAGAACTGCCATTGCAGATACCACAGACTAGGGGCTTAACCAAATGAAACTTATTTTCTCATGATTCTGGAGGCTAGAGATCCCAAATGAAGGTGCTGGTGGAGTTTTTTTCTGTGACCCTCTCTTGTTCGCCTGTAGATGACTGTCTTCCCGCCCTGTGTTCACAGGGACGTCCCCCTGTGTGTCTGTGTCCTAATCTCTTCCTGTAAGAACACCAGTCGTGTTGGGCTGTGGATGAATTGGGACACTCACATGACCTCATTTTAACTTAATTACCTCTTTAAAGGCTGTGTCTTCAAGTAGTCACATTCTAGCATACTGGGGTGAGGGTGGGGGGCTTAGGACTTCAGCAAATAAAATTCTATGGAAACTAGTTAAGTCCATAACAAGCACCCATTGTGTTCCAAGCACTGAGCTGACTGATGTGCTGGAAGGGAGATCAGTGAAACCAGCCCCTGCCTTTGAGAGCTCACAGTCAGGGAGGGAGTTGGGGGATGGACCCAGAATTGCCTGGTGGCCCAAGGCAGAGAGCCATGAGAAGCTTTAGGGTAGAGAGGATTTAGTGAGGGTCAGGAAGGGCCCTGTTGGCTCTCATCCCCATCCTACACACCTTTCCATTTGGCCCATGAAAAGTTGGTCTGGAGCTGTGACCTGAGGGTCAGCAGGAGTCCAGGGAGGCACTCACTCTGCTCCTCCCCAGCACCTCTCTGAGCTCCTGCTCGCTCTGCTGCCTCACAGAGGATCCATCCTCCTCTGCTTCCAGACCACGTCCAGGGAAGGCTCGCAGCTCCAAGTCGCGCTGCCATTCCCAGGAGAGCCACAACCTCTCTGACTCAAATCCAAAATTAAACAAAGAGGATGTCTTAGCTCCAGGGCAGAGCAGACTTTGGACAATGACAGCCTGATGCACCCACTGAAACTCTGTGGAATCAGGACAGTGAGGAGTGTTTGGGGCAAATAAAGTAGTAGATGAGCTCAACAATGCTCATGAAAAGGAGGAAAGCAGGCTACAAATTGGTGTGCATACAGTATGATCCCAACTTCAGTTTGGAAAAATTAAAACTCTGAGAGGCTGCGGCTCTTCAACTCTGGTATCATCCAATGAAGCTGCCATTCCTCTACCACCATTTTTTTGTATCGTTTTCTGCAGCTAAATTTTATCCTTTTTGCTCTTTGGAATGTCCCAAATTTTCTGAGGTGAATGTATAATTTTGGTATCTTTTTTTAATGTTAAAATGTGGAAGCACTCTGGGCAGAGAAATCTAAAGCCAGACTGACTGCAGTTCTTTTTAATTTGGGTCAGATGGTCCAGGCTGATGGTAAGCAGTTCAGTGATTCTCCTCTTTGTCTCTCTTCCCTTCTTTGCCCCATCTCCCTGGTCCTCTTCCTGACTCTTCCTGTGTGTTTCCATCCTTTTCCCCCGGCAGAAGAGGACGACGGTCCATTGTCAGAGCAGGGCACTTCAGCAAGCACAAAGAGGACCTCGCTTAGCCGAGGGATCTCTGTCACATCCAACCTGGAAGAGCGGCACGTCCCAGTGGTTGAATCCAAGACCTACCCGGAGGAAGAGGAGGATGAGGAAAGCCTGGAAAAAATCATGTTTCAAAGTAATCATGCATTTTAACGTTTGGGTACCAGTTCCTTCTAAGCAAAAGTGGAAAATCTGTTCAGTGCCTTTCACCTTTCTCCATAAAACACATTTAACTAGCACAGTCGTGTGTTAATTCTACAGTTTGAGCAGGCCATCATTTATTTAGCCATGTCCCTTACTGTTGCAAACACTAGTTTCCAGTGTTATTTTTAAGCAGGAGAGATTCCTCCAAATGCAATTAAGAATCAGAGAGTAATCTGTGTTTTCAATTCTAGTAGCTACGGACAAATTATTAGCCAAAAAGGGCACTTTTGTATGCTATGAAGTGAGTAACGCTGGCAGCAACATCTGCTGCAGATTGTGCTGGTCATTTTAAAATAACATGTAGGCTAGGAAAAGTCATCCCATTTTCATCAGAATCTATGTGAATTGTGGGTGTGTCCACATGCACGCATATATGCACATGTATTTTTAATTTGTAGCTGACAAGATTCAGAGTATTGACAGCCACTCTGCAGAAGAGGTTGGAGAAGTAGAGAACAACCCAGTGAGCAAGGCCATCGCTCGCTACCTGGGCATTGACATTTCTGCAGAAGGCCGCATGGCCAAGAACCAGAAAGGCATCGCCATCATCATCCATGGGACGCCCTTGTCAGGTATGCACAGGCCTAAAGAGTTGCCCCTTTGGGATACATTTACAGTGAAATTTGCATGTGCCATTTTTGAGGCAATAAAATACTCTTCTGTTTGAGATTTATGTACCAAAGGATTATCCCTAAATTGTTACATTGCCAACTTCAGAGATACAAAGTTAGAGAAAGAGCAGGGACACCTCATTTTTAATTAATACATCTCTGAATTGTTGGAGTTTGTATTCTTTCAATAATTTAATAGCATTAAAATATTAAAGAAAAATCCAAGACAGTAAGTCATTTAAGAAGAGTGGTGGGAGAAATATGTGCAAACTCTTTGACCTGGCAGCATTATTTCTAAAAATTTCTCTTAGGAAAGTAATCATATGGGTAAAGACTGACTGCATTGGTGTTCTCTGCAACATTGTCAGCCATACTAAAAATTTGGGAGCAGTTGAAGTATTCAGTATGGGGGACTAGTTAATTAAACCATAGTACATTCTCTAGGACACGACTGAAGTGACTTCACATGCAGGCATGCATGCATTCATGTAGTGAATTATATCACCTTTAAAAACAGTGTCCTGTACACCCATTTTCATGGCAGCATTACTCACAATAGCCACAAGGTAAGACACAACCCAACTGTCCATTGATAGATGAGTGGATAAACTAAATGTGGTACAGTGGGGTATTATTCACCCATAAAAGAAGGGAAATTCTCACACACGCTACAATGTAGATGAACCTTAAAGACATTATGCTCAGTGAAATAAGCAAGACCTGAAATAGCAATTACTGTTTGATTCCATTTATATAAGGACCCTAGAGTCATTGTATTTATAGAGACATAAAGTAGGATGGTGGTTTCCAGAGTCTGAGCAGAGGGAGGAATGAGAGGTTATTGTTTAATGGTACAGAATTTCGGTTTGGAAAGATGAAAAATGCTGGAGATGGACGGTGGTGATGGTTGCACAACATTGGGAATATACTTAGCTTTTTAAGCTGTGTACTTAAAAACAGTTAAAATTTTAAATTTTGTATGTATACTATGACAATTTAAAAAAGTACCATTGAAGTGTATTAAATGAATAGAAAAAGGTTCATGATATATTGTTTTAAGTGGGAAAAAAGTCATGTTTACAATTTGTAATCTGTGTTCATTTCCTATTGCTACTGTAACAAATAACCACAAACTTAGTGACTTGAAACTTTCTTAGAGTTCTGGAGATCGGAAGTCTCAAATGGGTCAACAGGGCTGCATCCTTTCTTGAAGCTATAGGGGGAGAGTCCATTTCCTTGCCTTTTCTTGTATCTAGAAAAGTTACCTGCATTCCTTGGCTCATGGCCTCTTCCTCCATCTTCAAAAGCAGCCTCATAGCATCTTCTAATCTGTCTGTCTCTGTCTCTCTGTTTGCATCATCACATCACCTGTTCTCACTCTGACCACCCTGCTTCTCTTGTAAGGACCACTGTTATTACATTGGGCCCACCCAGATAACCCAGAGCACTCTCCCACATCAAGATCCTTAGTTTAATCACACCTGCAGAGTCCCTTTACCATATAAGATACCACATTTCAGGCTCTGGGCTTCCCTGGTGGCCCAGTTAGTAAAGAATCTGCCTGCAATGCGGGAGACCTGGGTTCGAACCCTGGGTTGGGAAGATCCCCTGCAGGAGGGAAAGGCTAATCTCCTTGGACAGAGGAGCCTGGCGGGCACAGTCCATGGGTCACCAAGAGTCAGACATGACTGAGCACAGCACATCACAGGCTTCAGGGATTAGGATGTGGACATCTTAGGGTGGGGGATTATTCAGCCTACCACCTAGCCCACTACTCTTTTTTTATAAGAAATGTAAATAAAATAGTTACGGATGCATAAATAGCAGCCATATGCTAACTATAATCTCTCTGGATGAGTAAATTATGGATTGTTTTTTCTTCTGTTATTTCTGAATTTTCTGCTTTCTGTTTTTAATGAGCAGGTATTTGGAATGAGAAAAACAGACATCAACACAAATTATTCTTTAAACCAAAAATGTCTCTTCCCAGTAGAATGAGGGAAGTAAGAGCTACAAGATTTTTAAAGTTCATCCGCAGGAATCACTTTTTAAGCTGAGGAGAAAATCCAGAGGGAATGTGGATTGCTAGAGCACATGGCTGTTCAGGGGTAGAATTAGGACCAGGACTCCTGGCTCAAGTCTTCCCTCTTTTCTTGGGTGCCACACGAGAGACTTAGAGGTCGGGACCTTGGAGAGGTCACTTTATAGGAGCCTCTGACCTAGAAGTTCTTCTGTGGAGAACAGTGAGCAAATGAGAGCCGTGAAAATTCAACCCCCTGACCTTTCTTGTAGGAAAGTCAGCCACCGCAGTCAGCATGGCCAGGTACTACAGCGCTGCCTGCCTGAACCTTGACTCTGTCATGCTGGAAGCCATCTCTGACAGCAACAATATCGCGGGCATCCGAGCCCGGGAGCTCTGCATTCGGGCTGCCATAGAACAGTCCATGAAGGAGGAGGAGTCTGGTGAGAGCAGTTTCCTCTGACGCTTTGCGGCCAACCGGCCCTGATCCCACTGCTGGTGCTCAGTTCCCCCTTGAGCTTTTCTCCCACAGCTCCATTGAAGGCTGACTCATCAGCAGCCCAGAGAATTCTCTCCCACAGACATCCACTCTCCTGGCTGCCCAGTGCACTTGGCACTGCAGGGAGCAGGGCGACTATGGCCACATCTTTGTGGGTGACCCCTGGAGTGGGGACTGAGGTGCAGAGCAGAGGACAGTATGTAACAGAAGTACTAGCTTCTGCAAAAGACCGACTTTGAGATCATTGAGTTCCAACAAGCATGATTTGGGGAAGTTTTCAGGGAAATGGGCTTTGAAGGAGAAGAATGTTGACAGGCAAAGATGAAGATAAGGACATTCCAGACCAAGAGAGCAGGGATGGTAAGTTAGAGGTGGGAAGACAGGTTGAGGGCAATCACAGTTGACCTTAGTGCTGAGATTAGGCATTTGGACTGTGTTTTGAAGGAAAAGAGGAATTGGGCACTTTTCACCCTGTGGGAGAAATTGCCAGAAAGTCACAGGAGGAAAGGCACTCTCATGGTGTCTTGTAAAGAAAGCAGTAGTGAAAATGAATGTGAGTGGGGCTGAGAGTGACCTGCATGGCAGGGAATTGAAAGAGGGGGAGGCATTCAAGGTGGCCACACTCGATTACCAGTCACAGAAACCAGAAAGAGAGTTACGTCATTTACCAAGACAGGGAACATGAGGGAGGAGAAAGTTTACTGGAGAGGAAAATTAAGGTTTTAAACCCCATAGTAGTAGTACTTGCCACTAAGTAGTATAGTCTTACCTGCCAGAGGTTCAGAATCCTGACTCCCTCAGGTCCTCTAAAGACCTGCGGGGCAGGAGAGCAGCTGCTTAGCGGGAAAAATCTATGGACTGCTGAGAGTAGGCTCATTCTTATAATAGGAATGCTTAGGACAGCGTGATGTCATTCCTGACCGTGTCCCTTGCTGACTAGTTGGTAGACCTGGCTGGGGCTTTCAGGAGAAATGGGAGATTCTTTTCTGGGAAGATGGGAGAAACAGCTTTTTAGTGGTGTGGGGAATAAAAAATAATTTTCTTTCTACTTTTCCGATTTCTTGGCTGAGTGCCCCTGTAATAAAAAACAAATTAACGAGAAAAGAACAAGTTTATTAACATATATGCTTCATGTATCCATGGGCAATACTCAGGGGGAAATGAGTGGCTTTAGAATTCAGAAGTAAATACCACCTAGTAGGGAAAGGAAAGGGGGTTGTGGTCCTGTGAGGGGAGGGTCAGTGGTTTTTAGGAAAGATGAAGGGGCCTTGGGAGGATGGGTGGGAGGTATGCTGACTTCTGATGGTTTGGGTGTAGTGTGGACTTGAGTCTTCCTTCTGTGATAAGAGTCCATCTCCCTGGTTGATGAAACTTCCCTGGACGGGATTTGTGATTGGAGCTTCTTAGGGAGACTCTGTCTTTAAGTGGCTGGGGTTAGGTCAGAGAAACCCACTCCTTGCATGTACTGCTTTTTTCAAGTGCCTGCAGCTCAAAATAGCCAGCATGTTTTGAGGTGGCGAATCCTGAGCTCCTATAGTCTTTTGGGGTGGCATATTCTGGCACCCTTTAGTGGGAACCCCAAGCTGCATCATAATTCTAGTTCTGTTAGATTTTTTTAAATTTCCTTTTCTGTCAAACTGCATTTCTAGAGGTCTTCAGAGCTGTGTTGATGTCCCTTGACAAATCATAAATTTGAACTCCCTGAGAAAGTAATGTCAAGCTAAAGGCTTAATGATTGGGAGAGACTTCCTCAACAAAGTGAGAGATGTGGCTGCTGAAGAATAGGAAATCAGTCCAGAAAGTTCCAGAAAGAGGAGAGATGGACACAGGGCAAGATGGGACCTTAGAGAACACTTATATTTCAGGAGGAGGCAGAGGCAACGAAGCCAGGGGAGGTGAAGAAGGCAGAGTCAGAGGCAGGGGCAGTCAGGAGGGCTGCCAGAGGTGGGGCCAGAAGGACTTTCATGTCTCTCCAGAGCCCTAGTTAAGAGTCTGGGGGACCCTTCCTGCTTTATTTTTCTCATAGCCCTTATCCCTCGTTAACATACTATTTATTCTACTTACTCTACTATCTGTCTTCCCCCCACTCCCACAGGAATGTGAGCTTCCAAGGGCAGAGATTTGCATTAGTTTTTGTCGCTAATGTATTCCTGGCATCTAGAGCAGTGCTTGGTGCATAGTAGACACAGTAAAGATTTACAAACATGTATCAAATCAGTAAGTGAATATAATCAGAGATGGCTGAAAGTTCAAACTGAATGATCCCTGAGAAGAGGACAGCTATAGTTCATAAGTTCAGAAGTCACTGGTGACTTCATAGAAAGCCCTTTCAATGGTGGGGGTTAAACCCAGACCTACATTTGCTGTTTGCTGTGAAGTCAGCTGGCTATACTGAAGTGGAAGTGACCAATCTAAACCCATGGGTCCCACACAGGACCCGCTGGCCGCTTGAAATGTGCCAAGTCCAAACTGAGATGTGCTGTAAGTGTATGATACGTGCTAGATTTTGAAGATGTAGTGAGAATAAAAGACTGTCAAACAGCACAGTAATAATCATGTGAGGTTTCCCTGGGCGGGCAGGACTGTAGTTGTACCAGCAGTTTTGGAAATGATTACCTTCTGGGCTGGAAGAGAAGGTGGGGCAGAGTCTCTGAGAAGATGAGCAGTGTAGGCCGGAGCTCCAGCCCAAACTGGGCACACACCCACCATCATCACCATCCACCCCCAGTGATGGAGCCACTTCTTCCAGCCCTGCTGGGCCAGCCACAGGTGGAGGTGGCTATGCCATCCCCAGAATAATCACACTAGGTTTCAACTTGTCATCCTCCGTATTATTTCCTTATTACCCTGAGGTGATTTTCAATATAAACCCACTCTCTCCGTGTAGCCCAGGAGGCTGCTGCTATGAATCAAAATGCCGTGGGACAATTGCGCCTGAGCAGTGAGACCCTGGGCAAGTTAACTTCGGAATGCACTCTGGTAACTCCCGAAGTTAAACCTACCAAGCCTGTGCGTGGAAGTGTGCTGATCACCAAGGGCAAGGCAGACAGCCACGGCTCTGGGTCTCAGAAGCAGCATCACCAGCACTCATCTGAAACACCCCAGGTACAAATCAGGGCTCCCCAAAAGGAGGGTTGGGATTCCCCGTCCTCCTTCCCCCTAATCCCCTTCCTTCTCCTACCCCCCCTCCTCCTGGCATCTTGCATCTGGGTCAGCACAACCTCATTCCTACAGGTGCCCTGGCCAGGCAGACCTGGGTACTGCCCCTGTATCACTCCTGAAAGGGGTGTTCTTCTACCGGGTGTGAAGCAGGTCAGGTCCTGGCAAAGTGAAGATAAATAAAGCAAAACCCTGCACTCAGGCTGTAGTAAGAGCCTGGTGAGGGTGATCACCACACATTTTATTTGCAATAAAATGAGATTAGGACAAAAGAGGTATATAAAAAGAATTAGGTTAAACCATACAAAATTGATATGAAATTGACAGTATTCAACCACTTGAGACCTCTGTTGCAACAACTTCATATGGTTCAACCTACTTCTAAAGGAATGTTAAGGATGGAACCACTAATATAAATTGTGGGAGGGCTGCAGGGGAGTCTTGAAAAGTCATAAAGAAACCAGAGAGTTTGAGTCATGTGCCAAGGGACTTCAAGAACAATCTCGGCTGAATAGCAGGGGCTGAAGCCAGAGAGAGTGGGTGGCACAGTGGATTGTTGGTGGGAACCAGAGTCAGATGAGTGCAAGCTTTTGAGATATTTGAAAGAAAGGGAGAAAAGATCAAATAGTCATTAGAGGAGCATACCCAGGGTCAAGAGAGTTCTTTCTGTGAAAGGAGGTAGAGGCACAAGCAGGTTCTGTAAAGATAGGAACTCCTGGAGAAGTATCAGATGATGATCTTCCCAAGAGGGAAAGAGATTCCAAGGAAATGTGTCAGGGAAGACCGGGATTAAGCATAGTTGAAGGAAATGGGTGCCATCTTCCTCTAGAGTCAGTAAAGGTGTGAAAATAGATACAGCTACTTGTGGGGGAAGCAGGGTGGAGAGTGGAAGTGAACAAATGTTTCAATGAATGAACAAATGTTTATTGTTCAATACACATACAAGGCATCTTCCACAGTGTTCCTACTTGGAACTTAACAGCAGTTATTCAAGTGAGATAGGAATCTTCCAGTTTATAGCACAACCCCCATTTTATAGATGAGAAAATGAGACCCAGAGATTAGATGATTTTCCCAAGGTCACATGGCCTGTTAAGTGGAGGAGCTGTTGGAATATCAGACTTCTGGATTCTGACTCCTGATCCTTCTCTCTCCAAACAGGTTTCCTCCAGCCCTCTCCCCTCGGGGCCCACACAGCGTCGACTCAGCGTCAGCACCAGCGTTGGAGGTGACACCGGGCTCGTGAGCTGCGTGCTCCCCGAGGAGCTATTCACTCAGATCGTGGCCGACCGAATTCAGGTGCGTCCACACCTGCCTGCGTGGACATGCAGGGCTTACACGCCTGTCCCCCTGCTGTAAGCTGAGGCTCTGAGCCATTGCCCACACACAGCAGCTCAGAACCCAGGGGCCTCAGAAAGGAAAGATGGGTTTCCTCACCCGCTTTTGTCCTTTTGATAGCCCTCGTCAGTCTCTGACCCTGGCTGTCTGCTGGCTGAAGCCACACTCACCTTAAGGACCAGTGAGCAGAAGGTAGCACATTCAAAACACATGTATACAGTGAGCAGAAGGTAGCACATTCAAAACACATGTATACAGTGAGCAGAAGGTAGCACATTCAAAACACACATGTATACAGCCCTCAGAAGTATGTTAGAAATCGTAACGTGGAGCCCTGATGAGTTAGAATTTGGAGTGATGTTAACTGTGGTAAAAATAAGTGTTTACACAGCTCAATTGGTAAAGAATCTACCTGCAGTGCAAGAGACCCAGGTTCAATCCCTGGGTCGGGAAGATCCCCTGGAGGAGGAAATGGCAGCCCACTCCAGTATTCTTGCCTGGAGAATCCCATGAACAGAGGAGCCTGACAGGCTACAGTCCAGGGGTCGCAAAGGGTCAGATGTGGCTAAACTACCACCACCATGTTATTAACTGAGAAAATCAGATTATTAAATAGTATGTAAACCATAATTATATTTCTCTAAAAATATTTATTAATGTGTATCATACACATAATAAAAATCCTTAAAATACATGTTAACTGTGGTTATCTTTGGCTGGCAAGATTATAGATTTTTAATCTTCATACATTTCTGAATTATTTTATAATATATGGCTCTTAAAGTCAGAAACGCAGTAACTGTTTCTTTTTGTTTTGATTTTTCACAAGTGTTGTACTCTTAAAGAAAAGAAAACTAGCTCAGAAGAATTTGGGAGGGTTTGCTGCTTATGAATTACAGAAAACTAAATTGCTCACCAGGTCCTAGAGTTCTGTGTTTGCTTTGGTTTGCCAGAATGGGCTGCAGTATTAATTGCACATCTAAGTAAACAAAAATTAGACTTGAGGTTCCCAGAAGAGGAGGAATGTAATCCCCAGAAATGATTCATGTTAAGGTTTGAACTCGCTGCTGCGTTAAAGGTACCATCGCTCTCAGCTCATTTGAGCACAGTGGTCTAGTAAGTGTGCAGGTGTCTCACGCACCCAGAGTAAAGGCTGAGACCACTGGTAAAACCCACAGTAAGCCAGGAGAGCTGCGCTACTCACAGTACTGGCCTCTGATGAGATACGGAGCTTGCGCTACTTCCTTTATTGACAAAGTCTTCCCTATGAGGAAAAAACAAATGGCAGCTAAACTAAATTGTATATGTACTGATTGCAGTAGTTGATTTTCTGAGACAGGATTCTTGTCTCATCAGAAAGTGGTAGTAATCAGTCTCTAGCCCCTGGTGGCCAGCCTGTGCACTACGCTTTAAGTAACACTGCAGCACAGCCAAGGCCTGTTCTACAGTAGTTATTGTTACCAAAATCACTACGCTCCAAGGCAGAAAAACCACTACGATAAAAATGGCCCATCTGCTACCGCTGCCTTTCTGCAGAGGGACACCTTTCATACACATCTTCTTTCCCTGTATTTCCTGGATCTTCCCAGATTCTCACCTTAACATTATTTGTTTTCTTGATTTCTACAGAGACAGAGTAAATCCTTTACTCTGCAGATATGTATGGCAAAGATCTTTTATGACTGCTGAAACATTTTTATTTTTCTCTCTTGTTTAATTACAGCCCCTTGAATCTAGCAGGTGGGAAGGCAGTGGAACTTCCATCTGGGCCCAGAACCAATGGTTCTGTGTCTGCAGACCCAGTGGCAGCACCTGTAAAAGCAGCAGCAAAAGAACAAGAAGCCTCCTTCTTGGAGGACAGATGATCTTGTGGCCACAGTAACTGTCTGTGCTCCGGTTTCAGCTGAGTGACTGCTACCGAGGAGTGGTGTTTGACAGCCTGGAGACACTCTTTGCTCGGAACGCAGCTACCGCTCTCCTCTGCCTGCTGACGGCCATCGGCAATCGGGAGCACATCTATGTCATCAACATGGCCCAGGATTATGCAGCCATGAAGGCCCAGGAGAAAGCCAAAAATGAGCAAGAAGGTAAGGCCATACCCTCCTGGGCTGTCCTTCCCAAGCCCTATAGGTCTTTCCTTTAAACAGAGCTCTAGGCTTTTTACAGTCCTTCCCTGCCGTGAGCACCATTAGGCTTATGTGCAGCTACATTTGCCATCTCACTGGTGCCCCACCTCTGCCCTGGAGGGTGGCTGGGAGTTCTTATTTCTACTTTGCGTGTGAGGAAATTGAGACACACGTGACCTGTTGAGAGATTATAGAACGAAGGATGGAACCCAGCTCTTCTCACCATAGGCATCTTCCTCTTTCCCCCGACATCACATTACATCCCTTCATCTTCTGTGTAATTACAGCCTACCTAAGGGTATCACAGGGCTTCCAGGTGGCCCAGTGGTAAAGAATCCACCTGCCAATGCAGAAGATAGAGGAGATGGAGGTTCAGTCACTGGGTTGGGACAGTCTCCTGGATGCCAACCCACTCCAATATTCTTGCCTGAAAAATCCTATGGACAGAGGAGCCTAGCTGGCTACAGTCCATGTGGCTGCAAAAAGTCAGACGTGACTGAGTATCTGAGCACGGACTGAGAGGACCACGTCACAGGTCCCATCCTTACTCAGGTGACCCATTCGTTAGCTTGTTGGTTTTGTTTAAACCCACTGTGAATCTCTGGTAAGACCAGAGTAAAGCTTGTAGCTTTAGGAAACAGTTTCTACATTTTAGCCTATTGTGTACCAGGCACTGCAGCAGACTGTGTACACTTAAAATGTCTTTAAGGGACACTTTGGGTCATTTAGTCCTCACAAAGATTATTGCCCCCATTCTACAGATGTGGAAAACAAGTACATACACAAAGAAAGTAATGTTAGCTGAAGTTCCAAATATAGACAGAAGCAGACCCAGCAGATCTTGGACCCCGAGGGAGAGGACGGCACCACCCCTGAGGCAGAATCCTGCTTCAGCCTCAGCTCTGGTCATATCAGTGCCCTTCCTCACTCAGCCTTGCCTCTGTCTTCCAGAACACTCTGCATCAATCATAATGCTTTTCCTTTTAAGGAAATATTTGCAAACACTGAGCTCTCTTAGTTCATAGTGAAGTGAAAGTCACTCAGTTGTATCCGATTCTTTGCGACCCCATGGACTATGCAGTCCCTGAAATTCTCTAGGCCAGAATACTGGAGTGGGTAGCCTTTCCCTTCTCCAGGGGATCTTCCTAATCCAGGGGTTGAAGCAGAACTCAAAGACTGCTTCCTTTTATTCTCGTCCAGAGAAAAATTAGGAAGATTGACCAGGCATCTCTCAGCAATATTTCAACCTCCAGATTCCTAGTTTCCAGAAAACTCATTTCCCCTCAACAATCAACTTTTGAAAGAAAGTATCTCTTTTCATTTTCTCAATTACCTGTAGTTTTCACAGTTGCAATATAGGTCCCTATTCCCTTAATCATTTAAAAAAGTCCTGAGGCAGCGTACAATATTATTATATTAGGCTCTAGTTGTTATTGAACATTTATGAATGTGCCAGGCACTGGGCTAGGTACCTTACATGATTACTTATTTGATTCCCACAACAGCCCTGTGAAGGAAAAATTATTATTCTGATCTTTTGCTATCCTCTGGTAAGTGTTAGAGACTAAGAACTCAAGATGTAGATCTCTGAGCCCAAAGCTCAAACTTCAGGAAGCAGCAGGCAAGAATGTGGTGCCTGTGATGTGTGCAGACGCAGCCCAGAGCCTTCGTGCCAAGTGTGAACCACACTTCAGGACCTGGCATCTGCAGGGTGTGGAAGTTGACAGTTCTGTCACCTGAGCATTTTGGTGGCTTGTGTTAGTAATGGGTAAAGTCAGTGGGTGGTATATTACTTTCCTATTACTCCTGTAATACACTGTTTCAAACTTGATGACTCACCACAGATTTGTTCTCTGACAGTTCTGGGAGTCAGAAGTCCTAAAATTGAGGTGTCAGCAGAGCCATGTTTCTCTGGAGGCTCTAGGGGAGAATCCTCCTCGCCTTTTCTGGCTCCTAGAGGCCCCCTGCATCCCTTGGCTCATGGCTCCTACCTCGAAACTCTCTGACCTCTGCCTCATTGTTCCCTCTTCTTCTCTGACCCTGACCCTCCTGCCTGCCTCTGGTGGACCTCTGTGATTATATTGGGCCCACTCAGATAATCCAGGGTAATCGCCCCAACTCAAGATCCTTAATTTAATTACATTTGCAAAGTTCTTTCTGCCATGTAAGGTGACATATTCACAGGGTTCTGGGCATTAGCATGTGGACATCTTTGGGGCCCCGGTTCAGCCTACCACAGATGGAAACCATTATAGGAACTATGTTAGTGCAGGAAAGCCCATCAGAGATTAGGCAGGCCGCCTGTGGTACCCGCCACCACTCCCTGTCACACACGCACCACAGCCTGCTTAGGCAAGAGCTAAACCACTGGGGTCTCCGAAGCCAAGGATAGTGGGTGAGTTTTTCTCACCTTCCTGTTTGTTCCCCACAGAGCACAAGCGCAGGGAAGCACAGAAGAGAGAGAAGGAGCGTCTCCAAAACATGGATGAGGAAGAGTATGATGCCTTGACAGAGGAGGAGAAGATAACGTTCAATCGAGAGGTTCAGCAAGCCCTGCGGGAGAGGAAGAGGAGGTCAGTGTCTGGGGCCGATCAGAAGGGAGGCACTGCCTCTGAGAGCAGTTTCCGTCAGGCACATGGCCCATCCTGGAGACCAGGGTCATTGGGGCCGGGGATGAGGCAGCAATGGCCACGGGAGACCTGGGAGGCTGACTTGGCTGAGAGCAGAAACAGGTATCTTGCACAACCAGGGTGCTGGTGTTGCAGCCTTCCCAGGTCTCCATTCTCCTGTCCTTCCTTCTTTCTGGGGGACAGGTGGGACCCAGGGATAGAGGCTGTAGTGTAAAAAGAGGAGGGGCTTCTGGACCCTGCACTGTCCTGGGCTCCTGCTGGCTCCCCTGAGAGCTACAGCTCATCAGCCTCTGTGCTCAGGTGTCCACAGATGGTGACCCAGGGGACCACTCTTGTGACGTGGGCATGGTGGTTGCCCTCCATAACTTAGCCATTTCTCCTCCTTTCCTGGCCAGTGTCTTGACCTTTGGTGGTGCTGTCCATCCCCTGAGGTCTGACTGCCACTCCCACTTGCCCCTCAGCCTGGGCAGTTCACCAGAGACCCTGGGCAGGCTCCCAGGCCAGTGCTCTCATCCACCTTCTGTGCCCATCCCCGGGGACCACACAGGACTGACTGAATCCCCTCCATACCACCCACGAGACATGGCCCACGATTTCATGCTGTCTCACATACAGATGGGCAGTGTCCTGTCCTCAGATCTTCAGACATGCCAAGGGAGGGAGGGGGTTCTACTGCCTACCTCTCCCTAGGATTCCAAACACTGGTGGGGAAGCAAGATGCTTACCTATAATTTAATCCCTTTTCTCCTCTCCCCCTACCTCCAGACTCCTCCCACTGGCCCCCAAAGAGCTTTTATGTCCTCTACAGTATCAGTATATATATATACCTACATCTCCTGCATGGTCTACTGTAAACATGCCTGGGCCTCAGGAATCCCAGCTTTGGGATTCCAAAAGAATCTTTTTTTTTTTTTTTTCTCATTCAGGTCATTTACTTTCAGGCATTCATCTCACAGTGGACTTAGAAAATGCAAATCTGATTCTCAGAGCTCAACAGTGACTTGTTTGTAACACACACACACACGAAGTGATGAAGTAATGATGAGTCAACTTCAGTGAGCAGAGAGCCACAGCAGTCAGAACAACCAGGGGTTCCCAGAGATGAAAACAAATGGATTCCGTATCTTCAGAAATGCCATCCCCTCCACGCTTTGTTTATACGTGGTGCCCAGGCTTGGTGCCCTCTCTGCCATTAGCAGCAGGGGCAAACATGACTGAATCCATAGCCAGAAAGGAAAGAAAGAGAGACAGGGAGAGAAACGTGGCCTTCAGCTCTAGCACCATGGCTCCAAGTGGGCCACAGTGGGGACCGCTGTGAAAAACATCATTTCTTCTTGTCTAAACCTCAGACATGAGTGTAGAAAGCTGGGCCTCATCTGTACTGATATCAGAGCAATCTTTGAAAGTTGTTTTTTAAGGGTGATAACATCCAGCTCATCCAGTGAGCCCTTGCCTCACTCTCCTGTGAAAGGAGACTGGAGTAGAATTAAAGATCAGTTGAGAATTCCTCTTAGTTGAGTTTCAGTTATCAGTTTTACTAAATGACGATTCAAAGGTAGATGGGAGCCATCCTTTCCTCTCTTTCCTTGTTTTCTTCTCTTCCTTCCATCTTCATTCCTTCCTATAATATCCAGCTTTCTTTTGTTCTTTCCTTGTTTTTATGCTCAAGAAAGCTCTGTGCCATGTTCCCCCGACCAGGTGATCTCAGCAGGGGAGGGTCTCGGGCAGCACGCTCTGAACTCTGGTTTTTTCTGCCTGACTTAATGAAGGGAGCTGGAGAGACTGGCAAAGGAGATGCAGGAAAGGAAGCTACAGCAGGAACTTGAGCGACAGAGGGAGGAAGATGAGCTAAAACGGAAGAATAAAAAGCCAAAGCAGGGGCCCGTGAAGGAGGAGCCGTCCACGAAGAAAGCTCAGACACCAAGCCGGCAGGTAGCAGCCCTCCCTCACCCCTCAGCGCAGGCGGGTGCAGAGTGGCCACCACCACAGCCAGCATCTCAGCCCAGTGCACTTTCCCTCCAGAAAGCTGACCTAGGACGGTGTAGACTCTGTGGTGGGGCAAAAGGCAGGAGGAGAGGGATCAGCATTTTCTGAGCACTGACCGTGTGTCCCATGCTTTCTTGTGCTTCCCACAATCCTGTCCTGTTACATCCTGTCCTTCCTCAGAGGTTTGGAGACATGAACCCCATCCAGAATTTAACAGGATGAGCTGTGACAGCTGTGTGTGTGCACAGATCTGGTTCCTTCTGCTGTCTCCTGCAGCCCCCTGGATGGTGTTAAATAGACTGGTGGTGAAGAGCCGTTTCCAGTGAGCCACCAAGTCAGTGTGTTCAACCAGGAGCTGGTCCCTGACTGCAGTCAAGGGAGATGCTCCAGCATGAGCTGTCCTTGTGATTGTCAGTCTGCCTGTCACGTCTCTGCCCACTGATACACGGTACCCAGTCTTGGTGCAGACTGGCCAGAGCAACGTCCAGGGTGGCACTGGTGGCTGAGGGGTGTGGCTAGCTGGGCTGCACTGTGGCCGCTCCAGCCCTGAGAGAGCTGAGGATTAAACTAGAGCCAGACTCCCAGACGAGGTGCAGACTGGTCCCAGGAGGCAGATGGAAGAGCAGAGGAATCAGTGTCCAGGAGTCCCCATCAGGCAGAGCTCAGGCAGGAGCAGGTCTGAGCACTTAAAACTTAGGCACCAAAACAAGGATAAGAAATAGGCTCCTGCAACCTTCCAAGTGCAAGTCCTTCCTTCAGCAGGCGCTTCTTCTACACTCAGTCCACTTCCACTTGGAACAGGATATCTAGGCAGAACTCTGTAGATGGGAACATAGAGCAGGCACCCAGCCCTCCCCTCCCCAACACAAATAAGGCTATCCGCCCACTCTGGGAGACAGTGATGTCAGTACTGTTGTGTCAGCTCTCTCCAGGCTGTAGAGACGGACATGTAGCGGGGGAGCTGATGCAGTGCAGAGACGGGATAACCAGCCTGGGCCTCTCATGCCTCCACACCTGAGCTTAGGCGAGAGAAGAATGTCACTGGGCTGAACTGGACTGTCTGTCCTCAAAGAATGCCCCCGAAACCTGTGAAGCTGCCTGGAGGGTTTCATCAGGAGGGGAGAAAATCAGAACCCACAAAGCAAGTTTAAAAGGGTTTCATCAGGAGGGGAGAAAGTCAGAACCCACAAAGCAAGTTTAAAAGGGTTTCATCAGGAGGGGAGAAAGTCAGAACCCACAAAGCAGTAAGCAAAAGACTAAGGTTGGTTTCTCTCTGCAAGGTTCATTAGATAAAATACAGGTTTGTTTAAGAGACTAGAGTGTAGCCAGATTCTGAAACCCTGTCTGTCCCCAGCAGCACTGATTAATCTGTATACATAATCTGTATAATTTTAATAACTTGGCATTACGAGACCTTTTACTGTGTGACAGACACTGTTATAAGCTTTTTACATGTACTCACACATTTACTCTTCATGGTCCTCTGGGGTAGTTATTAATATTACTGTCAACACCTTACAGATGGGCCAGAGATGTGGATTGCTCACCCATGGTCACACAGCTAACAATTGTGAGACCAGGTTTGGACCACTAAACTCAGTGGCCTCTCCGGAGGAAAGGCTCTTCTTGAGCATCTTTTCTTGTTGATCCTTCAGAGCAGCAGCTCTCAACCAGGAGTGGCATTACAGCTGCTGTGCATAATGCCCGGCCCCAGCCAGCTCTATGGCAAGGAAGGACCACAGAGCCAGTCTTCTCAGAAAGGCCCCCACACAATCTATAGGCACAGCCCTGGTGTGTGTAGCAGGGGCTGGAATCCTATGAGGCCATCTTACAAAGCAGAAACGCCCTCTTTCTCCTTCTTTTGAGATTTGCTCTCCCTGAAAGAAGTGTTTTAAGAATGTTTTATGTGTTTTTGCCTTCTAGATTCTTAATTTTTCCAAACTAGAGGTGAAGATTGACGCAGTAGAAAGAAAAGTGTCCATCAGAGAGCAGGTAGCTGTGGAGAAGGAAGAATGAAGTAAGAGGAAGAGGAACCTCCTGTCAGATATCAACACACTTTGGTTTCCTCTTGTCCAGGAGCAAGAGGAGAGCGAGGGGGCCCTCCCGAAGGACACTGACAAGAGCCTGGCGCAGAGGTTCAAGGCCTTCGAGCTCACCCTGAAGGCCGTCCAGAGCGTCCTCGCGCACTGGGACCGGAAGCAGGGCGTTCTGCTGCAGCGCGCCGGCGCTGAGGACGCGGGCCACGAGGAAGGCGCCGACCAGCGCCAGGTTCCCTCCGCTGGACGCCGAGGCCGCAAGGAGCGCGAGCGGGAGCGCGCCGAGAGGGAGCGCCTGGAGCGGGAGAGGGCGGAGAGGGAGCGGCTGGAGAAGCTCCGCGCCCAGGAGGAGCGCAGCGACGGCGGCGAGGGCCAGGAGGAGGACCGCGAGGGGAAGAAGGATCTGGGCGTGCCGTTCGTAAGCATCCAGACGCCTGACCCCGAAGGCTCGAGCTGGAAGCAGGCCCTGGAACACGAGAGGCTTCCTAAAGGGGAGCAGGTACAGACTCTCCTCCAAGACAGAGATGTCCCGATCAGGTAGCCAGGTAGCCGTACAGAGCTAGTCCTTGTAAATGTGTTTTCAACACAAAATCCAGATCCCCTTAGTTCCATTCATCTCTGATGTCCCTTTGTATATAAAACAAAAATGGCTAAAAGGACCTTTTTCTATGTGATGCAATATCCATAGGAAGTTCCACAGATCTAAACTATTCCATCTAACCTTATAAAAAGCCACTCATAAAATTAATTTTAGTATTGACAATGCTGTGTTATGGGTTGGCAAGGCAGGTATACTTTGGGGGTGATGCAAATGGCTCAACTATTCTAAAATTTCTTTCCCATAAGCTTCCCACCATGACAGAAATTATACGACCAGACAGCTTCTTGTACCTAGAAACAAAAGCATCATATTCAGAAACCCCTTTGGCAGTGATTTGGAGGGGATCGTTATTATAACCTTTCATCCCGGGACAAACTTTTTTGGTGAAACACCAAAAACAAATATTTGAGGCTACAGGTCATACAGTCTCTGTCCCAAACCCCCACCCCCAACAATGGATATGACTGGACATGACTCTGTTCAGATACAGCTTGATTTACAAAAGCAGGTAGCAAGCCAGATTTGAGCAGGGGGCCACAGTCTACCCGTTGGTTTAGTTTAGTATTTATCAGAAACTAGATGCAACCTTAAAAGTAGAGAGCAGAGCCTGAGAGGAACCATGACTTAGACTTGCTTAAAGACCTTCCTGCCTCTATTAATTTAATAGGGGATTAAAGTTATTCATCCCTTTTCTCACAGATATTATGAATCCTGGGAGTTAACTCTAGCTACATGTTAGTCAGGAAGTGTCTTCAACTTTCTGACCCAGAAAATTAGCAACAACGGATTGCATGAAGATAGTTACTTGCTTGAGCTAATAGCCTGTTTGGTCCACTCAGGTGGCCTCATGGTTGTGATGACAATAATTAATCAAGGGATAGCATCCTTTTTCTGAGGGTTTTACAAGCTGAGGAGAAAATTGCTACCAGATTTTCAAGCCATCTGCTCTGGATGGCTCACATTCATTATATATCAGAGTAGAATGGGAAATGCTGCAGGAATAAGTTGACTCTCTAAAGTTTCTTTTTTAACTTCTCTCTTCATTCCCATCTTTCACCCCATTCCCAGAACCTTGATGTGCTTTTTTTTTTTCTTTGCTGTATGTGACCTGCTCTAGCAGTAACTCTCTTTTACCTTTGAAAAGAAAGAACACTTAAAGGTAGAAGAGATATTAACAGGGGATCTGAAAATAAATGAAACAGCTCTATACTATAGACATCAAAATGTTAAGAGATGGTCTCTTTAAACAGAGGTTTGAGTAATGAACTTATCTCTGCAGTCCAGTTGCAGAGATAGACCATCAAGCAATCGTAATAAAGTGACAAAGGTTATGATAAGAGAGGGAGCCTGAAGCCCATAGCAAGAGCCCCAGCTGGGTCTGGAGGTGTGGGGTCTGGAAAGACCTGCGGAGCTATGTCAGAGGCCCTTTACACACCATCCCTGACACATGCCTATATCAGGGCGTCTCCTGAGAAAGTTGAGAGAAAGGAGGGAGGATCTCACCATCCTGTGCTCTTTCAGGGAGGCCGTTAGGGGTAGCCTGCCCTCTACACCAGAAATTAATCTTTATATTTTCCTTTAGATCCTAGACATCTTGGGCCTGGGTTCTTCTGGACCACCTATCCCACCACCTGCTTTGTTCTCAATCATCTCCTATCCTGTGAAGCGACAGCCTTTGACCATGACAGAAATCCTGAAGCATTTTGTGTTTGTAACTCCACCCTCTGAAGAGCTCTCCCTGATGGAGGAGAAAAGAGAAGTGGAGGCAGAAACAGAGCTTTCAGCCACTCCGGGCTCCTCAAAGGTAAAGGGAGAAACATACTCCTGACCTTGGCGAGACTTCACATGGGCCCTCCACGTGGCCAAAAATTGAGCCCGAGGTTGATGTCAAGTTCACTGGGGTGTTTGCCTCCACTCACTTGGGATTCCACCCGAGCCTTCCTAAGTTGCACCTTCCCTTGGTCTGACTCTTCCTGTGCCCCCAAGAAGAGACTAAAAATGACACTTGTTGATTTGCTCTAAAGCTCATTTGCAAAAAAAAAAAAAAAGCAAAACTGGCTCTTTAAAAAAGGTAGCAAAATGTATTATGAAGCTAAGGTAATTCACACAGTGCAGAAGAATACAAGAATCAACAGACACAAGGAAACACACACCATTAGAAAAAGAAAAGACTATTAAGAAATTATATGGGGAAGATAGGATATTTTGGATAAAGTTGCTTTTTATCTCCTTGCCTGACACAGTGCAGTAAAAGTAATTCCACCTAGATTAAAAGGATAAGTGTTCAAAATGAAATCATGTAAAAGTAGAAAATTTATTTTTACATATACAGTTAATGGAATAAATAAAGAAAAATAGATTTGACTAGTAATATGAAGAATGCATGGATATTAAAAATTACAGAGGGGCTTTTTATTACCAGAGGAGTAAGTAGTTCAGTTCAGTCACTCAGTCGTGTCCAACTCTTTTGACCCCATGGACAGCAGCACGCCAGGCTTCCCTGTTCATCACCAACTCCCGGAGCCTACTCAAACTCATGTCCATAGCATTGGTGATGCCATCCGACCATCTCATCCTCGGTCGTCCCCTTCTCTTCCGGCCTTCAATCTTTCCCAGCATCCGGGTCTTTTCCAATGAGTTGGTTCTTCACATCAGGTGGCCAAAGAGGAGTATAGGGACCAAAATTTGAATCGCCTCCTAGCCTTCTTCCTGTAAACCATGCATGTTAGCAAAAAACAAAATCAGCAGCAAATAAAGTTATCTATAGGCCCTGCTTACACCTCAATTAGGTAACAGAGAGCCCCAGACTTCAGTTTGGTAAGTAAATAGACAATCAGCATCAGGTATCAGCACTGGTGGGCAGGCCTTACTTGGGCAGAGTCCAATAAAAAGGTAAAAAAGAAAATATTGCCACCATCAGAGGTGACTATTACACCAACCTCTTTTCTGAAAATTGAACCTTAAGGGGAAAGAGTTTAGCTTTCTTTAACTTACAGTTTTAGGAGGAACTCAAGCTCATCTCCAGTACATGAAGGAAAGCTCTTCTTTCTAGGAGAATGACAGCTGAAATTATAAAAAGAATGGTAGAATTAGAAAGGCACCATTTTGATATCCCCAGTGACGTACTTGATTAAGGAGTGCCAGGGGATTCCTAGAGTGCTGGTTTGTTGGAGAACAGGACACTCACTCTGAGCCAGAGCATCGTCCCATGGGCGGCTGGCTGGCTGCAGAGAGGGACGTCCGCTTTGCCATGGCCAAGATCTGCGAGCATCACTGCAGCCACACAGACACCCTTTGCATCTGTAATCGTGAGTCTACCTGACATCATTTGTCTCCCACTGTGACCGAGTATGGTGTGCACAGCATCCTCTCTGAATCTAATCGAGCTTTTAAATCTTTTTTTCAGCTTACATGAAATACAGGAAATAAGTTAAGTTTTAAGTGACACTCTGAGAACAGTCAAAAGATTTACAGACTATGGGATATTCTGTCATGATACAGATTTGGTCTATGAAAAAAATCAGTGTGATTGGGAAGAAATTAGAAATCTAGATTTAAAAAATTACTAAAGAAGCACAACAACAAAATACAGTATGGGAACACACTCCAGACCAGCTTCAAGCTTTCTCTGGAGCTTTGGCCTCCTTTCAGGGAATGGGGTACCAGGGAAAGACCTAGGCTCCTCTCCACACTTCTCTCCTACAGTACTGTCACAGTCTGGGCCCTGCCATTCTCAGCAGTCGCCAGCATCTTGAACCTGGTGAGGTCACCCCAAACCGCAGGCAAAGTCATGGGCATTCCTGTCTCCTGCTGCTGTGATCGTAGGATGATTGTTTAAGACCCTGTGCTCATTTTCAATTTAAGACCCAGGAGGAGCAAACCACCTCATCTAAAGGGAGCAAACAGAAAACGAAAGAAAAAGAGAAAGACAAAACAGATCAGCTGCGTGAGACTCAGAAGGAGAAACGTCGAATGGCCTTCAACAGGAAGGGCCTTTCTGCAGGAACTTCCGGAACTGTTGCTCCACTATCGTACATAGAGCAAAACAACTTATCTGGGCAGCATTCCCAGGAGAAATTCACCAGGTGGGCCTTGGAGCCAGCTAGGGAGGGGAAGACCGAAGCTCCAAATGAGGGTGTGGCTGTCACAGCCTCAGATGGGAACTGGGTTGTCCTGACTGTTAAGGACCTCTGTGGCGGTCAAGGACCGCCATGCCTAACCGCAGCAGGATAAGACTTCTCCCAGGCAACAGTCCTGTCTTCTCTTGGCCCAGAGGAGGCATCCTCACAGTAAAAGCCTGTGTGGTCATTTTCAGGCTCAATCATTTCCGGTGGATTGTGCCTGCCAACGGTGAGGTGACATTGCGCGTGCACTTCTCTTCGAACGATCTTGGGATCTTTGACCAAACATTTAACTTTGAGATCCTTGGAACTCACCGCCAGTACCAGCTTTACTGCCGAGGTGTCTGCACTTACCCATACATTTGCCAGGACCCAAAGTAAGTGTATTTTGTCCTTAAAGAAAAGATTGGCAGATACATTTTTGTTTTCCCCCATGGGACTTTGAACAAGGTGTGTCTTAATAGAAATGTGGAACCAGGGCAGCATCCCAGGCCCTCTTGTACTGGGCTCCAGAGCCATGGGCATTGATTGAGTCACAGAAATGACACAGTACCATGTAGCTGAAGTAGAATGCTGGCAGATGTGAAGGGCAAGGGGATGTCTTCCTGTGGCAAGTTAGTTTGTTTATTTAACTATTAAGCAACTGTAAACATATTTTATATTAGCTGTAGGACTTTTATTCTGTAACCTCAGTATATGTGTGTATCTCCACAGGCAGATTTTTTTCCTGAGTACCAACCACTGAGCCCCTTATGCACCACATAAAGGCCCCTGGCTTGAGTAAGCCAGGGGACTCTTTATAGCTTGTACACCAGGAAGAGTTTTTTTATAATTCTCACCAAGGGGCCACATCGGACAGGGAGCTCAGAAGCTGGGTAAGATCCACCAGAACTAGGCTTCCTTAGGGTTTCTCGGGGCTTTTTCTAGCTAGGCACACTAGAACAGGAAGTCCAGCTCAGTTTCATCATCAGCCCCATTATGAAAGACACTCCTGGGAATATTTTTTTCTCAGGTTCAAAACTATACTGTCTTCCCTCAGGGTTGGTTCCAGAAATGTCCTCAAATTAAGAGTTGTTCTGTCTCCAGACTCCTGGACCCTTTGCTGAACAGGGAATGTTGGGTTCGTGTATACATCATGTGGAGGCATTCAGACACTCCTCCTCTCCTCTTCCTCCTCTGTGTTCAGGGTGGTATTCCCTCAGCAGAAGATGGACATGAAGGCAAATGAGATCATCTTTAAGAAGTATATTGTGAGCTTGGAGAGGTTTCACTTCGGACCGCTGCTTTGTGGGAAATCAAGAGACAAGTAAGTGTTCCACTATTTCAAAGCAGATCTCAGACCCCTGGGTTGGACCCATGAAGAGTATGAGCCGGGTTCCTATGTATTAATAGTAGACCCAGCTCTTACTGACATTGCCTCAGGTAGCCCTGTACCACAGATCAGAAGTGGGTTCTTGTGCCCCAAGTTTCTGCTAAGCTCTCAAGTGACTGAGGATGCTGTTTTCCCGGATGGGGTGGCCTGGAGGAAGACCTAGTTTGGGTAGGGCAAGGGTAGGATGTAGAGTTTACTTGGGGATGTGTTCAGTTTGAGATGCTCGCGAGATACAGCTAGAAGCCACAGAAAGCAGGGCATAGTCTATACGGTTTTGGTTCTCAGAGGAAAGTCTGTTTCAAGACAAAAAAATGCCATGGGTCTGATGAGATCACCTAAATGAGAATACACAGTAAGGCGAGAAGGACCGTGGATGCAGCCCTAAAGAATTCCACCACTCACCAGAGATAAGAGGGCAGGGGCTACTGGTGGAAACCGGTAGAGCATGGTGTCCTGGAGCCATGAGAAGAGGGCCTGGCCATCCATGTTGATTGTGGCAGGGAGGGTGGAAAGGTGATAACATCAACGTCCATGGGGCTTAACAACACGGAAGTCATAGGACCCTCTCAGGGGATTTCTGAGGATGAAATCCAAGTAAAGTGAGTTGAAGAGTGAGTGGGAGGTGAGAGAATAGAGACAGAGTGTGGAGGTGGTTCTTTGGAGAAGCTTGACTGTAAAGGGAGATGGAGGCAGCTGGGGACAGGAGAGAGACCTGGAGTGCGGGGAAGGCTCTTCGTTCACTGTTGTTCTTATGATGTTTAGATGTCAAGGGGGGAAGTAGGGAGGAAGAAGCTAGAGTTTCCAGAGAAAGTCAGGGCAGTGAGTGGTGCAGCTCCCTGAAACAACACAAGAGGTGGAGATGCTGGCTTTGCCAGGACAAAGGACCATCATCACATCGGAGGAAGGTGAGATGGCTTCAGGTGCAGGTAGGGTCACAGATTTGACTGGAATGGTGAGGTTCCCATGCAACCATTTTCTTCGTAGTGAATGATGTGAGGTCATCCCTAACAGTGAGGCAAGTGGAAGGAAGTTTAAAATGTTGGGAAAATGGAGAAGGTATGAAACAGGTTTTGTGCAAAGTCGGAGAGGGAGAATATTAGAGAAATAAATAAGATTATCTGGCAGAACTGGGGGCCAGCTAAGGTCAATGGTCATTAATATTTAGTGATACAAGTTTTTTTTTGTTTTTAGTCATATATAAGTTGCTTATTATATAGGCAGGAGGGTGAGACCAAAAACAGAACCAGGATCTCAATCATGTTTTAATTCCATCTAGCATTTATTGTGATAAGTGGCGAATGATTATTTCTATGCTTACTTGGTGAAACTAATGAGCCAAGTTAGATCTCCATTCCCTTCATAACCTCTTGTTTATTTCCTAAGATATTGGACTAGAAAATGAAGTTGAAGAGAGTTGACTATTGATGGAGAGGATCCTTAAGACCCAGTAGAAAGGCTTAGACAAGAGAGGGGGTGGGAGTAAGGTTGATGGATGTGATATAGATCCATCAGTAGCCAGCCAGAGGTGGGATTCAGGGAAATGATGGCCGGTTCAGAGAGGCCTGTGTTCTGAGCAGCACTGGAATTAACCAGGGTATTAGGCCAGACAGCAATGATCCAAGAGGGCAATTACAGTGGTCCCTATCTTTTAAGTCTTGCTGAGCCTCAATGTCCTCATCTGCAGAACGGGAAGATAATAGCACCTACTGCACAGTTTTGGAAAGACCGAACTAGAGAGTACACATGTAACTTTTAGCAAGGTGCTTGGTGGTGATAATTAACAGTGAGATGTGAAGGCCACCACCTCTCTGGCAGTTACACAGAGAAAGCTCTGTCTCTCGGATTTAATCTCTGCCATGCCTTCTCCTCCCTTCCTCCATTGTAGAGTGTCCAGAGAGCTCTTCAGACTGTTTGTGGGCACGGTGATGCCGTGCCTTCCTGACCTGTGCTATAACCTCCAGCAATGTGTGTGTCTGTTGATGTTCCCTGCGCCTTCTCTGGCTGCTTTTCTGCTTGGTACCATTAACTGGGCAGTTTCTAGTGCTTACAGTGCTCCACTCGGTGGGTCTCTCCCTAAGGTACTAGGGAACAGAAACAGCCCTGAGCAGTGAGCAGTGTCAAATGCACCTATGTCGAAACAGTAGCATCCTGTGTGAGTGTAGGAGAAGGTGGTAAATGAGGTCTTCTCTAAGATATGAAATAACAGGTTACTCAAACGATCATCTGTCTTGGCAGCATAAGCACTGGGAAGGATAGAGCTACAGTTTTCTTAGAAATCTTTGCCGTAGTAACAACTGCCCTTTATTGGACATTTGTTATCTGCAGCTCTCCTCAGAGCATTAGGTGCTCTATTTCATTTGATACTCTTGATATCAAGAGTATCAAATGTACTCTTGATATTTCATTTGATACTTGAAATCCGGAGAGTTTTTATCATCCCATCTTAAAAAGATGAGACCAAGGTTTAAGGTGGGTTTGTGGGGGAGTAGTCAGGTCACAGCTGCAAGTCTTCACCATAAGGTTTGTGTTCGTAGCCTTCATGCCACTGCCTCTGTGTCGCCACTTTATCCTTTGAAATTGCCTTGCACCTCACAGTCTGCTTTTCCACCTGAATTCTCAGCCAGTCCTCACATCCACATCCGGAATTTTTGTTCACTTCCAGGTACAAGTCCTCTTTGTTCCCAGGCAACATGGAGACACTGACAATCCTGAACAGCTCCCCAATGGTCGTGGAGGCGTTCTTCTGTTTTCAGAATGACATCAAAGCAAACACCTACTTCCTGGAGCCCATCAACATGATTCTGAAACCCAATGAGAAGCAGGTACAGTCACGTGGAAACAAGTCTACCAGGGCAAGGCTTTCCTTTGAATTTTGAGGCCTTGGCATCCTGGATATAAATGTTCTTTGCTTTGACTCTCCCATTAGCTGCTGAATGTATGGGCCTACCCTACTGCAGTCGGTGTCTTTGAAGATAGCATCGTCTGCTGCATCAAGGAGAACCCCGAGCCTGCTGTCTTCAAGTTAAGCTGCCAGGGTGTCCGCCCAGAACTGGAGCTGGATCCCAGGCAATTGCATTTTGACCGGCTCTTGCTGCACAGGTCAGAGTTCTAGATGAGTCCAGGACTGGGATGAATGAAATTTAAAGAACATTTAGTTCTAAAGTGACCAACTCATCCTGATTTGCTTGGGACCTGCCTGGTTTTAATGTTGAAAGTCCTCCGTCCTGGGAGACTTCTGGTCCTGTGCAAATCGGGATGGGTGGTAACCCTCTGAGTTCACAGGTTGTCAGCTTGGGTTCAGTGAATGGACTGCAGGCAGTTTAAGGACTTCTCTAAGATCAACTGCCAAAGTGTGTGCATGTTTGTGTTTTTTTTCAGAAGGGCTAGCTTTTTTCAGATTTTCAGTCCATTACCCTAAAAGGTTAAGAATCTTGGCTCTATAAATTTAGAGGACAAGCAGAAAACACTAGACCAGACCTAGAACTTACACAGTGATTCATGGAAATTGTATTATTCTAAATAGAGAATGTTTATTTCTGAGGCAGCTGGGGAAGTATATTGATTCATGTATCCTGCATTTCCTGATCATCACAGATAGGCCCTGTTCCCTGCAATAAATAGTAATAAACTGGTATGAATTGAAATAACCAGAAGTGTTTTTTCTGACTTGCCATAATAAATCAAAATTGTTTGAAGCAGACAGAATTTCCTTTGGTCTCTGCAGAAAAGACTCCAAGGCAGTTCTTCTCCGCAACATCACACTCCTGCCCCTGGCCTGGAGGATCACCAGCCTGGAGCACCTGGGTGAAGACTTCACCGTGTCCGCCATGCAGGGGACCATAGCCCCCAAGTCTGAGTATAGCCTTCAGGTGCACTTCCTGCCCTCCAAACCTGTCATTGTCAAGAAGGCAATCCGGTTGGAGGTGAGGCTTCCTGTGTCTTCAGACCTGGCCACCAAGATGTGTACACACTGGGCTCGCTGACACCCACACTACCAACTCACAGACATACCAAAGCAATTCTCCATATTGCATGCTCCCATCTAGTCTGTGTTGGACAACCCACAACGTCCTGCTCTGCTTCTCTTCCCAGGTTGTATTCCTTCAGCATCCACACGAGGAAATGCCTTGCTTTTTGGTCACTCTGAAAAGCACTGTGGTGAACTTTATCAAATAAAGTTGTCCTTATTTTCCAAATTTTCCTTATTTTCCCTAATTACAAAATTTAATCCCCCCCCACCCCACTTCCCCTGCCATCCAGTAGAGTAGCAAAGGAAATAGGTACTCTGGGTACTTGGTCTCTATCAGTAGAGGAGAACTATATAAATTCTGGATCTGACAGCCCAAGTTCTTTGTCTTACCATCCCCTCCTGCTGCCAGCCCTTCTTGTCATCTCTGTCAGAAGCTGAGCATCACAAGAAAGAAGGTAAACTCAAGCAATCCAATTTGTTCTGTGAAACATTGGCAGAATGCTTGATGAAAGATGGTAACTCTGAATTAAAACTTGAGTTTGGTGACAGCTACAGATTTCCTCCCTGGCACCTTAATAAGGCACCAGCTGTGGGGAGCTGGCCACTTAGCTTTCCAGCTTGGGGCTTCAGCAGAGAGGCAGGTGGTCTCCAGGCAGATACAGAGAGCCACCCCCACTCTCCAGTGCCTCCTCCCCTCGAAACACAGACCCTTTACTGCCCCATCATCAGTCTCAAGAGTCAACAGTCAGATCCAGCTAAAGACTGACAGCAGTTCAGATACCCATCAGGACAGTGAGGAGGACCCACCATCAGAGATGACCGCAGAGGGGACAGCAGTCAGGAGAGCTACCTCCATCAGGGACAACAGAGGGGACAGAAATCGGCTGGAGGCTAGGAGGCTTGCTTTTATTTATTTTTTTTAACTTTTCCAGCTTTAATAGTAGTGGCGTTCATTGTTTTAAATCTGAAATTTCCAAAAGAGGGACATCAAGTACTCATTTTATTTGAAAAACCTGGCACTTTTATCATGGGTTGAATCAGAAATAAAGAACAAAGCAGTTCAGATTTATAAAATGAGTTAAAGCAATTTAGAATATAAAAGATTTTCATTTCAACTGTCAGAAAAATGCTCTTCAGGTTTATTTGACTTAAAAGTTCAAAGAAGGCTTTCCTGCTGTGTGTACTCACAATCCAAACTTCAGTAAGGTAGTGCCAGTGATACAGATTATTGAAACCCAGTGAGTAGACAAGATGGAAAATGTAGTCCCTCTTCCTCATCCTTTTATTGATTGCCTACACCAGCCCTCCCCCAAAGGATATTACAAAGAACACTCAGCCTATACAAATCCTCAGTAAACAAAAACTAAATACATTGCAAAAATGTTTCTTACCACAGCCCCTTCTACATGATCCCCTCCTGCAGGTTCTTTAGTTTCAGACTCCCAAGAACCCTGCGGGTCTTGCCCTCACTAAAGAATGTCTCTTACCCTGACAGGTTTTAGACGCAGACAACCTCATTGGTGTCGTTCAGATTGAAAACATCCTGATCTTTGCCGAGTCCTATGACGTTGCCTTAGACATCACCTTCCCCAAAGGTCTGTTGACTCCTCCAAAGAAAGGGTGTTTAGAGGTCACATCTTTTAGGGCAGTGTGTTTCCTGTGTAGAGAAAGACCAGTGATTATTGGAGAGAAAGGTGGAATTGAAATAAATGGTGAGCAGGCAAACTAAAGTGATGTTAGCAGTGTTAGTACAAATTTTAATCTCTCCAACTGGAGACAATAATGGGGTGGTCAAAATTTTAAATTCAAAGAGTTCTTTTCTGAGCAGTCATCTGAGAGTGAGTTCTTATCTGCCTGCTTGTGTTGCTTTTCTGTCACCACCCTAACAAATTACCATGAACTTTGTGGTTTAAAACAATACAGATCTATTATCTTACAGTTCTGTAGGTCAGCAGTCCAAAATGGCTCTCCCTCGGCTAAAACCAGAGTGTTGCAGGGCTACTGTCCCTTCTGGAGCCTTTGGGGGAGAACCCATTTCCTTGCTTTTTCCACCTTCTGGGAGCCACACACATCCCTCAGCTCATGATCCTCTTTCTCCCTCTTCAAAGCCAGCAGTGTTGGGTCCAGTCCTTCTCCCACTTCCATCTCTCTCTTCTGCGTTTATGAACCATTGTGATTACTTGGGGTCCCCCCAGAGACTCCAGGAAATTCTCCCTTATTTTAAAGACAGATGATTGCCAATCTTGATTCCATCTAATACCTTAAGCCCCCTTTGCCATGTAAATTGGCATACTTACAGGTTCTGGGTATTAGGACATGGGCATCTTTGATGGGGGAGGTGCCAGGCCTTATTCTGCCTACCACACTGCCCCAACACCCAGGAGGTTAGGGCCCTCCTTTCTCTGATAGGTCTGCTACTCAGCATGACTCATAGAATGTTAGAGCTACATGTTTGCCTTGATGTCATTGGTCTTACGCACAGCATTATTTATTGCAGCATTATTTATAATAATGGAAGATTAGGAGTACCCTAAGTGTCTATCTGTAATAGAATATTATTATTGTAGGAATAATATTGTAAATTATGAAACAGCCATATCATAGTATATTGTGCAGCCATAAATACAACATGGGGAGATTTTAGTTACATAGGGAAATGATTATGATGTAATACAAAGTATAATATGAATTTATGCATTATGTCTCAACTCGGTACATTATACACATGATTCAAAAGATTTTTGTTTAAACACTGGGACTTTTAGACAGCCCTCAGATTGGGAGAAAATAATAGCAAACGAAGCAACAGACAAAGGATTAATCTCAAAAATATACAAGCAACTCCTCCAGCTCAACTCCAGAAAAATAAATGACCCAATCAAAAAATGGGCCAAAGAACTGAACAGACATTTCTCCAAGGAAGACATACAGATGGCTAACAAACACATGAAAAGATGCTCAACATCACTCATTATCAGAGAAATGCAAATCAAAACCACAATGAGGTACCATTACACACCAGTCAGGATGGCTGCTATCCAAAAGTCTACAAGCAATAAATGCTGGAGAGGGTGTGGAGAAAAGGGAACCCTCTTACACTGTTGGTGGGAATGCAAATTAGTACAGCCACTATGGAAAACAGTGTGGAGATTTCTTAAAAAGCTGGAAATAGAACTGCCATATGACCCAGCAATCCCACTTCTGGGCATACACACCGAGGAAACCAGATCTGAAAGAGACACGTGCACCCCAATGTTCATCGCAGCACTGTTTATAATAGCCAGGACATGGAAGCAACCTAGATGCCCATCAGCAGATGAATGGATGAGGAAGCTGTGGTACATATACACCATGGAATATTACTCAGCCAGTAAAAAGAATTCATTTGAATCAGTTCTAATGAGATGGATGAAACTGGAGCCCATTATACAGAGCGAAGTAAGCCAGAAAGATAAAGACCATTACAGTATACTAACACATATATATGGAATTTAGAAAGATGGTAACGATAACTCTATGTGCAAAACAGAAAAAGAGACTCCTATGTATAGAACAGACTTGTGGACTCTGGGAGAAGGCGAGGGTGGGATGTTTCAAGAGAACTGCATTGAAACACGTATATTATCTAGGGTGAAACAGATCACCAGCCCAGGTTGGGTGCATGAGACAAGTGCTCGGGCCTGGTGCACTGGGAAGACCCAGAGGGATTGGGTGGAGAGGGAGGTGGGAGGGGGGACCGGGATGGGGAATACATGTAAAAAAAAAAAAAAAAAAAAGATACACTATGGTTGTGATAAAAAAAATTAAAAAAAAAAACAAAAAAACACTGGGACTTTTAGCTAATGAGAGACATGAAAGGAAGAACAACAGTCCTAAGGTGGAAGCTAGAGGGAGCCACCTAGTTGAACTGAGTACAGGAGAAGTGTCTGTTGTTTGTTTGCTAAGACTCAATTCCAAGTTCTTCTAGCCACAGTGCTTTTAAGAAACAGATTCTCTGAAATTGTCACCATGGATTTTCCATGTGAACGTCAATAGGAAGTTCCCTTGCTTCTCGCTCCCATGCTCACTCACCCCTTCCCACCCTGGCCCCTGCCTTCTTCAGGAGCTGAAGGAGGCCTTGATCTGGGGATTGTGAAGGTCATGGACGAGGTGAAGCAGCCCCTGCAGCTGAAGAACCGTGGGAAATATGAGATCATGTTCAGGTAACCTAAAAATTATCGAGCATATGGTCGTCCACATCCTCTCGTGGCGAGAGGAGTGTTGCCTGAGAGAGTTTTTTTAAAAAGTCCATCAAGGAAATTCTAAGAACCATCTCTGCTGTTAGCCTTTCTTAGCTTCAAATGAATGGAATCCCAGCTGCTCTGCAGGTTGAGCCACAGGGGCCTGGGGGTAGGGAGGAGCCTGGCAGGGAATTTGGAGGAGGAGATACTGGGGTGCCGGGAGGTCTTAGGGATTGAGAGAGAGACTGGAGATGGGGGCCCTGCCCTCAAGACATCCTGCCAGCCTTCCAGCTCCTCTCTGTTTCATAAGCTGATGGTCTACATAAGATTTTACGTTAAGAAGGGATTGTCCATTTTTCTTTCTTAATGTTAAGAACTATTATATTATGGATTCCAAATGACAGCCTGGTGGGAGACAGCTCCAGCTGTGCTCATCTTTAGATTAAAAATAAAACCCTAAATAAAGAAGGCTCCTCAAGGAGGAAGAAGTGGCTCTGGGGCAGGGAGGGAGGAGGTCCTCAGGCAGCGCCAGCACCCACAGCTGGTTGATGTTTTGGAAGGTCGTCCTTCTCCCAGAAGAATTTGAAGTTGATAAAGGGACTTCCCCCACCACACAGACTTAATAGGAACTCTGTGTATTCATGAGTGTTTCATTTCAGTTCAAAGAATGCTGAAACTAGAGAGGTCCCACCTCAATACTGCTGTTTCTTAGAACTAGAAAATGAAATAAGTTAATATAAATAAATGCTAAACAAACCTACAAGACAGCCACAGTCACTTTGGAATTAGAGCTAAATGGAATCTTGCACGTTGTGAGTTTTATTTTATAGATTATGATGGGTGTTACCCCTGCTCTTTTAGGCTGCGTGGAACAGTCTCCCTCAGGTTGGAGCGGGTGGTCAGGGTTCACTGAAAGGATGGATGTGCAGGGAGGTGAGGCAGCTCAGGCAGCATGCGGGCTGCAGTGAAGGCCAGATCTCCTGGAGTGAGCATGGGGATGACATGTGGGTCCCTATGGCAACTCCACGCGTCTCGCTCAGCTGAGGTTTCTTGCTCCAGCTCCAGTCCCCAAGCTTTTCTCTGCGGCCTCTCATCTCACTTGCACTGGGCCAGGGCTGCGCTTCTGAACACCTCGGTTGGATGACTCCTGCCCCTGCCCTTTCAGTCCTTCCTTAGATCCCCCAGCTTCTGCATTCCTGTTCCCTCTATGTCTACTGCATTCAGTCTTAGAGCAAGAAGGGAGACAGAGAGAGAGAGAGGGAGACAGAGAGGCAGGGAGAGGGAGAAATGACTTGATTTGGTCCTTATCCAATATCACATGTTCCTGTTAGACAGAGCTCCCCTGCAAGGACATCTCTTAACCATGGGCTGGAGATGGCTATCTTGGCCTCAAGCCTCAGTGCCTGGCTGGTCGATCCTGGCTAAGGAGTGGTCACTGAGTACAGAGCACAGTGAACATTGCTCGCCATAGTGGTTAAACAGGGCTGGGGACGTGGCAGGTACTTACAGTCTACAGTCTCATCTTTGGTGTCTTGAGCTTCCTAGATAATGACTTAAACTGACTTTTTCTTCTTGTCACTCAGCTTTTCTGTGGAATCTGTAGGGATTTCAGCAACCAATATAAGTTCCATGATCACAGTGCAACCCAAGAAGGGCTCACTGACCATGACAGAAAAGCCCACAAATGTCCAGGTGATCTTCCACGCAAAGAAGGAAGTGAAAATCGAGAACCAGCCAGTTCTGCGCTGTCAGGTAAGAGAGCTTGAAGGGATGACTCCCACGGTGGCAGGTACCAAAATGAAGCTTATGTAGTCTGACCCACGCCCTGAGGGGGAAAGGGAGGGCAGACCAGGTGGCCACCAGACAGGGTTCACCAGGGCTTGGGGATCCACAGGCACAGATAGGTCAGGTGGGAGGTGTTCAGAGTCATCAGAAATTGAAGCTCCAGAGAAGAAATGTGGCCCCTGGTCTTTGGAAGAGACCAGACCAGAGACAGGGAGGCTGAGTTCAGTCATCAAGTGCTAAAGAAAAGGGGGAAGTGATAATGGGAGGCAGAGCTGGTGCATGTTGACCCGTAGCTGATACACAGTAAGTCTCATGTTAGCATTTACTCGTATTATCAATGTAATTATATATGGCTTTGTGTCAATGAAGAAAATAAGGAATGGAGTAGACAGCCATAGAAATTATGCTGGCAACTATTATTCTGGTAGCTGACATCTTCCCAATCTGTCTTCCCTTTCTAGATTATTGAGCCTAATATCTCAGAAGGAGGTGAAATGATTGCCAGCATCCCGATTAAGTTTTCTGTGACTGCGGTGTTCTCCAAATACAATATCAGCCCCTCCTCCATCATCAACTTCGGGGCTTTGATCTATGGCACTCGTAAAAGCGCCTTCTTCACCATAGAAAATCTAGGTGTGATTGACTTCAAATATGCTCTGTATAGAACGACAGGGGAGAGCCCCCTTCATCAGAAGAAAGTGTAAGACAAGTATTTACTTAACTCAAAACATCCCCTGGTTAATTGGTGCTTTTTATTCTCCCATGAGCTTTCATATATTTTATCTAAACTCATCCACCCAATCCCCCTTCATGGGTGAGGTTACTAAGGTTTAGAAATGGCTCATCCAAGATTATCAAAAAAATCACCAGTGAATCTCAATTCTGAACTCACATCTCTGACTCCAAATTTCACATGCTTTTCAACTGCTGTCCAACATGCGATGCATGTTAATTGAATAAATGTAAAGTCTCCTGCTTGGGATTGTGTCTGTTGTCTCGATGTGCCTAGTGTGCTACGTTGCTTACCAGTAAGTCACTTCCTGTCTGTCATTCTGTAGAAGTCAAGGGATGATTATAACAGCAAGCTCAATCAAAAGAAAGCATGATGTTTCATGATATGAGGGGTAGCAAAGAGTACCCTAGAAATTTGGACTAGAGAAAAACTGGTGAGGCCTCTACCTTCCTGGGACTGTCTTTACCTTGTCCCCATGAAGACACTCAATCACTATAACTAATTTAATAATTGTTCCAACAAAGAACTGTAATTTTCACAAAGTGTTTGTCAGTCAACTAACTGAAACAGTTCATGTTTTTGAGTGCTTTTGGCTTTTATTTGATTGTCATATTCTTGGTTTTTGGTGTGTTTTTTTTACAAATTAGGGACTATTTTTACCAATTCCCAGGTACTTTGTCTTGGCTTTCTAATGAACTGACTTTCTTAATAGTCATTTAAGGCTGACTTTCTAATTAATTGTTTTAAATCAGACACACAGCTTTACATTGTTTGCAGTCATTTCATGTTTTGGTGGAGTAATACGAGTAAATTTAACTCCTCTTCCATTTTGGCAAACATTTACAATTATTATTCACTTGCAGTAATTTTAATGTCCTTAAGAGTCATAGTTAATATGTATAATTTCTGCATACTTTTCTCATACTTGTTAAATGAGTTTGGCTGTTAATAAATAAGTTGACCATGCTCCCTGATGCCCTCTGGGTAAGGAAAGGCCCTTTCCTCCATTCCAAGAAGAAGGGACTTTGCAAGCAAGCAGGTAGGTGGTATTTCATGATTACCCCACCCTGAGGGTGTATTCCCACTTCTTTAATCAGAGCCACCCATGTTAGACATGCAAGATCCCGAGAAAGCGAGAACTTCTACAAGACTGGACCTTCCAAAACAACCAAGTTCTCTGACTCTGTTCAGAAAGACGTGAACGTCACAAGCCAGGTGAGCACCCTTTTCTTTGTTCAACAGAAACCCTGTAAGGCCTCCTGCAAACTAGTTCTCCCAACAGATAATTCCCAAGGATACCAGGATTTGAATTTTGAATATTCCTACTATGGCAGGAACATTAGTTGTAATGAAACTATCACTTTCATATTAAAATAAGGAACTGTGACTTTTAATTTGGATGTCCTCTTTTGCTTTAAAACCTTCATTGGTTCCTCATTGCTTTACAATTAGTGTCTACTCTGCATAAGTATTTTCATCAAGAATCTTTTGTTGGACTTCCCTGGTGGTACAGTGGATAAGAATCCCCCTGCCAATGCAGGGGACAAGGGTCCGAAGATTCCACAGGAAGATTCCACATGCTGCAGAGCAATTAGGCCTGTGGGCCACAACTACTGAGCTTGTGTGCTGCAACTACCAAAGCACATGCACCCAGAGCCTGTACTCTGCAACAGGAGAAGCTGCTGCAATGAGAAAGCCGCACGCTGCAACAAAGATTAGCCCCTGCTCATTGCAACTTGAGAAAGCTCACACAGAGCAAGGAAGACACAGCACAGCCAGAAATAAAATTAAAAAAGAATCATTTGTTGATACAAAACAAAAGCCCATTCAGATTGGCTTAAATGAAAGAAGATTTGAAGGCTTTTACTTCTGGTAATATGAGGTAGATGATTGTTCCCTATTCTTACAAATAAGTACAACTAAAAACCATGAATGTTATGTATAAAACAAATATAGAAGACTGAGGAACAGAGAGAAAAAAACCTCACACCAGCTAAGGTTCTTAGCACCCAATAGACATCCCTGAGATTTCTTTTTACTTCGTACTTCTCAGATTTGGTACTGAGGGAGCCAGCAATCCAGAAACATCAATACGCACAGACCAAAAGCCTGCTCTCACTAGCCAAAGAACCAGAAAAAGGGTAGTCTAGCAAGACAGGAATGTTCAAATAAGAGGTGTACTATTACAGTCAAACATGACAGAGAAATCTGTGGTCCTACACCACATATTTCAAGAAAAGACCCACAGGGAACCTAGACTTCCTACTCAATTCAGGCTGTAATGAGGTCAAAGTGATATCCAAGAACACTCAGCAGAGAGCCAGAAATTCACCCACCACCACCTCAGCCGTTGTCAACAGAGACACCAATTGTGAAGCCTTGACTTCCACGCCAACCCTGTGGAAATGAGCTGCCCTTCCCCTCCCCCCAGTGGACCTCCTACTCTGTGGAATCAGCAGAACAGTAATGAGACACTATTACCCTCCCCCCTCCACCTCCGAGGGTGATCCTGGTCTAAGACTAGTGGGGAACTGGAACTCCCACCCTTGCCTGGCAGCAGTAAGAAGTCCAGTGTGGAATCTGGACTACTGTCCCCACCCAAGAGGTGTCTGAGAAAGCCAGCTCAAAGAGAAGCTTAGTAGGATCCAGAGTCTCATCATGTAATATCCAAAATGTCCAGGTTTCCACTGAAAATCACTCAGCATATCAAGAAGCTGGAAGATCTCAAACTAAGTGAAAATAGGTAAGCAATAGATGCTAACACTGAGATGACCAAAATGTTAGAGTTATATGACAAAGATGGTAAAGCAACCAACATAAAAATGCTTCAAAATGCAATTACAAGAGGGCAAAAACAGGAAGGAACCTCCTAAAACCCAGAGAGTGCATGATAACATCCCATGTTTTGAGCAGATTCTGTGCCCGTTGCTTTGTTAACTGCTTCCTGCACATTCTTCCACTGAAGCCCCCACTGGTCTCAGGGTAAAGGCTTTAGCTCCATTTTCTGGATAAAACTGAGACTCAGAGAAGTCACTTGACCAAGGTCCAACAGTTAATACACAGGAGGGTTTGAAGGCTGCGATTCAAACCCAGGACTGTCAGTCACAAAGGTCGATACTCTTAAGCCCTGCCCCTCTGCTGGGAGCTTCCCGTCTGGACAAGTGTCACACTATGTGGAATGTGTCTGTTTCCTTAGAACCCGCACTTACCGTGACTGCTCAGAAGGGGTATATAGAGAAAGAAGGCTGAGAGCGCCTGTTCCTGAGGACTGCCCGCCCCGCCCCCGGCCCTCCAGGCCTCCAGGAGCACAGCTGGGGCCCAGGGAGAGCTTGTGGGGAGGGCCTCCCACCCCCGCTGCCCAGTCCCTCTTGACACCATCTCATGACTGGTGGAAGGGCTCAGACCCTGCCGCTTACTCAGACCCTGCCACTTACTCTGCCTCTGCCCCTCCTGCAGGCTCGTTTCACCCACGGCATGTTCACCGTGTACCCTGGGTTTGGTACCATCCCTTCTGGAGGGACACAGGTCATCACTGTTGACTGCGTGGCTGACCCCGTGGGAAGATGTGAAGAGTTCATAGCAATTGATATCTCTGACCGAGATCCAAGAGACCAGCCGGCTGGCATCCCATACAGCCTGTTGGCTGAAGCCTGTCAGCCAGGTACTGAGCACTCAGATGGGGCAGCACCCCTTAAAAGACCTTCCTCTATAACGGACCCCTCCCCCTGCAGGCACCTAATAGACATTGCTAGACTTCTTCCTTTGGGACCTTAGAACTTCCTGTGGTGTCTTCAGCCATATTTTTCCTTAGACTTACAGGGCATGCGCACACCTAGAAGAGGATGTGCAGCTTTAAATTCCAGGTCTTCCTGAGTTTGGTCCAGGATTCTCAGATGGACAGTGTTATCTGGGAATCGTGGTGTGATGGGGTGTGGTGCAGGGTGACCTGGGAATACTGAATTCTGCTCAGCTGAGATCTTGCTGGTTTGAGTGGCCAGACCACTCCCTGTGCAAATGTGCCCAGGGAGTAATGATCAGGGACAGAGCAAGTTTGGAGCACAGAGACAGCTCCTCTTGCTTTGGTTCTAGGTCCCCAGCAAACTTGCACCAAAGTGAGCTGAATGCCTCCTCCTTCACTCAGCTCACCCCAGATCTCATCCTCCTTTCCATTGGAAGGAGAAGGTGGTTGGAGTCTGGAGACCAGCAAAAGCAGTCCAAAAAGGAAGAGAAGATAGAATTTGTCCCACCCCTCACACTCCCTTGTATGAATCCCCCTGTCTCTCCCCTGTGATTGTCCTTTGTCGGAGTCTGAATCTCCAAGTTAGGGATTACAGAGAGTAGAAACCGGGCACTTAGGCTCCATCTCACAGTCTTCCCTCCACTCCCCAGCCTTTGTGACTGACAACAACAGCTTGATATTTGAGGAGCACCAGCTCTGTAGCAGCGCCAACCTGAACAGCATCCTGCAGACCATAGAGAGCGGGGGCTTGTATGTGGAGGATGAGAACAAGTTCATCTTCTGCAATGTCCTGGTGGGCCATCAGGCCAAGGCTCGGTTCAAGATTTGCAATGTGGGAAAGATCTCCTGTGACGTGAACATCGTGGTTAAGCCCATCTCCAACAAGGTAGATAGCCCCAGTCCACCTGATTGGACTGGTCCACCGTGGCCCTGGTCCACTGTGGTTGGCATAAAGCCAGGGCGGGAGCTCTTGGAAGCCCCTGCTGTGGAGCCTGCATCTCTAGTGGGAATTTTCTGGCTCTCGGCCTCCCTGGAAGTTATGTGAGGGGACGTGCGTCTGTCCCAGGGGGTGTCTTCTCTGGGTACCTTGTGATAAACAGGCTCACATGACAGAGCGGAGCACTCCCGCACCAGACACTCGCCGTGTCTACAGGACAGAGACTGGCACTACGCCAGCTCTGGCAGGCTGCTCAAGGGGCACACTGGGCTGGCAAAAGAGGTTTGGGAGATGTCACTCTATAAAGTGTAAGATGAGGTGCATTTATTGAGCTCCTGCTGTATTCTGAGCAGTGCGCTGATGTTCGTTTATCTCATTTCACCCTCAGAAGTTTGTATTATCAGATTTTGTATTATTCTCCCCATTTTATCGTTAGGAAAATTGAGACTCAAAAATGCTGCATTCTTCCCCTAGGTCCCATAGCCTAGGGATATATAGCTTGGTTTAAAACCCAGCTTCGTCCGCTTAGTAGCAGAAGTGAAAATCACTCGGTCATGTCTGACTCTTTGTGACCCCCTGGACTGTAGCCCACCAAGCTCCTCTGTCCATGGGATTCTCCAGGCAAGAATACTGGAGTGGGTCGCCACGCCCTTCTCCAGGGGATTTTTCCGACCCAGGCATCAAACCCAGGTCTGCTGCATTGCAGGCAAATTCTTTACCATCTGAGTCAATACCAGCTAGAAAATAAGTGTCTATCTTGGGCTCTGCCAGACCAAAACTGCCTTTCCTCTCTAAGTTGGACCATACTGAGATACTGTTTCCTTGCCGTGGAACAGAAAATTCAGGAGACCAAGAGAAAGGACTGAGTCAGTGGGTTTCACTCCTGTTAATTTCCAGTCAGTGTCTGCAAACACTGCCTAGTGTCTCTCAGCCACATCAGTTCTCTAGCCAAAGGTAGAGTCTTGACCCTGGTGGTCCTTGTGCCCCAGAGTCACATGAGAGTAAGTTCTCACAGCTAACAGTGGTGGGGAGGTGACCTAGAGGACTGGCCTAGCCTAGAGCTGACAGTAGTATGCATTCTTGGGGAACCATCACTGCAAAGGGCCAGGGGTTGAGAGACTGTCAGCACTTTCTGACCTTCTCGGGACAGGAAAGGGCAGCTTTCTCCCTATTCCATTGCTAAACACATAAGAAATGAGCAAGCCTGACTTCTGAACAAAGGATAGGTTTTTAACAGGGATTTGTAGACATTATGTTGTTGTCCTCCTGTGGTTTTTTTTTTTTTTTACATAAAGCAAAATTTTAATTTCTGGCTCTTACAAGACCTTTTACAGTAACTCAAAAGTAAAGGGATGGAACAAGTCTTATCATTCCAATCTACCCAATGTAACTAATTAGTTACCCAGGCACCAGTTCCTCTATATTTCTTCCACCCCTTTGGGAAAATGGACTACAGAGAAACCTAGTACCTCTTGAGCAGTTCCATTCATTCCATTAATCAGTAGGCACTGATGTGCTTCACCTTCTAGCCCAGGCTTCAGACATCACACCGTATTAACCTTTGGTGATGGGTGCATCCCTAGCTGAATCTGCCTCACGGGGCCCAGAGACCGAGGCCCACACTTTTCCAGACAAATGGCATTCTGTCATCCTTCCTTAATTGGCAGATTATCCTTTGGAAAGGGCAAAGAAATTATACTCTTAGCTTAAGAGCAAGAAGGAATAATCACTCTTGAATCCCACCTGCCTCCCATGAGAACAAAAAATCCTTTAGAGGTTGTGCCCGCAGTCTTTCCCAAACACTGCCCCAAGACAGGAGCAGATAAAGTGCTACAGGAGGTGGTTCTAACTAGCACTCTTAGAATTGCAAGGAGCAGAAACCCACTCAGAATGGCTCCACCATATCAAGGTTTGGTTCGGTGAATCTGAGACCTCACATGCAGGATGGAACACAGCCTGTAGCCGGAGGCCTGGGAGACTGACTGGAATTGTCAGCTAAAATCAAACTTTCAGAAGATCATCTGCCAAAGACCACGTGTCTCTCACACATTGTGTCTCCATTGCTCTTTTCTCTGGTCTGGCTTCCAGGCCAAACCTCACTTCAGTAACCACCAGGGGTCTCTGGCATCTTAAATTTATGTGTGTGTGTGTGTGTGTGTGAGAGAGAGAGAGAGAGAAAAGTGGGGGTGGGGTGGGGTGGATCTGCTATCCAAGATACAGTTTAGTTCATCTAATTGCAAAGACCACGAGTCTGGCCAAGTCCAGCCAATTAATGCCTAGGGTTGGGTCCCCAAGAACCCAGGCCACACCTTCCAGGAGCAGGATTGTCCAAGTAGTGGGACAGGCCTGCACAGAGTTTAGAGGAGGGAAGTCACAGCAGGGCCGGTAGAGATGAGCAGCAAGCCCTGTGTAAACACCAAGTGGCATACACACCAGTCCCTGCTCCCCTTCCCCCTTCCAGGTCTATGCCCGCATCACGGACATCTTTGAAGTGGAACCCAACAAGATGTTTGTTGCAAGCCGCTCACACGCCTTTGCCACAGTGTTCTTCACCCCACAGACCATGCAGACCTACCAGTGCATCTTTGAGGCCACCTTGGACGGCTTGCCCAGGTACCAGCTCCCCAGCTCCCCTCCTCCAGCAGGGCTGCAGGCCACGCTCTCTGTGGAATGTCCTTCCTGCCTTGCTAAGCTGACTGGCCTCTATCTTCCCGTCCCCTGCAGCAACCTGACCAAGAACCGAAGCCTTGTGTTTGATATCGTTGGAGAGGGGACCCTCCCTCGGGTGACCATTGTGCGGCCAGTTCTCTACAACCAGTATAGAAACCCCTTACTTCTCTTTAAGAGGCTTCTGCTTGGTCATTCGGAGACACTGCCTCTTATCCTCAAGAACAGCGGTGCCATCCCCGCCAAGGTACTGCTGGAGGGTTAGCATGGGGTGAAAAGGGAGAGTCTTCTAGAAGTGAGACCTTTGATGTTGGGGTCTCTGCCATCCCTAACTTGTGAGGACTTCTTTCATGTTCCTCATACGGGAGCGTGGGTAAGACATCGGACTTGCAGAGGGACCCAGGGTTGGTCTGATTACTAGGACACTGATCCGTGGCACACTGGAAATGACAGTGCAAGGCAGTGAGCGGTGACATACACCAAGCTGAGTGAATAGGATTATGGCTGTTCTGAGTGTCTTTATTTTTTCACTTTTTTTTCTGTAATGAACACTGCATCTGCAATAAAGAAAAAAAGTGAAAGAAACGTCATCAGGGGTGAGAGATATAACATCTGAAGGGACTTTGGGTTCAGCACTTATGTTTTTATTTTACAAAAAAGGTGATAAATCGTGTAAGTGTTATACAATGAACTGTAGGACTTTGGAAAATGACCTACTCCTATCTAGAAGATACTGGTTTTTAGGAACTCATATTCATGCAAGTCCTCATAGAGTGATGAATATTCATTTCCATTTTATTTTTGTTGTTGCATTAGTTGCTTAGTTGTGTCCAACTCTTTGAGACCCCCATGGACTGCAGCCCACCAGGCTCCACTGTCCATGGAATTCTCCAGGCAAGAATACTGGAGTGGGTAACCTTTCCCTTCTCCAAGGGATCTTCCCAACCCAGGGATTGAACCTGGGTCTCCTGTATCACAGGCAGATTCTTTATCATCTGAGCCACCAGGAAAGCCATCATTCCCATTTTATTAGTCTAATGTATCTTCTACAACTGCTTTGTGGATAACAGAGGGCTTGGCAGCCCCATTTTAACACTACATAGCTGGTGTTCCAGAAAGCCCCGTACTCTCTGGACCTCTGCTTCCTTATTTGAATAGCAAGAGCTGAGCTAAACTTTTTATTTCTCCTTTCCAGGTCTAATATTTAGTACCTCTCTCTTAATAAGGAACTGAAAACAGTGAGCCCTGGGCACAGTGATCTGGGGTCAAGAGGGGTACTCCCCCACAGCACAGTGTCTCTCCCTCAGTTCAGAATACGTGAGCAACCTGTACGCTTAACGCTCCGTCTTGTCTTCCTTCTGCCAGCTGGATGTTGACCTGCAGGACCAACTAGGAGTCTTCTCCCTGAAAGGGAAGCCTTCTACCTCCTACATCTACATCACAGAGGAAAACAAACCACAAGCAAAAGGTAAGTAGGGTGAGTATAGCTTCTGCAGAGCAATGGGTGCCGGTAGCTGTTTTGTTAGGAACTAATGTGTACAAGCCTTTGACTGTATGGATCACAATAAACTGTGGAAAATTCTGAAGGAGATACCAGACCACCTGACCTGACTCTTGAGAAACCTGTATGCAGGTCAGGATGCAACAGTTAGAACTGGACATGGAACAACAGACTGGTTCCAAAAAGGAAAAGGAGTACATCAAGGCTGTATATTGTCACCCTGCTCATTTAACTTATATGCAGAGTACATCATGAGAAACGCTGGGCTGGATGAAGCACAAGCTGGAATCAAGATTGCCAGGAGAAATATCAATAACCTCAGATATGCAGGTGACACCACCCTTATTGGCAGAAAGTGAAGAGGAACTAAAGAGCCTCTTGATGAAAGTGAAAGAGGAGAGTGAAAAAGTTGGCTTAAAGCTCAACATTCAGAAAACTAAGATCATGGCATCCGGTCCCATTACTTCATGGCAAATAGATGGGGAAACAGTGGAAACAGTGGCTGACTTTATTTTTCTGGGCTCCAAAATCATTGCAGATGGTGATTGCAGCCATGAAATTAAGTGATGCTTATTCTTTGAAAGAAAAGTTATGATCAACCAAGACAGCATATTAAAAAGCAGAGACATTACTTTGCCAACAAAGTTCCGTCTAGTCAAGGCTATGGTTTTTCCAGTGGTCATGTATGGATGTGAGGGTTGGACTATAAAGAAAGCTGAGTGCCAAAGAATTGATGCTTTTGAATTGTGGTGTTGGAGAAGACTCTTGAGAGGATCCCTTGGACTGCAAGGAGATCCAACAAGTCCATCCTAAAGGAGATCAATCCTGGATGTTCATTGGAAGGACTGATGTTGAAGCTGAAACTCCAATACTTTGTCCACCTGATGCAAAGAGCTGACTCATTTGAAAAGACCCTGATGTTGGGAAAGATTGAGAGCAGGAGGAGAAGGGGAGGACAGAGGATGAGATGGTTGGATGGCATCACCAACTCAATGGACATGGGTTTGGGTGGACTCCGGGAGTTGGTGATGGACAGGGAGGCCTGGCTTGCTGCAGTTCATGGGGTCGCGAAGAGCTGGACATGACTGAGCGACTGAATTGAACTGAACTGAACTGAATGTGAACTCAGCCCAAGTCAGATGTTCAGCCTTGTCACCAATAGCCTCTCTAGGCAAGACTCCTTCCCACACGAGGGCTGCTTTCCCTTGAGTCCAGATCTTTACAGATACATATTCCTTTAAATTGACTCTAGATCATGTCTCTTTCTTCTCATTGCAGCAAAGAAAGCTCACACGGCTTCCCTGGTTGTTCCTCCTGGAGAAATAGCTGGATTTGATGTTGTTTTCCACCCCAAGAAAGTCGGGAGAATGGCAGGCATCCTTCACTTGTCAGTGATCAACAACCAGTACGAGGATACAGTCATCCACATGGTGGGAGAGGGCTATGAGGATGACATCACCTTGGACAACATCCATGGGCTGGTGGCTACCTCCAGCCCTGAGTCCTCAGATGTCTCTGAGGTCATTGAGGAAAGCACCATGGAAGACTTGGTGTCAGGTGAGAGAAGCAGCAATGAGGTGTTGACAACTGTTGGCCCTCGGGTCATTTTTATTATTTTATTTTTTTAAGATTTTTTTTTGATGTGGACTATTTTTAAAGTCTATATTGAATTTTTTACAGCATTGCCTCTGTTTTATTTTTTGACCATGCGGTGTGTGGGATCTTAGTTCCCTGACCAGGCATTGAACCGTCAACCCCTACATTGAAGTCTCAACCACTGGACCACCAAGGAAGTCCCTCTTGGGTCATTTTAAATAAGGATGAAATTTAAATACCAGATTGGCTAGCTTCCTGGGAGTTTAGATGGCATCTCCTCCTTGTTACTGTTTGCTCCCTCACGCCTGGTTGAGTCACTGCATCTTCCCTGTGTTCCCTCGAGGAACATTTGTTGAGCATCAGTGTACATGTGCCTGGAGTTCTAGAGAGTCATTAATAAGGGAGTCTGCTCCATAGGGAGCTTTTTATTTGAGCTCAAATTCCAATTTAGTTAGTTAATAAGTGAAATTTAAATTCCAGATTAGCTAAGAAGTGAATACATGTCTCTCTGGAGTTTTCCCTGTCTGTATTTTTGAACTGGCTTGCGTTGGTATTGTCTGTTTCATCTGTATCATGTGCCCTAGACATTCTAAAGGAAATGGCCAGCTGGTTGAGTTAGAGAACGTGTAAGTTTGTGCTTCCGCTAGACTGTTCCCTGCAGCCTCACTACTAAACATGCTGTCAGAACCTACAGCATCAGCATCACCTGGGAGTCACTAGAAATGGGAGTTTCAGGCCCACCCCAGCACCTCAGACCTCCTGAATGAGAATTTGCAGTTTAACAAGATCCCTTGGTGATCTGTGTGTGTATCAGAGCTGAAGACGTACTGCTTTGCAGTCTGTCAGGCACCACTGCTGCATTTGGTTAACTGTATTCATTGGGCAGGAGAAAACGTACTTCATCATTATTATCGAAAAGCATTTGTTAGAACCGTGATTGTGTGGCTGACTGCTGTGCAGTGAATTGTAAACATAGTCTCGCGGTTTTTCTAGGAGCTTAATTCCAGTCCCAGAATGTAGCATCCGACAGCCCCTACAGTCCCCACATAAAATCAGGGCTCCTCATGTATCTGGTGTTTTCACCTCTGTTTGCAGCCACAGAGTGGCATCTCTCTTATCAGGGGCCAAGAAGGAGCCAGCCATGAGCCCTAGTTCAGAAGTCAGATTCCATTTACTTCTAGTAGGGTTACCAGGTTTGGAAAATCAGAATGCGGCAGTCCCCATTAAATTTGAACTTTAGATATTAAACTTGAAGTTTTGGTAAACCATATATAACTTTTAGTATACTTATGTCCCCAAATTTTGCCCCAGACATTACTTATACTAAAAATTACTCATCATTTATTTGTAATTCAAATTCAGTGGGGACTCCTGCATTCTGTGTGGCAGTTCCAAGCCTTAATAATACTGTTTCAGCAAACAAATGGAGTTGAGGGGGTGGTTCTGTTTTCCTTTGTACAGATGGAGGTGAGGGCCAGGATGGGTGGGTGGATGGATGGATGGTAAATAGATGCTCCTGTAGGAGAGAAAGTGTGCTGCCAAAGGACTCCAGGTGTTTCCAGGATGACCATCCAAGGAGGGTAGGGTTGCATGAGGGTGAGGTACAGTGTCTTTCAAGTGCTGGCTCCTTGGGGGAAGCGAGCCTGCAGAAAAGACAAGGGGGGACTCACTGCCCCTTGCTTCTGTCCCCTAGCTGCTCTAGTGAATCACATCCAGTTTGGGGACTGCCACATTGGAACCAGCTATAATGTGAGCTTCACCATCACTAATCACAGCCAAGCAAATGTGATACGGTTTGAATGGCCGCTTTTGGCTACTGTTTCTTTCTCCCCACAGGTAAGTGAAAGACAGTCCTTGTTTTCCACACTCCCTTAGGCCTGCCCCAACCCTGACTTGGCTGTTGACCCATCCCACAGATACATGGGATGGGGTGGATGTGTCCCTCACTCACACTTGGTACCAGAAGCGTCCCCTCTGGCCTAAGAAAAGAGAGTGAGGTCAGCCAAGTCTATGGCTAGGCCAATGTTGAGAAATTCCATGGAGATCTCCATGGATGAAGACAGGCTCCAATCTTCCCATCCCTGAGTATAGACCTGTGTCACCCTCGGTATGTATTCTTTTGAGTGTTCCTCCTGCAAAAGTGGTTCATCAAAAGTTAAAATAAAAGGGGGTGGTGGGTTTTGTGGACAATGGCGATTTAGAAGATATTACAAGTTACATCTTTCTCCCAAAGATTCTCAGTCTCCTTCAGCATATTAAAACATAGTCAACTTTGTTCTACCTGGAGTTTTCTGTCCCCTTTTTTTACCATCTCACAGCACACAGTTTATGGATTGCTGACCAAAGCTCAACATTGAATAAAGCCTAGGACAACATTGCAGCAGAGCCTCCCCTCTGGCCAGCACTTGCTCTTTTATTTTTTGGCCTTGCTGCACAGCTTGTGGAATATTAGTTCCCCAACCAGGGATCAAACCCACACCCTCAGCAGTGAAAGTGTGGAGTCCTAACCATTGGACCACCAGGGAGTTCCCCAGCATTTGCTTTTCATAGACAGTTCACTTCTGAGTTCTCAGGACTATGCATGTATCTGTGGCCTCCTGCTTTGTTTCCACCACCAAGTCTATTCAAGCACAGCAATCTAGGAGGATGGAGGAGAGTTGGGGACCCTACTTTATCACTTTAAATATTAATGCGCTATCAGGAAGAAGTGCTTTGCTTCCTGGAAAGATGTAAAGTGGTAGTCAAAGTAGGCAGAATTAGCTTCTCATGATCCATTTACAGACCCAGACACACACACACAGTCATGGCCTTGGGAAGTATTAACACTTTCTTCTCCCTTCACTTCCCAGAGGAGAAAGAGTTTTTAATTTATTAGAAACATGAGAAAACTACATATATAGGACAGAGGATGAGATGGCTGGAGATGGCATCAGCAACTCGATGGACATGGGTTTGGGTAGACTCCGGGAGTTGGTAATGGACAGAGAGGCCTGGCGTGCTGCGATTCACAGGGTCGCAACAAGCTGGACACAACTGAGCGACTGAACTGAACTGATATTTAGTATACGTTTGGATATATGTATGTGCATTTATGTATGCTAAAGCACAAGTGATTTTATTCTACAGACCAAATCGGATTTCCTATATATCTGGAATACTTCAGGAAATCTCAGGCTTTTTGGTATCAGCCCTCCTTTATACTCTTAAACATTATTGAAGACCCTCAAAGAGCTATTGTTTACATGGGTTATGTCTATCATATTAGAAGTTACAACAGAGAATCTTTAAAAATATATATTTAGTCACTTAAAATATAATAACAAGCCTATTACATGTTAATATGAATGCCATATTTTTTGAAAATGGCTTTATTTTCGAAACATTATGTGAGAAGAGTGACATTGTTTTACATTTTTACAAGACCCTTTAGTATCTGGCCTAGTAGAAAATAACTGGATTCTTATATTTGCTTCTGCATTCTGTCTGATGCAATATCGTACGTAGTTCATGTGATCTGTTGGAAGAGAAGAGAGTGTATACTCTTGTCTCTGAGTATACAATGGAGAGTATTCCATTGTATACTCATGAGAAAATGAGAATGAAAAAGTCAAATGTCATCTTACTATTATGATGAAAATAGTGTTAACCTTGTGGACTCCTGAAAAGGTCTCAGGGCCCCCAAGGGTCATTAGATCACACTTGACAACTGCTAAGGTACTGTATACATCTGTCCATAATTTGTATGGATCATATGATTAAGAAGGACAGATGGTTAAGAGTATGGTATCTGGCACCATCCAACCTGGATCTGAATCCAGATATTCTAATATTAATGGTATGACCTTGAGCAACTTACCAGTTTCCTTGCCTATAAAATAGGGGTTATAACTGCACATCTATAGGGTTGTCATGGGGGTTCATAGAATTTTATAAAGGTTTAGAATAGTACCTGAAGCATGTAACAGTTTGATAATACTAGTTCCTCATGTTTTGTTTTTATTTCTCATAGTATTTCATTGTATGAATATTTTTAAATTGGAATATAATTACAGTGTTGTATTAATTTCTGCTGTACAATGAAGTGACTCAGCTATATATATACTTATATCCCCTCCCTCTTGAGTTTCCCTCCCACCCTACCATCCCACCCCTCTTAAGTCATCACAGAGCACTGGTCTGAGCTCTCTGTGCTATATAGCTAGCTGCTCTTGCTTTTATGATTCTATTTCTAAGAACCTCATGTACATATTTAAGATGATCTACATATATGGTCTTGAATGATGCATTTTTCCCAGAACTTTGGCTTTACCCCTAGAATGGCACCATCAGGCATGAAGAGTCCTCAAGATTGAATTCCCCCAAATACTAATACAAGGCTCTTCCACAGATGGGCCACCTCCACCCTGGCTGTGCCAAGGACATAGTGGTGACCATGAAGTCAGACGTGCCCATCAACCTGAAGAAGATGGGGGTCAAGTGCAAGATCTCCAAGATCATGTTTGCGCTCCCTGCAGACCAAGTGCCTGACTGGGATGACCGCATGCGGACGGTCAAGTGGATGGACGTGCCCAGAAACACTCCCGGGACTTTCACTACAAAACGAAAAGTGAGTAGGAACACCAAGCCCCTAGTCTGACCAGGCCCGCCATGCTGTCATGTTCAGTGTCTCATCATGTCGCTCTTTCATGGAAAAAGGAAACAGTCCCCATTCACCTGACCTGGGTTTCCAAAGTGGCAAATGAACTTCCAAGCATGCCTCCTGCCATCCTCACCACACATACCACACAAACCACTCAGCTTCATTGGCAGCTTGCATGTAAGTCTCGGTATCTAGTTTCTAGTTGAGCAAGTTCCCCCGCCTTTTTCTTTTTCAGAAACCTCACAAGTAGTCTTTTAGCTGCTTCCTTTTCCCCTCAGTGTCCAGAGTTGTGTTAATCTCTTGTTTGGTCCATGCATGCCACTCCTTTAATTATTCCTTAGTTGGTTTCTTTTTAATAAAATAATAGACAGAGATGAACCCACACCCAACACAGGAAGTATAACCAGGATTACCTGTGTGCTTCTCAGCCATTCCCTCCCACCAACCGAGAGGTGGTCACTATCCCAGGATCTTGTTTGCTCATTCCCTTGATATTTGTTTTTAGTTCTTTTTTAAATTAACCTACGTGTTCTAAAAGGCATATTGTTTCAGTGTGGTTTTGAACTATTTTTTTTATAGGTTATGGTGTGTAATCTGTGTTACTGCATTTGGATGTAGCACACCCATGTCACTGCTATGTAAATTATTATTTACCCATCCTTCTTTTGAAAATCACTTGAGGTTTGCTACCGTGGACAGTATTTCTGTGAGCATTATAGTTCATGTCACATGGTGTTCATTTGCAAGAGTTTATATTCCTAAACTGAGTCACAGGAAGTGGAAGTGCTGAGCCATAGGATGTGTGAAAGCTCAGCTTTCCAAGATAATGTCCAAGTGTTTCCACAGAAGCTCTCTGCTAGCAGGAGTATAAATTGGTACAGCATACTTTGGACAACACAGGCATTATCTTGGAAAAACATGATGCTAGTTATTTTAGTTTTGATAAGCTCTTTTGTTCCTAGATTTGTCTGCAAATATCCTCACTGTATTTATCACTTATCTTTTCACTTTCTTTATTGTATCTTTTCATGATTATCTCCATATTGTTTTGTTCTGAAGTATTTTGATTATTCTTGGCCCTTTATTTTTCTAAATAATTTTTGAATCCATTTAAACAAGTACTATGAAAACCCAGATGGAAACCTGATTGGAATTGGATTGTATCTATAAATCAGTTTAAGAAAAATTTATCATTTTATAACATTAATTCATCAAGGTATATCTCTCTTTAGGCCTTTTTAAAGATTTTTTTTGGCTACTGCTCAGTTTCTTTAATAGTAATAAAACTCTTTAGGGTTTTTAAAATTTGTTTTTGAGTCCTTTTCTTAATATTTGTTTATTTGGCTGCATTGGGTCTTAGCTGCATCACACAGACTCTTTGTTATGGGATCTGTCGTTGCGCTGTGAGGGCTTCTCTCTAGTTGGCTTTAGTAGGCTTTAGTTGCCTGTGGCATGTGGGACCTTAATTCCCTGACCAGTGATAGAACCTGCATCCCCTGCATTGCAGGGCGGATTCTTAACCACTGTGCCACCAGGGAAGTCCCTTGAGTCTGTTATTAAATCATTTTTCTAGGAATTTTCCCTTCAACTAAGCTTTCATATGTACCTTCATAAAATTATTCATAATATTTTTTATCATGTTTAAATATCTGTAGGGTAGACAGTGATGTCTCCTTTTTCATTTGATATTGGTTATTTTTATTCTTTCTTTTATTCTTCTTGATCATTCTCACCAGAGTTTTTCTAAATCTTTTCAAATAAACAGCTTTTGATTTCACTGATCCTCTCTGTTTTAGATTTATTTTGTTTTATTAATATCTGTTCCTGTCTTTATGATTTCTTTTATTTTTTTCAACCTTTTTTGGAGTGTATCTGACCCCAAAACTCATGCCTGTGTGGTCGTGATGCTCTCAGTAATTCCGTGTTATTCAATTTCTTCCTTTCCCATTTATGAGTCATTTTAGATTTGACTTTATCAGGTAACCTGGAACTTGGGTTTGTGGGCTGGTGCTCACTTGCTGGGTAGGATGAAGCACTGTCTCATTTCCCCGTCATTCAGTGAAGCAGCTGGCTCTGCATCACTGAGGACATGGCTGTCTTTGTTGCAGGTGATAGAGACTGATCCCGAGCCGGCTTACTCAGTCCTAGAAGAAAACTATCGAGAACTGCAGCTGCAAATCAGTGCCCACGTGAATTTCGCCTCATACAAGTGCCAGACTACCGATGTGCACTTTAAGGAAACACTGGTTTACCAGACTCGAGTGTTTGAGTGAGTCATCAGAAGCCTCCTGACACTCTTAGAGCAGTCCTTTCATTCCATCATTCACTCACGCAAACATTTATTCAGTGTCCATGACAGCACAGACCAGACATAACATCTGTGTAGCATGCACCAGAGGGTCTTCGTAGGTCCAAAGAAACACTCAGACCCACGAAACTATTCAAGTTCACACTTGAAATCAAGATGTAGACTTGATTCAGCTTCAGTGGGAACAGTCCTTGCAATGGTCCATATCACCACCCAACAATTATTCTTACTGCCCAACCCTCTGCCCCAAGTGACAGCTCAGACAGTATCCATGTTGGTGGGTATAGAGTTCATCTTAGCTTGGAAGGCTGTGACCAACAGAAGCCAACATTTCTCACAAGCACTCCAGGCTATAACTTCCAGGATTCCTGCAAGGGACCTGCCCAGTTACAAGAGTCTCTACACTCAGAGAACCCCAGTGCTATGGCTTCCCTCCAGGTATCATGATTTCTCCCAGCTCCAAAGCAAGTTAGCAATCAGGGGTCATTTTTACTGTAAACAAAGTTGTCTGATAATATAGATGATATTTCTCACTCATCAGGCTGCCACGGACACAGAACTCAAAAACTAATTCAAAGTCGAAACTGTACTTAGAAGGAGAAGGGGTTATGTTAACCCTTTATTCACTCTCAGTTGGTACAGGGATGCATGGGTCCTGCTCTCAAAGAACTCATAGTGGTTGTTGGGGGAATGGATGAAAATGGTGGAATTGATGGTTACAGTCCAATGCTCTGGGTTTGCAGTAAGCGTCCCCAAAGCAGACCAAGATACGGGGAGAGACAGGTGTCTGGGAAGCCTTCCCAAAGTGGTGGACCAGCTGAACTTCGCAAGACAAATAAGAGGTGGCCAGGTGAAGAAGTGAGAAAAAGGGCCTTCAGGCAGAGAGAAGGCCTGTGACTCTTCTTTGAGAATTACAAACACAAAAGTGTAAACCACTGACATTTCTACTTTGTAAAAATTGGTAATTAGTTGTTCAACTCATTCTGCACTTGTGGCCCTTAATGTATCCTCTCAAATTAGTATAGAACCAAAAGCTAGGACACAGGAAATGGGATCTTCTGCTGGTGGCCATTTCACCTACAGTAAGGGTCGCCACACTCTGGCCCATGATCCAAACTCAACAGCGGCTTATTTTTGTAGATACGGTTATGCTGTATGTTGTGTGGGCACACAGTCATGCTCATTTATCTACTATCATCCAAGGCTGCTTCCACAGCAAAGGGAGTAGCTACTGCGGAGACCTCTGGCTCATGATGCCCAAAACCTTACTGTCTGACCCTTTTCAGGAACATTTGATCACCCCTGGGCCTAAACCAAGAGTGCTTCTACTGGAAGTATCCTGTGCCACTGAGATTTCTCCCCTTCATAAAAATTTGCTTTAGCCTAAAGACCAGTGCTCACAAATTCACATAGTTCATAAATTCACACAAGCCCCTGAGGCCAAAACACTTGACTTCACACACAACTGCATAGTCTACCTGGAATGGATATAGGGAATCTGATCCTTAAACCCCTCCCTTGGACCTATTCCCCCTGCCCCCAAGTCTCAGCTCCCACTTCTCCCCTAAAACTGGGAAGCATGTGTGTGTTTTTCTCTCGCTTGTACAACCGTTTTCTTGAATAACCCTCTTCCTGTGACTGTCTGTGATCACATTTAACAGTGACTCCAGAAAAAGCTTCTGTCTCCCAGTTCTTACCACAGAGCAGGAAAACTTGAGGCAAGATGAGGATCCGTTAATTCAGAATCTGAGACAAGTCGGTATCTCAGCCAGTGAAGACACTTCAGGCAGAGGTCAAATGATTTCTGACCACGAGGACATTGTTTCAGGAAGAAAGTGATTCGGGAAGGGAGAGGCCTTGGAGTTTGCACCCGAGGGAGATACTGTCTTCTGAATGGGTTTCGTTTCCTCTCCCATGGGAATTTTTCAGGATCACCACGATGCAGGCTGAGAGCTCAAGGCACAGTATGCCAGGGGTATACAAGACAACTGAAGTGCTAAACATCTGGATGCTTTTGCTTTTAATAGCTATGTATATATTTTTGTGTTAAAAAAGGAACTATAATTTGAAATCACATGCTTGATTTCAAATAAAATTGCCTTTGAAGAAACATTTGGGAAACAAAGTAACTTGACTTAAAAAAAAAAGTTAATGGTACAGATGATGTGCAGACAGGACAAAAACCATCTTCAGCATGTTTCTCACATCCATTCCCTGCTCTCTTTGCAGGTTTGAACTGATTAATTCAGGAAATGTGCAACTGGAATTCAACTGGATCTCAGAAGAGACAGCAAAAGCTGTCAGCTTTGCCATGCCAGACAACCAAGGTAAATGAGGTGACAGGTAAAACCCAGGGCTTGAGCTGGGTCCCCAGTTAGTAGAAGAGCCTGGTTCATGGAGAAGCAAGCACTGCTCCAACCGCCCTCTTGGTAGCGAAGAAGCAGACCAGGGGCCCCTAGCATCTGCAGAGCCAAAGGGGCCCAAGAAACTCCAGAATTGAATTCTGCCTCCCTGGGCCCCACAAGGCTGGTACCCCCTCTCACAGATCCCCCAGAGTCTTTTCTTTTAAATCTTAACCTTCTGGAAATCACAGACTCTTGGAGAAGTTGATGAGAGCTATGAGCTGACTTCCCAGCAAAACACACACCCATGCCCAATTTGCAGTTGGTACATGTGAAGAGAACCCAACCCTTGGTGGGCAAAGTGGGCAAACCACTACTCTTTCAGTTTGGAGATTCCCAGACCTTTCCAATGAACTCTTTTTCATGGACCCCCCAGATTTTGAACCCCTGCTTTAAAGCAATGATTCTCCAAAAAATTATTTCACAGCCCATTACTCTTAAGGCAGATGACCCACAGATGTCTAGTTGACCCATACCCTTGAGTAAAAAGGAAAAACACTTGAAAACCTGATGTAATTAATAGAAGTATTTTTCATGAATCTCCTATGAGACACAGCTAATTCCTCACCCCTGGGGCCCAAAGTTAAGTATACCGGCTAGGAGAGGTGAGCCCACAGACCCCATAGAGGGTGCCTAAGGACCCATATGAGTGGGCTGCTGTCACCGCCCTCCCACTGCAGATTAAGAACATCACTGGCACTCTTATCTGCCCCCAGGTTTCTCCCAAAGAGACCAGCTTAGCCAGGGCACACCGCACACGGCCAGCACAGTGGACAGTGCTGTGGACCACTGGAACGAAACTTCCCTGCCGCCCTTCTGTGTGGAGCCCATCTCGGGCACCGTGCTAGTGGGGAAGACTCAGAAGCTCAAAGTGAAATTCTCTCCATTGGAAGTTGGAGACTTCGAGAGCAATCTTTTCTGCCAGTAAGGAGACGCACTCCTAACCCCTCTTCTGTCCCACCACGACCACCGTTCTTTCACTCCAGCCCCATCTGGAGCCCCACACTACATTTCCCTCTGGAGAACAAGAGGAGTCTGGTCTTTTGTACTGTTTATCAACCCTCTGTAGACCCTGCCTCCTGTCCACCTCCCCTTCCCGGTCACACACAGGATTCCACTGGGGCAACAGAATGGTGGGCAGCCAGCTGGGTTCCAGTCTTGGGGCAAGCATGGCCTTAGGAAAGCTCTTTTACCTTTTCTGAGGCCCAGTTTCCTCCTATGTAAAATGCAAATAACAGTACCCACTCTGTAGAGTTGTTGTGAAAACTCAATGACCTCATTCAAGTGAAGAGCTTAGAACAGTGCCTAGTGCACAGTAAGTACAGCTAAACATCAGGTGGTAGTGGTGATGGAGGAGGTGGACCTGGGACATAGTGAGAGAGGAGCAGATGGAGTCCAGGTCCAGTCAGAGGAGAGCCGACCCATTAATATCTGGCAGTGAAAGTCCCTGAGAGCTCCACGGAGGACACCCACCTTAGAGGAAGTCTGTGACCCATGGCGTGGGGTGGCAGAGACCTATGTGAACCATGAGACCTGTGGAGAACCTGCCGTCACACTGCAGGGGCCCTTCCCACACCTGGGCCACCTGAGCTCGCTGCTGGGGATAGAGGTCTGCTCACATCGCGTTCACTTTCTCCGAGGAGCTCAGGGTCCTTTTTTGTTTTGTTTTGTTTTCTTAAGGATGCCTGGGTCCTTTTTTGTATCCCATTAGATGTCCATGAAAGAGCCCAGAGGGAAAGACTCTGTGCTGACGTTATAGCAGGGAGACTTTCTCACCATTGGTAAAGGTAGTAACTTAGGCAAGCTGTTGTTCAGTCACTCAGTCATGTCCAACTCTTTGCAACCCCATGGACTGCAGCACGCCAGGCCTCCCTGTCCTTCACCATCTCCTGGAGCTTGCTCAAACTCATGTCCATTGAGTCGGTGATGCCATCCAACCATCTCGTCCTCTTCTCCTCCTGCCTTCAATCTTTCCCAGCAGCAGGGTCTTTTCTGAGGCACCCAGAAGGAACCAGAATTCAGGCTCCCCATACTCAGCCCATGCATGTATTTATCCCTGTCATGATTAATTAATGAATACCTACTATGTATCATGTACTCCTCAAGGCACTGAGGTTACATTGTCAACCAGACAGACCCATTCTCTGTGCTCATGGAGCTCACATTCTGGTCGGTGTCATATTCATTTCTAACCATGAAAGCAAGAACTTATTAAAGAGTTAAAAATAGATCAAAATAACCTTATTCTCTCAGGATTCCTAACCTGCCACCGGGAGAGCATGGCCCAGTCCTGTCAGCCAAAGGGCGGAGCTCCCTGCCCATCTGCCATTTTGACCTGAAAGACTCAGACTACATCGTCGGTCATCGGCGCAACCCAGACCTCCGAGGGCCTAGTGGTGGGGCTCTGGATCCAAACACCCGGGTGATTGAGTTCACCAGCGTGGGCATAGGAGGGAAGAATCTCCGGTGAGTGGTGTGGGTTTGCACTAGTTGAGTTCATATCAGTTCGTCTTTCTGAAAACCCAGAGGAAGAAATTCAGGGTACCAAGCTAGACTGACACCTTGAAGCACGCTTGCTATCCTAGGGGCTGACTTTAGTGAATTGCTGCAGTGAGGAAGCGGATTTCTGTCTCCTTAGTTTTGACACTCAGGAAATTTGAAAGACATAAAACATGATCCCTGACCACCACCTAGACCACAGAGGATCACTGAGACAGAAGGGCCCTTGGTGTTGTTATTACTCTGAAGTCCAGAACTAGAGCCACACTTGGGACCCCTAAATGAGATACCGTTTTTGTTTCTACAGTAACAAAGTGGCCAAAACAGTTCTGATCCCCACACAAGGGGCCTGTGCTCGGGAACAGTCTAGAGAAGTTTCTCTTAATCCTCAAGCCCCTCTCTCACTCTCTGCTGTCGTTCCTTCCCCTTGGGCAGGACCTTTACAATCCTAAACCCGACCTGTAGTGCCTACTCCTTCTCCTGGCTCTCTGAAGAAATTGAAAGTCTCCAGAACCCTCCAGCCTTCACGTGCCTTACAGAAAAGGGCCTCATCCTCCCTGAAAAGAAAGCTGAGGTATGTGTGAACGGGGACCACTTGACCCAGGGCTTTACTTATCCCATCCCTCTCTGCAGGGCAGGCGTGCTGCAAAGTGTGGGTGGAGTTAGGGAGAACAGCTGGAGGGTGTGTCCATCAACAAGTTTCTTGGGTGGTTACTGTGTGTTAGCCAGTCCTCATAAATGGGACAAACCTCAGCCGTCTTGGTTGGCCATAGAGAAACAAAGAGCTCTAGTGTTTGAAGTTTTAAAAATTGATATTTTAAAAGCAAGGAAAAGAGAGCTGGACACCAGTGCCTGGGGACTCTAGGACTCACACAATAGCAAGGAGCCGAGTTGTTTTTGTCCAGGGACTGACAGCCGTGCAAGAACAGAGATGTATCTTTGCTTGGTCGGGCCAAAGGGCAAAACAGAAAAGCAGAGTCATGCCCCATGGTTTAATCCTAATGTCCACACAGTGATTTAGGGCAGAGGGTCAGATTTAAAGAAATACAGACTTGCTGGCCAAAGCAGCTCTGTGGGCCCCGTGTCCTGTAAATTCTACAGAGAATATTGGGGGCAGAAATAAATCCATGAAACAAACATTACGAATTGAGATGCCTTCAGAAAGATTGTAAAAATGGAGAGCACAGGCCAGGGGTCAATGACAGGGAATGGTGGGCACAATGGTTGGCTGGCCACAATGCTTCTCTGGGGACAAATCACCACACCGAGCAGTGAGCCCAGGGTTGCCAGTTCTCCCGAACTTTTCAGGAAAATTCCAGATTCTACCTGAATCTTTCCATTTTTACATGCCATCCCAAGACGTGGCAGCCTAGCCTGCAGAGCCTTAGAAATAGAAATCAGCAGGGCAGAAGCCCGTAGAAATACTTGGTGGGCTGGGCAAACAGACATGGATGTTACTGGTACAGCCAAACTCACATGCCCTTACAAAGACAGGGGAAAGGAAGTGATGACCTGGTAATGTCACCCGGCACAACCCCAGGGCTGGCACGCCTTCAAGATATGTGGAGCAAACACATAGAAGTGCCTCTAACCACTGTGTTCCAAACTGTCTTCTTAGGTTATCTTCCAGTTCACACCTTCCCATCTGGACATCTCGGAGGCATTCTGGACTTTCTTAATCCCTGAACACAATATCACAGTCCCTTTCCTGCTGGTAGGCAAAGCCACTGACCCTCTCATCAATTTTGACAAGTCACATATCAACTTCAGTTGTCTCCTCATTGGTAAGGCTGCCCCGCTGGTTTATATTTTAGAGTTGGCATGACCTGTGGGGGAGGGGTGTTCCCCCTAGCAGAGGAATTCTTTCTTCCTAGTATCTTCTAGAAGTGTGTCAGAGGGCCTCATTTTGCTATTCACAGGGCCACAGAATATTTAACCTCTCAATCTAATTTCCATCAAGTGTCTTCTAAACCCACACACTAATAACCTAAGAACATTGAGGAAGCTTGCTGCAGAGCCTCCTCGGAAGATTCCTTTGGGGTCTGGATTGACTAGTTTATCCCCAGAGCCCCATATTAGCCCCATCCTACTTGCATGTGCCCCCAGACTGTGGACCACAGTTTCCTCTGACATCCTTTCTCACTCTTGCCCCGTTCAACAAATATTGTTGAGCTCCTCATGTGAGCCAGGCACTCTTCTGTGAGCTGGGAATGCAGTGGACAAAGCCCATGTCCCGATCTTCATGATGGTTGCATTCTAGTAGCAGGAAGCAGGCTACCACGGAATGGAAAGGTGAAATATGTAGCATGTCAGGTGTGGATAAGTGTTCCAAAGAATAAAATAGGGTGGGGGGAAAAGGAGTGCCAGCAGACAGTGGGAACGTGACATTTGAGCAGAAACTTGAAATAAAGGAAGTGATGGGCAAGTCCCCTATAACACTGTGACTCTATCACATGGATGTGATGTTTTGTGTATGTGTGTGTGTGAGAGAAATACAACTGAAGTCAGAGGATTTGTTTTAGTAATTCGTTAGACTAGTTATAAAAGTAGCATTCTTTATAAGTCAACCAGTATGGTGTTGTATAAGGAAAAATATAATAATCACTCCCCACCTCCCTCATTTTTCCCTTTCCATCAGAGGAAACCAGTGTGAACAGTATGATGTGTATTATTTCCATACATTTCTTACACTGATACATATAATAGATAGGAGGAGATTGTGGCATTTAATCAGGTTTTGAACAAGTAAGTGGGCAATGTAGCGTAAGAATAACAACAAGACAATTTAATCTAGCAATGCAGCGATGGTGCATTTCAATGTAATTATTACATCATCAGATTAAAGAAGAACCAGGTATTGGCGTATACCAAAGAATCATTGCTAAAAATTCAGCAGACGTTCTCAACAAAAACTCTAGTAGTAAAATAGGAATAGAGGGGAAAAACTTGAATAAAGATTAACCAAAATCAAAAGGCAAATATTATCTGGTAATAAGCCACTGAAGTCCTTCAGTTAGAGTCAGGAGTTTGGCCATTGTCACTGTCATTACTGGGCCCTTTGCTAGTGACTTTAGCAAGTGCAATAAAATAGAGAAGTAAACAGTTGGCATAAACATTGGGAATAAAAGAGACAAAATTGTCTCACTTATGGTATTGCTGATGATGCCACACATCGATAAGCTCAAGAGACTCTAGAGAAAAGCAAAACAAACTTCTAGAATCAGCAGGATACTTTAGGAAGTAGATGTTTGCAAGTTGTTTGCAAAAGTCAATGGTTTCTCTTTCTTTTAGCAATAAGCACCTAGAAACAAACAGAAAATTTCGTTAAATACTGATAAAACCTATATAATAGCCAAGGATAAATGTCACAAGAAAAGCACAGGACCTATATGAATAAAACTATAAAATCTTATTGAAATGCCTGCAAGCAAAATCTGAACATTTGTCCATTCTCCCGAAAATTAAATTCAAATTTAATCAAGTTCTAAATAAAATCCCAGCTATTTCTAAATAAAATCCCAGCTATTGTTGTCTGATAAAACACAGGATGCACAGTTTAATTTGAATTTCAGATAACAAGGAATGATTGTTTAGTATAAGTATGTCCCATGCAATATTTGGGACATACTTACACTATAAAAATTGTTTGCTAAACTTGACAGTCTTAGTCCTAAAGGATTGAGGTGAGGGCAGAATTTGGTAAAATGATTCTAAAATTTATGTGGAAAAATAAATGCTCCACAGTAGTCAAGGAAAGGAAGAAAAAGCAAACTAGTGATGAGATATGTTAGTCAGGGCCCTGTCAGGACATCCGTGACACATCTGAAGTCTTAATTCAAAAGAGTCCGCTGCACAGATGATTCACGGATACGGGCAGAGTGGAGGGGCCTACCTACCCCCGTTAACAAAAGCAGGAAGGCGTTGGGTCTAAAGGAGCAAGAAGGATCCCAGGAGAGCTACAGCCCAGGCTGAGTGGCCACCTACGAGGAGCAGACAGTTGATGGGGTATAGTTCTAGAAGGAAGAGCTGGAGCACCTTGAGAGGAAGAACACTTGTAGAGTAAAAAGAAGGAAGAGGGGTAGCCACAGGCTCGGGAGCGTGGAAGAGGGAAGAAAAGAAGCTGGAGACTCCCTTCTGAGCAGGCTCCCTCTTGCCTGCTGAGGCACGCCAGGATCAGGCACGAGGCCTCTCTGAGGGTAGTGTTTCCTCCTCAGGCAGAGAAGCCAGGGAGACTGTGAAGATCATCAACAAGGAGGAGCAGGAGTTCCATTTTGCCTTCCAGGACACCTCCCGGTATTCTGAAGGTTTCAGCAACAGCCTGGCTATATGTCCCATGGAAGGCTGGGTCCCCCCACTGTCCAGGTAAACCGAAAGGAAGCCCCCCAGGACTGCCCTTGCCCAATATGGCAGGGGTCCCAGGCTGACTAGCCAGGAGAATCAGGTTCCTTTAGAGTGCCCCATCTCTGAAGTCTCTCCCAACTCTAAAATTTGGAGCTTCCCAGGTGAAGCTAATGGTAAAGAACCCACTTGCCAGTGTAGGAGACATAAGAGATGTGGGTTTGATCCCTGGGTCGGGAAGATCTCCTGGAGGAGGGCATGGCAACCCTTTCCAGTATTCTTGCCTGGAGAATCCCATAGACAGAGGAGCCTGGCGGGCTACAGTCCATAGCGTCACAAAGAGTCAGATACTACTGAAGCATCTTAGCAGAGTGCCCCATCTCTGAAGTCTCTGCCAACTCTAAAATTGAGATATTACAGTTTCATCTCTGTCCTGCTTATCCCCTGTTAGTAATTTTCATCATGAGTTGTAGAATACTGAGAACTTTAAGCACTTTTTCTCAGTATTTTCTTATGCTTATATTCTTTTCCATACTATCCACTGTGTTTGCGAATCCCTAAAGCAGTAGCCTGCCATGCCTGGCAGACTTTCAGAATTCACCCTGATTTGGGTTATGCTGCCTTCCCCTCCTAGTGCATGATGATCCATTGGGCTTATCTTCTTCAACTTCTTTAACAGATTGGTCTAGTTACCCAATCTGCTGTTGTCTTCCCCAACCAGGTTCCCAGTTGACATTTTCTTCACACCAAAGAAAGAAGGAGATGTGAACTTTAATTTGATCTGCAGTGTGAAAAAGAAAGCCCACCCTCTGACCTTAAATGTCAAGGCTGAGGGCTACTCCGTGAACATGGAGGTCAAATGCAAGGACAGGAACGGCTCCATCACTCTCCTGACCCCCAACCAGACCACCACTGTCAACTTCTGTGAGGTAGAGGCGTGAGAGGTTTCCACACGGGCTGGGAAAAGCAGCACACGGGAGCATTAGATGAAGCCCTGTTTCAAATGCCAGGGAGATCAGGAGAACAGGAATGTGCCAGCAGCAGCTCCATCCCCAGAATGTGTATGGGTTTGATGTGAAAAGAAAGCTTTTCCCATGGCATGATAAGAAAGCTTTTCTTATTTTACTTTCCAGGGGGCAGAGAGATGGTAGGCAAGGGGAGGAATGCTCATCCTACGCATACATGACGGAGGTTCTGTTGCCAAGGGAGCTCTGAGAACTCAGCTGCCGTCTCCCTCTTCAGAAGGAGGGGCCCCAGCGCTGTGCAGCTCCTGCTGAGTTCTGGCTGCACTGTGCTGACGGTGCTCGCTCAGCTCGCTGACATCACGGGCTGGCGCTGCTTCCCAAAGGGCGTTTCCCCCAACACGCTACATACCCTGACCCCAGAGAAGGGAACCATAGTTTGTACTCACTCAGCATACAACTCTGTTCTCCTTCAGGTGGAACTGAATGAGTGTGTCCAGTGTGAATTCAGCTTTATCAACACTGGAAAGTTCAACTTCAGCTTCCAGGCAGAGCTGTCCGGCCCCAGATCCCTGCTACAGTACTTGGAGTTTTCACCCAGTGATGGCAGTGTGGACGTGGGGCAGAGTGCACACGCCTCCCTGTCTTTCCAGCCATTAAAGAAATGTGTCTTGAAGGGTCTGGAACTCAAAATCAAGGTGAGGCATTCAACACTGTCCAACACTGAACGTGCTCACAGCATTCTGTCTGGAGAACTGTGTCCAATGTCCACCCTTAGCTACAAGGCAGGATGGGAAGCCAAGCATGTTTCCCAGGCAAGTTGGCAGCCAGTCGGAATCCTGCTAATGAGGAAGACCCAGGAAGCAGATTTTGGGTGGGAACTGACAGGTCTCTGCACACCCCTCTGCCTTCGAGCTGAAGTATTCCTGCAATGATTCAAGAGCCAATGTGGGGCCTGGTTGCAGAGTCATCCACCTTGGTTTCCTTAAAGAAACTTAGAGCCTGTTAATCAGAATCTCTGTAGAGATTCTGCACATAGAGTCCTGGGACCTGAATTCTTTTAAAGCACCTGACTGCTTCCCTCCTTCTCCTGAGGGTGTAAGGGCCCTTTCCTCTCACTTCTCCCTGTCATCTCCACTGGACATTCTCTCCCCCACAGATCAGCCATGGTCCAACATTTATGTGCACCATCTCAGGCTGTGCTGTGAGCCCAGCTGTCCATTTCTCCTTCACCAGCTACAACTTTGGCACCTGCTTCATCTACCAAGCTGGCATGCCCCCATACAAGCAAACCCTGCTTGTCACCAACAAGGAAGAGACAGCTATGAGGTAAGCAGACTTCCCAGAACTTCCAGATGATTCTGCTACTTCTGTGGGTTCTACAGCCTCTACACAGCTGAGGTCCTGCCAAGACAGAGAAAGGATTATAAGAGAGCCTCTAGCACAGGTGGGCATGAATCCTGAGTATCCTTTCCTCACTGCTAATACTGATATTTGGATAGCCATGAACTACTCTGCTAAAAAAGAAGACAAAATCCTCTTCTGGAAGTGAGGAGGACAATGCCAGATGACCCGACAAGAGGCTTGATGACTTGCATTTATTTTCCCCACGTAATAAATGTGGGGGAGAAGGCAATGGCAACCCACTCCAGTACTCTTGCCTGGAAAATCCCTTGGACAGAGGAGCCTGGTGGGCTGCGGTCCATGGGGTCGCTGGCAGTTGGACACAACTGAGTGACTTCAGTTTCACTTTTCACTTTCATGCGTTGGAGAAGGAAATGGCAACCCACTCCAGTGTTCTTGCCTGGAGAATCCCAGGGACGGGGGAGCCTGATGGGCTGCCATCTATGGGGTCTCACAGAGTCGGACACGACTGAAGTGACTTAGCAGCAATAAATGTGGAAACTCAGATTTGGAGAGTTAAAAAGTTAATTTCTTGGGCCAGTGAACTTGCAGTAAAAGGCAGATCTATACTAAGCCTTAGCCCTCTGATTCAAATCCAGCCGCTCTGTACCATCCCTGTGTAGAGTGTTCCAATCCAGATTTCTGGGCCTTATTCCAGACCTAACAAAATGGAATCCCGAGAGACAGGCCCAGAGACCTGTGTTTATTAGAAGTTCTCTAGATCAGTGCACTGCAACTGAACTGAAACTTCAGTTTCAGAAAAGTTGTCTTATCTGCAGTGTCCAATATGGCAGCCTATAGCTCCATGTGGCTATGGAGCCCTTGAAATCTGCCTAATGCCACCAAGGAACAGGATTTTTTATTTTAATTAATTGTAATTTAATAACCACGTGTCTAGTGGCTACCATGTCAAATACCAAATAGCACAGTTCTTCCCTAGCTATGTGACCTTGAGCAAATGTTTTTTTGCTTTTTTTAAAAAATTAATTTTTATTGGAACATAGTTGTTTTACAGTGTTGTATTGGTTTCTGCCATATAGCAAAGTAAATCAGCTGTATGTACATATACATCCCCTCTTTTTTGGATTTCCTTCCCATTCAGATCCCTGCATTTAATGTAGTTCCTCGTGCTATACAGAAGGTTCTCATTGGTTGTTGGCTTATATATAGTAGTGGGTACATGTCAATCCCAATCTCCCAGTTCATCCCACCCACCCTTTCCTCCTTTGGCAGCCATACATTTGTTATCTACATCTGTGTCTCTATTTCCACTTTGCAAAAAAATGTTCATCAGTATCATGTTTCTAGATTCCACATATAATATATGATTTTTTTTCTCTTTCTGGATGACAGTCTCTAGGTCCATCCGCATTTCTGCAAAGGGCACAGTTTTGTTCCTTTTTACGACTGAGTAATATCCCATTGTGCTTGTGTACCACGTCTTCTTTATCCATTCCTCTGTGGATGGGCATTTAGGTTGCTTGCATGTCCTAGCTATTGTAAGTAGTGCTGCTATGAACGCTGGGGTGCTTGTGTCTATTTGTTTTTTTTTTAAAGTCCTTATTGAATTTTTCACAGTATTGCTTCTGTTTTATGTTTTGGTTTTTTGGCCATGAGATATGTGGAGTCTTAGCCCCCTGGCCACTATTGGAGTCTGCACCCCCTGCGTTGGAAGGCGAAGTCTTAACCACTGGACTGCCAGGGAAGTCCCTATCTTTTTGAATTATGGTTTTCTCTGAATCTATGCATAGGAGTCATATGGTAGACCCATTTCTGGGTCATATGGGTAGTTCTATTTTTGGATTTTTAAGGAACCTCTATTCTGTTCTCCATAGTGGCTGTATAAATTTATATTGCCACCAACAGTGTAAGAGTTCCCTTTTCTCCACACCCTCTTCAGCATTTATTGTTAGTATTATTTTTTGATGATGGGTATTCTGACCAGTGTGAGGTGATATCTCATTGTAGTTTTGATTTGTATTTCTGTAATAATTAGTAATGTTGAACATCTTTTCATGTGTTGTTGGCCATCTGTATGTCTTCTTTGGAGGAATATCTATTTAGGTCTTCCACCCATTTTTTGATTGGGTTGTGTTTTTTTTTTTTTTTGATATTGAACTGCATGAGCTGTTTGTATACTTTGGAGACTGATAATCCCTTGTCTGTTGCTTAATTTGTGAATATATTCTCCCATTCTGACGGTTGTCTTTTCATTTTATTTAAGGTTTCATTTACTGTGCAAGAGTTTTTAAGTTTAATTAGGTCCCATTTGTTTATTTTTGTTTTTATTTTCATTACTTTAGGAGGTGGTTCAAAAAAAGATCTTGCTGTGGTTCATGTCAAAGAGTGTTCTTCCTGTGTTTTCCTCTAAGAGTTTTATAGCATCCAGCCTTGCGTTTAGGTCTTTATAAACTCTCTGTGCCTCCGTCTCCTTGTCTGAATTGGGGGATAATAATAGTACCTCCCCATGGGTTATTAGGAGGATTAATTAGTTCATTTAGAGAGAATACTTAGTACCTGGAAGATAGGAAATGCTCAGTTATTTTTATCTGCTGCTACTTCTGTGGCAGTGATACTGGTGGTGATGACGATTCTCCTGAATGTTACATTACAGGAGTGTCATGTAATTTTAAATACTAATTTAAAATCTTATCTGCCTATATTCCTTCTTGCCTAATTTAATTGAATCTGACTCTTACTTTGTTTCAGGCATTATACTCTATTTACTGCCTTAGCTAGAGTCCTTCTCTAAATACTTGGAAGACAGATGAGGAGGGATTGTGATGGAGGTCTAGGTGCTTCCCATTCACAGATGCAGGGGGGTGGACGTGATCTTTGAAGGTCCCTTCTAATTGAGCTATTAGTAATAATAATAACAGTAGCTCACCTTTAGGAATGTTTCCTCTGTGCCTTTAGTGGCTGATTTAGTCACTTTATCTCATTTAATCCTCACAGCAGCTTCATGAGGAAGAGATCACTACTCTCATTTTGCAGGTGAGGCAACAGGGACCCAGACAGGCTGAGTAACTGTTCTCGGGTCACGTGGAAGTTAGGGCTGGAGCCTGGATCCACACGCTTGTCTGACTCTGGACACATCCTCCTCCCCGCTGTGCTTTCCCACCCAGTTACTCCAGGAAGCACACCCTTCTTCCAGGAAGCTGCCACGCCATGAGCTGCGTTATCAAGGAAGAGAGGGTGAAGAGAGTGAAAGGAACACTGGGTCAAAGGTCATGAGACTGCCTCTGAGGCCTGGTTCTGCCAAGGTCTCAGGCTGTGACCTGGGGGAGGTGACTCAGTTGTGCCCAGGAGACTGTAGGCTGGACCACTGCTGCAGTCCCTTCCAGCCCTGAAACCCCAACTCCGGGACAACACAGCAGGACATCCCGCAGTGGGTCCAGCTCAGAGAAGCAAGGGGCTCATTCCCTCTATGTCAGCCATTCGAGAGCTTACACAGCTTCCTTCTGATTTCCTCCAGCTTGGATTGTTTGTACACCAACACCAGCCACCTCGAGGTGAACTTCCGAGTCGATGTGATAAAGCCAGGAAAGACACTGGAGATCCCCATCACCTTTTATCCTCGAGAAACTATCAGTTATAGAGAACTCATCCCCTTTGAAATCAATGGGCTCTCCCAGCAAGTAGTTGAAATCAAAGGGAAAGGAACAGAAATGAAGGTAAGTGACAGTTGGGTGACTCATCAGGCTTGGCACCCCCACTTCTTGCCCTTCTCAGCCACCTTTGCCCACCTGAGCCCAAACTCCTCTGACTCCATGTCTCCTGCCCCCTAGCTGCTCTGTCAGAGGTCAGCCAGTCCCATCAAGACAGATCAGACCCAAAAGAATCACATAGATCTTGCTAATACCAAACGTTACTGTGTCAAAGGATACAAGTAACCACAGGCGCTGCAGAAACATTCTTTTTCTTGGAGAAGTTTGAGACTGTCAGATGCAGTCCTCTTCCTCCCACATGAGAGCATGTAGTGTTTTCAGGTTACAGTCAAGGTTTGTTTGAAGCACTGTATGCAGACATAAGTTTCAGTTATGGGACATCTTTCCCCAGGACCACATAGACTAACATTCTCCAGCAAGCCCCAACTCCCAGGATCCCATCTGACTGAGGCCCTTCCTTCTAACCAGGTGCTCCTGGCAGGAAGGGGATGGTCTGGTTCCACCGCTTATCCTTTCTTCCCAATATCCAGTATACATTTCATGTGTCTGTCTGGTGGGAGTTTCCGCATTTATTAGGCCGTTTTAGAAGACTGAAGACATCCCGCAATCCTCGGCAATGCATGGGACATTTCAGCAACCAAGAGGAAATGGGAGGGGTGTGTTCCTGGCATCCTTTCCATCAATCCAGGGGAGCAACAGGATCAGGCCACCTGGTGTGTCTGCGCCCAAGCCGGTGGCAGGGTCTCTTCTGGTGTCATGGTTTCTTTCATGTGTTCATTCATTCACTCACTCAGCACTCATTTATGTCAGGTGCTTTGCGGAAATCCAGAGACATAAACGTGTTCTCTGACCTCCAGGAGCTTACACGCTGGGGCCAGAGACTCTTACCTTTGTAGACAACATGGAAACCTGTGGGTGGGATGGAAAGATCCCATCTTTCCATTAGGGGAGGGGTGCTGTTTATTGACTGGTCAGGTGACAGTGACTGGTGAGTGCTGTTTATGTGGGTCACACCATCCCAGAGGGCAAGGCCTAGCCTGATCTCAGCCTGATGCAGGCCAGCATTTTGATCAGGGCTTTAGATGGGGGCTTTAAGGTGTATCTTCTTTTCCCACCTCCGCTGCCATGGTTATCTCTCTCTCTCTTCAAGGCTCTGTCTCATGCCCTCTTCCAGTCCCTCTGCACAGAGGAGCAAGCCAGGGCATACTCACAAGATACCCATCTGATGGGACCGCTCCAGGCTGCACTGGCTTCCCACTTCTCCCAAAAAAAAACCTGATCCCCCTCCAAGCTATCTTCTCATGTTCCCCACCTCGCTCCCAGCCGCAGGCCTGGCCAGGCCGCTCCCTCCAGCTCAGGGCCTTGCCACAGCTTCTCTCCTCCCTCGGGGTGCAGCCCCATGCCACCCTGACTTAAATCCAGATGCTACCCTTCCACAGCTCCCAGTGTGAGCATGCCTTCCTCAGGGAGGCCTCCCTCACCCTCAGACTGGCTCGACCCTTCATACCCCGAGTCTTTTCCTTCTTAACATCTCTGAACCCAGCTGTAAGTATGTAGTTGTACAACAAGTTGTTTAGTGCACATATTATGCACATAAATGTTTGTTGAGTGAGCGAAGGTGAAGGCCCATCCAGTGTGAAGAATGAGAGACACGGGAAGAGAGGGAACCACCCTTGCCTCACTGGGGTACACGCACCATATTTCTCTTTCTCATTAACTGCTGACCCCTCCCTCCCTGCTCTATTTCTTGTCCACAGATTTTAGTCCTAGATCCAGCCAATAAGATTTTGAAGTTAGGAGCCATCCTACCTGGACAGGTGGTGAAAAAAATGGTTTCCATCATGAACAACAGCCAAGCCCAGCTCACATTTAACCTGTCAGTCATGTTCTCAGCGGAACTCCAGGAAACCAAGGTTGGTGATCAGGGTCCCAGTGGCATGTTCATGCGTCCGCACCTCACGGTTCTCAGGCAGCTTCTGTGTGCCAGGCCATTCCAAGTGCTGTCCATGTCTGATCACCTTCATAAAAACGGTATAGGGGTGCCCCTGTTATTCTCCTTTACATGTAGGGAAACCACAGCTTGGAGATGCTCTGCCTCTAGAGGGCGACAGTGACACAGAAGTGCCCTTGATAAGGACCCAGAAGATCTGGGCGCAAATGAATATATGTACATCTTCATGACAGAAAATTTGAAAAATATGGAAAATCACAAAGAAAAACATTTGGCCTATAATGTCATGCCCCGAAACAATCACTTAACATTATTGCTACCTTTCTTTCCCCTGCTTTTCCTACACATTTTAAAAATAAATTGCTTTCAGATTGTTTTGAAACATGCTTTTATCATCTACCAGTAACTCCTAAACATTCAGTTTCATTTGTTCATCTGTACCTTCATTATGTAGATGAACCAAGCCTCTATTTCTGCTCATTTCAGGTGTTCCTGGGTTTTTTTTAAATTTATTTTATAAGCAACATTGTAATATCCATTTAAACAAAGCTTTCTGTGCACCCATGACTCTCTGCTGAGCATATACTCCTAGAAGTGGGCTTCTTGGACCAAAAGGAAGAGTGTGTTTCAATATACATCATTCATCTGCCCCCGAAAGGCTGTCCCTCTTTCCACTGGAGTCCTCTATGTGAGAGAAACATGCTTGTTGCTAAATCCATGTCCTTGGGCTCTCTGCATAGGGAACCTACAGCCCTGGCTGCCCGCTTCCTCTCACAGTGTTTGGGTGTTCCTTTGAAATGGGACCAGATGTATTTCATCCTGAGGATGGACTGTATCCATTCCTTCATTCAGTTCATTCTTACATTTACTCAGTAATCCATCCTCGCAGCAGGACCTCAGAAATGGAGTTCCAGGAGTGCCCCACCCTCAGCTGCTGAGACTTGTTGTCGTTTTGTCCAGGTCATCACCTTGTCACCATTCCGCAACATCACTATGAAGCCCAAAGAGGTCCGGAAGCTGGAAGTCACCTTCGCCCCGCTAAAGCGTGTCCCTCCCTTCTCCGAGGAGGTGTTCATGGAGTGCATGGGGCTCCTGCGGCCCCTTTTCCTCATCAGCGGCTGCTGCCAGGCCCTGGAGATCTCCCTGGACCAGGAGCATCTTCCCTTTGGACCAGTCGTGTGTCAGACACAAGCCACGCGTCGCATCCTCATGTTGAACACGGGTGACGTGGGTGCAAGGTAGGAGAGCCCCCTGGGCCTGGATTCCCTGGGTGGTCCCCATGCCACAGGTGGAGGTAAGGCTCAAAGTGGTGCCCCCCACAGGCGCCCGCCCAGTCACCGTTCAGCACGCTGCCACAGCCGTGCCTACTGCACACCGCCGCCTTCAGGGGGCGCCCTGCACCCCGGTCTCCGGGGAGCAGTGCCCGGAAGCTGTGCTGTGGCAGCCCTGGCACTGAAAGCTCTGGTCTGCACCATCCTGCCTGGACCAAGGGCCAACCACAGAGGGGTGACCATGGGGCCAGCAGCTCCCGGGGCCACCAGGGTCAGGGGCAGCTCTCATGTGAAGGGATCGTCTCCACCCCCTGGATCAGACCCAAGAGGCAGTGCAGGGATCGGCCACGGCTACCAGCTCGGGAGGGTTCCAGTCCTGGCCTGACCACGTCCTAGCTGTGTGACCTCAGGCACCCATTGAAATGTGTTCAGGCACATGTCTCCCCAGTGGGTGTCCCTTGTGGACAGTAAGATAAGATGCACCACTTTCCACCCTTCTCAGCCCCTAGGGAGAGCGAAGAGAGTGCACCCAGGAATGACTTGGCCTTGGTCCCACACCCCAGCTTTTCCTGGCAGCCTTCCTTCTCCTAGGTCCCAGGAAGGGCAGGAGGGGATGAACCTCCCACCTGAAAACCAGACACAGTCTCTCTTCTCAGCTGCATTGAGGACACCACCGAGATAGTAACAAGCTATCTTTCTTGTCTCCTGTCTCGGAAAAGGTTCAAATGGGATGCCAGGAAACTTGAGCCTCCATTTACCATCAGCCCAGAAGAGGGCTATATCACCGCAGGCATGGAGGTTTCTTTCGAAGTGACTTACCATCCTACTGAGGTGGGCAAGGAGATTCTCCACAAAAACTTGCTCTGCTTCATCCAGGGAGGCAGTCCTCTGAGCCTAACCCTGTCCGGAGTGTGCGTGGGACCACCTTCAGTAAAAGAGGTCAGTAGGTGCTGCCAACAGATGGGCCAGTGGTGGGGTGGCCCGGCAAGCCCCCCAAGAGAGCTCAATCAGACTCTGTCCAAATGGTCCTCGGTGCCCACATCAAACATGCAGACCTGCTCCCTCTGCCACAGGGCCTCTGCACATGTTCTTCCCACTGCTGACATATTTCTTTCCCCCTCTCCATTTAGTTAATTCCTGTTTAGTCTTCAGCTCTCAACCCAGGCATCTTGTTCTAAAGGAAGATTATACCGACATCTCTGGCTAGACCACATTCTGTCATAAGCTCTCTGAGTAAATGGTGACACCTGGGTTAACCTCTCCTCACCCTGTCGCTCGAAGCCCTAGTAGTGGACACCTGATAGTTCCTGGCAACACTGCTTACGGTCATAATGACACTTGATCTGCATCTCTTGCTATTTCAACAACGTTATGTACATGGAATCACACCGTATGTTATAAAAGTGTATGTACAAGTCTTGGCAAGAATATATACTTTCATTTTCTTGGGTGAATATATAAGAGTGAAATGGCTGGATCGTAGGGTAGGTACATGTTTACCTTTTTAAGAACTTACCAAATTGTTTTCCAAAGTGGTTGTGTCATCTTACATCCCCATCAGCCACATCAGACGTTTCTACTTGCACCACATCCTTGCCAATGCTCAATATGGTCAGGTTTTTTAAAATTTTAGTCATTCTAATAGGTACATGATGATATCTTGTGGTTTTAAATTTGGATTTCCCTAATGACTAATGGTGTCAAGCATCTTTTCAGGTACTTCATTGCCATCTGTCTATCTTCTTTATTGAAGTATCTGTTCAAGTCATTTTTATTTGGGTTGTTTGTTTTCTTGTTTTACTGCGTTTTGAGAGCTCTGTGTATATTCAGGACATAAGTTTTGAATTTATATCTTCAGTCTGTTTAGAGTTCATTTTTGTATATAGTGTAAGATTATGGATCAAAATTCAAAAAATCCATTTTTTGTACATGGATATCCAGTTGTTCCAGAACCATTTACTTAATAGATTATTGTTTCTCCACTGAATTGCCTTTGCACTTTGGTCAAAAACCAATTGATCATATATGTGTGGGTCTCTTGCTAAACTATTCTCATCCCCTTGGTGAACTCTTTTGATTCCCTTTATACCAGCGCAACATTGTCCATGTTGCTAAATTTAGTGGCTGGTTCTCACTGCTCATCTTACTTGGCTTGTCAATAGCATTTGAACACCTTGAACAAGCCCCTCCTCCTTCAAGCACTTCCTTCATTGTGTGATCTCCAGGATACCACCCTCTCCTCGTTTTCCTCCCACTTTAATAGTTTCTGCTTCTCATCTCCCCTTTTGATTTTTCTTAACATTGGAGTGTACAGGATTTTAAGAATTAGTCCTAAAATTCCTTCTTTTTTTCTAAATACACTTACTTCTTGATGATCTCATCCAGTTTCTTGCCCTTAAAAAAAAATTGCTATACTGACAGCTCCCAAATGCATGTGTGTGTGTGTGTGTGTGTGTGTGTGTGTGTGTGCGTGTGTGTATGTGTAAACTTTCCTTTGAACTCCAGGCTTGTAAATTCCACTGTCTGCTTGAGGTGTCCATCTTCTTCCAGGTGGTGAATTTTACCTGCCAGGTGCGCTCCAAGCATACACAGACCATCATGCTTTCAAACCGCACCAACCAAACCTGGAATCTGCACCCCATCATTGAGGGTGAGCACTGGGAGGGGCCAGAGTTCATCACCCTGGAGCCTCATCAGCAAAACAAGCCCTACGAGATCACCTACCGGCCCCGCACCATGAACGTGGAGAACCGCAAGCATCAGGTAGGTTTAGCCCCACCTCCCACATTGGCTTCCTGGCATGGTTGGAGGAAGGAGCTGTGGGAGAGAGAATATTAGGACAAGGGGGGACCCTACAAATAATGTGGAAACCACAGGGAACTGTGTCCAAAGCTTATCAAGACCAAAGCTTCCCTTTTCATCCATATATTTTCATGTTGAGGGGCTTCTCTTGGAACCAGAAGCTCATCTCTGAAATGAAGTCCCAGATGAAGCATCAAGCAATTAACACTTAGTTTAAGTGCACAAATAACAACAAGGTGACTGTGATAAAGATTTAAAAAAGAAGCCACAATCTTCCACTCCCCTTACAAAAAAAGAACTGTTTTCTGTCTTCTTTACCAATCCTCACTCAAAGACAGCCATGGCTGCCATCATCGCATCCTCAGTTTTGCATCCTGTTTACTTTCACTTACATCACATCATGAGCATGTGTCTGTTTAACTGTGTGATCTTCATGGTGATCATTTTTACTGATTGACTAATATTTCACTAAGTGCCAGCTCCATAATTTATTTAACACCCTCAGTTGTTGGATGTTTAAGTTATCTCTAAATTTTCATCAATAGAAGTGATTCCAATATACATGTGTATCCCCAACGGCTTAGTGGCAAAGAATCTGCCTGCAATGCAGGAGATGGAAAAGACTGGCTCAATCTCTGGGTTGGGAATGTCCCCTGGAGGAGGAAATGGCAACCCACTCTAATATCCCTGCTTGAAAAATCCCTTGGAGGGAGGAGCCTGGTGGGCTACAGTCCAAAGGGTCACGAAAAGTCAGTCACGACTGAGTGACTGAGCGCGCACGTTTACGTATAACTTTTTCCTCTGCAGGGATTTTTCCCTGGGATGAGATTCCTGGTTCAAATACACATGAACATGTTTATGACTCTTGGAAACATATTATGAAGCTGCTTTCCAAAAGTGTTAAACCTATTTGCGTACCTTCGTTAATCCTGTGTCGCTGCCATGCCCGAGAGGTAGCTGATAAAGGACCCACTGTGTCACGCTCACCACGGCTGTTCTTCTCTTAGGGCACCCTCTTCTTCCCGCTCCCAGATGGGACTGGCTGGCTGTACCAGCTGCACGGGACGTCTGAGCTCCCTAAGGCTGTGGCCAATATCTACCGTGAAGTGCCATGTAAAACACCCTACACTGAGCTCCTGCCAATCACCAACTGGCTGAACAAGCCCCAGAGGTGAGAGAATAGGTGGGGGATGAAGAGGGGACGGAGGGAGGACGCACAGTGTCGAGCCTGGCCCTTTGTGCTGCTGCCAGGCATTGCCTGGCCTGCGCCCCACAGAGTGTCCTATCCAGGGCTGTCTGTGAGCAGCTGATGCCTTGTAAATCTCCTGGAAGTGTGCCAGGCACAAAATAAGTGCTCAATAAATGTTAGCTGTCATTATTATCAAAATGATAATCGTGGTGGTTATTATTGAAAGCCCTGTCTTATCACATCAGCCACTGGCCAGATCCTCGGATCTTGTATTTGCGGAGCGAAAAGGAGCTAGAGGAGCCAGAGGCCAGACGGGTCCCCTCTTGTGGAAAAGGAGCTAGAGGAGCCGGAGGCCAGACGGGGCCCCTCTCTTGTGGAAAAGGAGCCAAAGGCTGGGAGAAGAGAGCTACCTGCTCGGCACAGTGGATAAAGGCCCAGGCCCGAGTCTGAATGCTAGTTCTGCCTGTTACTCGGCACTGCTACCTGAGCATGGCGTCTTCCTTCTCTCCGCCTCAACTTCTTCCCTTGTAAAATAGAGAGGATAACGAGATGTACCTCCTACAGACACTGTGTGGTGACTAAAAGCTTGTAATGTAACCCATGTGGAGCAGGACTCAGTACCTGACACATAATAGGCAGTTATTAAATGGTAGTTTCTGTTATTACTAGTGACAGTGTGGAGGCTAGAACCCTGGGTCCACATGCTTTCTGTGAAATCAAGAGTGGACAAGGTAACTTGCCTTCTTTCCTTTGGGAAAACTGTCTCATTTCATCCTCTCTTCTTGCACCCCTGTGTTCCCCCAGATTCCGGGTCATTGTGGAAATATTGAAACCAGAGAAGCCTGACCTGAGTGTCACCTTAAAGGGCCTTGATTACATTGATGTGCTGTCCTCCTCCAAGAAAGATTACAAGCTGAACTTCTTCTCCTACAAGGAGGGACTATACACAGCAAAGGTATCCACACACTAAAGGCATTGCCCTGGGACCCTGGAGGTTTGGCCCTGACGTTGATGATCCTGGTGTTGGGAGGGAAGATATACCCTCCCTTATCCTGCGAGACTGACCATTTAGAGGGACCAGACCCTTTAAGATAAAACTAGATAGTCAGCTAACATGTAGGTCCATACCAAGCCCTCAAGGCGGCAGAATCATGAAAATCCTGAAGCAGTAGGTAACACTGGGCATCAGACACCAGACCACAATAATAAGAGCGAAAAGATCCCTTTTCTGAGGGTTGAGAGAGCGCCCAGCATCAGGCTGAGCCCTTGACATAGCTAGTGACGTCAGAGCCAGGATTCATCTCAGAGCCAGTGACTCCAGGACTCCACAGGGTCCTTCACGCATGAACTGTTTCTCCTGACTCATTCATCAGTATAGCAAGCATCTCTTGAGCACATGTACCATATGCTATACTACATGCTGATAACTTAGCAGTGACCAAAAATAGGCACAGTCTCTGTTCTGGAACACGCAGTTCAGTGGAGGAGATGAGCGTGCATCATGTGATTGCACTCTGAATGGGTCACTTCAAAAGGGCGTAAGTGCATTGAGGAAAAGGAGTACATGGTTCAGTGGTTCAGTGAGAGGTCAGGGCTGAAGAGATCTTACAGGAATTATCCACCTACAGATAGTGCTTGACACCAAGATGGAGAATGGAATCACCTAGGGAAAGATTTTAAAGCAAAAAAAATAGCACATGAGCACAAAGAAATGGCAAGAATGAAAGGAAATAATGACAAGTACTGGCAAGGGTGTGGAGAAAATGGATTTTCATGTGTCGCTCACTGGTGGGAGTGAAATAGTGAAGCTACTTTGGAAGACAGTCTGGCAGCTCCTCAAATGGATAAACAGAGTTACCATAGAATTCAGCAATTTCTTCCCAAAATAAGTGAAAACATATGTCCACACAAAAGCCTATATATAAACGTTCATAGCAGCATTATTGGTAAGAGCTAAAAAATGGAAACAACCTAAATTTCCATCAACTGGTGAACAGAGAAATACAATGGAATATTATTTGGCAACAAAAAGTGACAGGAACTGAGTACTGATACAGGCAACACTGAAATGAACCCTGCAAACATTACACTATGTGAACAAAGCCAGTCACAAGTGGCTACATATTGTATGATTTTTTTATATGAAATGTCCAGAATAGGAAAGTCTATAGGAACAAAAAGTAGCCTAGCGGTGCCTAGGACTGGAGGGGATGGGTTAGGGGGACATGGGAATGATTGTTACTGGATAAAGGGGTTCTTTTGAGGGTGACGAAGGTGAGTGGTGATGGCTGGTGTGAATATACTAAAAAAGCACTAGACCGTGCTGCTCTCGCCTCTTCTAAAGCAACCCAGGTTCCTCCATGCTTGCTCACCTGGAAGGAGCCAGAGCAGAACACCTGAAGAGAGGGGCTGGGTGGCGGGGTTCACATAGGCTAGGAGGGCCCATATCAGCCTGGGCCCCATGCTTCACATGCCCAGGCATTGCTGATGGCGAGAAGGATCCTGTCGATGGTGGAAGACCCCGAACTAACTCCTCTGCCCCACCCCACTTCCTCCCACTCTCTCTGTGAATCCAGGTGATCTTCCGAAACGAGGTGACCAACGAGTTCTTATACTACACGTTGAGTTTCAGGGTCATCCCTTCAGGCGTCATCAAAACCATCGAGATGGTGAGCCCCGTCCGGCAGAGCACCTCGGCCTCCATCAAGCTGGAAAACCCCCTGCCCTACATGGTGACCTTCTCCACGGAATGCAGGATGCCCGACATCAGCCTGCCCTCCCAGTTTGTGGTGCCGGCCAACTCTGAGGTATGGCCCTGCCTGGGGGGGCTCCCCACTGGATATCTGTGATGGAGACTCTGCCCGGGGGGCCTCTGGACCCACTTCTGCATCCTTGAGTTGGGGCAGCCTGGCAGTGGTCAGGAAGGCAGAGGACGACCGATCCATCATGGTCCTGTTCTCTCCTTTGACCTGCTGCCCATGTCCTGATATAAACCAGGGCCACATAGAGCTTTGGCTCAGGCATGTTAAAGGAATTAATTTATTAGCCACTGGGGCTTCCCTGGTAGCTCAGACAGTAAAAATCTGCCCTCATTTCAGGAGACCCAGGTTAAATCCCTGGGTCGGGAAGATACCCTGGAGAAGGAAATGACAACCCACTCCAGTACTCTTGCCTGGAGAATTCCATGGACAGAGGAGCCTGGTGGGCTACAGTCCATGGGGTCGCAGAGAGTCAGACATGACCGAGCAAGTAATACTAGCTGTCTCTGTTACATGTTTGTTTGTCCTGCTCAATTTAAATTATTTTTCTTCCTTTTCCTAATTATATAAGTCACATGGAATATATGTAGTGAAAGGGACAGCAAGGGATATGTAATAGTGTTGCTGGATCAGTTGATAATAGTTTTATTAGATGTTTTGTATATATGCTCAGTAAGGAAACTGGCATCCAGTTTTCCTTTCTTCTATTAGCCTTGTTGGAGTCTGCTGTCAGACTATGCTCATTGAGGTAGGTTTCCTCCTATTCTTTTCTATGGGAGAATTTGTGGAGTATTAGATGGGTAAAAAGAAAGCTTTGTGATCCTGGAATTTTGTTAAGGGAAATTTTTTTTTACTATTGATTAAATATCTTTAATGGTTATAGGGCTATATGGGTTTTCTTTATCTTTTTGAGTCTGTTGTGGTAAGTTATATTTGTTTACACATTTGTCCATTTTCATCTAAATTTTTTAACTGTGGTAAAATCATGTAAATTTTAACGCTGCATTTTTTTTCTGTTAAACATCTACAACAACTTTAACGATATCCTCTTTATTTTTCAGTAAGACCCAGTTTTTTTTAAGAAACAATATCTGTTCATGACAAAAAGACTATTTTATCTCTATAACAGTACATGAAACAGAAAATAAAAGTACTGGGACTTCCTGGCGGTCCAGTGGTTAAGACTCCGTGCTTCCACTGCAGGGACCACAGGTACAATCCCTGGTCAGGGAACTAAAATGCTACATGCCACTTGGCATGGTCAAAAAAAAAGAATAGAAAAGTCCCCAAAATCTCATTTCCCTCACCCTAAGACAATTACTGGTAACAGTTCAATATAGCCTTGATGTGTCTTTTCTATACATATGTAGACATATTCCTCTCCACAACAATGAACTCATATATATTTCTGGAATCTTCTTTTTTCCACTTAAAATATTATTACCACCTTTTATTTCAATAATTAGAGCTTTGGTGCTTCCTTTTTAATGGCTGCATAATATTCCACAGAAGTAAGTATAATTTATTTATCCAGTCTTTTACTGCTAACACATTGGAATTATTGCCCTTATTTTGCTTTTATAAGCAATACTCTTTGGTTCTTGTTTTGTTTTGCTTTGGATGACAATAGAGGAAGCAGAATGCCTCCCCCAAATGATGGTAGAACCCCAGAAGCTGGCTGGAGATTATCCACGAGCAGAGAAGGAGCTGCCTGACCTTTAGCCCTCCTGCTCCCCCAGCCCACCCACTCCTGTCTCTGTAATTACACTTCTCAAGAGAGGATCCAGTACCTATTTTTATATTCAGAGAGATTCCAGATACAGAAATACCCCGACTAGGGAAAAATTCCAGGGAGGAAAAGTGGGCTGGTTTGGACAGAGGTTCCCCAGGCTCAGGATCAGTGTGAGTATCTACCGCCAACCTGCTCTGAGGTCCTCAGAGGGGCAGAGGAGAGGCGGACATTCAGCATCACAGGAGCCTCTGTCTTCTCTTGCAGGGAACGTTCATATTTGAATTCCAGCCCCTGAAAGCTGGAGAAGCCTTCGGGAAACTGACACTGCACAACAGCGACCTGGGTTACTACCCATATGAGCTCAATTTGAAAGCCTTGCCAGCACTGCCTGAAAAGCCTGTCCACTTCCAGACTGTTCTTGGCAGCGGCCAGAGCATCTTTGCCAAGTTCACCAATTACACTCGGCAGAAGACAGAATACTACTGCAGGGTAAGCAGCCCCGGCCCCACCCTCTGCCCTTCACTTTCCAGAAGTTTGGGCTCAGAAATAATGGGAGGAGGACACTGGGGTGCAGAAATAGGAAACTCATACTCAGGGCCTTCATCTAGTTGAAAACTCCCAGCTAGAAACAAGAGTATCAGAAAGAATATCAGGTCTGGGTTCCTCCTCACGAGTTTAACAAGCTGGAGTGTGGCAGGGGGCAGCATTGCTCAGCGGTGGATACAGAGACAGTTGTTTCTGGGGGAGGTTCTATTTCAGTAGTTAATCCTATATTCACACTGATGTAATAGGGAGCATATATGGAACACTTGCTGTGGGCCAGGCTCAGTTTTACATGCATATTTTTAAAATCCTGACAGCTATCCTGTGAGAGTATTGGTAAGTTATTGGTAAGCTCTACTGAGAGCTCAGTGGTCATGAGTATATGCTATGAAATCCAGCAGACCTGGATTTGAATCCTCACTTCACTGTTTATTCTTTGTGTGAATAACTTACGAATACTCTCACAGGATAGCTGTCAGGATTTTTTAAATATGCATGTAAAACTGAGCCTGGCCCATAGCAAGTATTCCATATATGTCACCTATTACATCAGTGTGAATATAGGATTAACTACTGAAACAGAACCTCCCCCAAACCAACAAAATAAAATTTATTCCTCTCTCAGACAGCAGCGTGGGCTTAGGGTTAGGTACTGTGACATCAGGCACCCAGACCCCTTTGTCCTGATGTGCTTCCTTCTATAGAGAGTCGCTTTGGTCCACGTGGCCCAAGATGGTTTACTGTGGCGTCCTCATTGCAGCCAGCTACCATGGGGAAGGCGGGGAGCTGTGTACCTCACTTCCACTCACACTTACTGAAGAAACCTTCATACGACCACACCCGGCAACAAGGGGCAGTAGGAGTGCCTAGGAGCACACTGGGACTGTGGCCTTACGGTTGGCGGCACGTGCCCACTCAACACTGCCGTCCCATGGCCATGGTCACGAGGCAGAGGCTCTTTTTGTTTGTTTTTTTTTTTTAATTGAGGTATAGTTGTACAATTTTACATAAGTTTCAGGTGTACAAGATAGTGGTTCACAATTTTCAAAGAGGCATAGGCTCCTGGTCATCCCATCCATCAGGAGAAGCCTAATTATGCTGCAGTAACAAACAGTTCCAGTGTCTCAGTGGCTCTAAAACAATAAAGTCTCCTTTAGCGCCTCTCTGTGTAGTCACAGTCCACGAGGGATGCAGGCTAAAGGGCACCCACCATCTCAGATGTCCCAGCCGTAGGGGCAAAGGGGTGACGAGACCCCAGAGGGACCTGCACTGCACCTAAACACTCCGGTGTGGAGGGACGCCTTGCACTTCTGTTCTCCACTTATTGTCCAGATCTAGCGCACCCCACCTCCAATCCACGAGGAGCCGGAAAGTCCAGCCCTCCTTGCCTGTGGAAGGAAGGAAGCGCAGGTACAGGCGAGCAGCCCCAAGGACCGCTGCCCACATCACCCTGCCTCAGTTCCTCTTGGCCTTGGTTTCTTCTTAGTAAACTAGGGATAAACTAGTAATACCTACTCCTCAAGAGAGTCACAAGGACTCGACTCTTGTACAGCCTGCCCTGCCTCACACGAGCCTAGGTTGCTCATGTCAGAGGGTGGGGCGCTCGGGAGGGCCCGGAGCTGCAGGTTCGCTCCTCAGGGTCCAGGGTGAGCCGAGCACGTGTGTTCCCCTTTCAGACCGACTGTCCGGACTTCCACACTGAAAAGATCATCTACGCGGCGCCTGGGGCGCAGGGTGGCACGGAGGTCAGCGTGGAGGTGTACTTCGAGCCCAGCCACCTGGGCGAGAGCAAGGGCAGCCTGAGCCTGTCGTCGCTGGCGGGCGGCGAGTACACCATCCCCCTCTTCGGGGTGGCTCTGCCCCCCAAGCCGCAAGGCCCCTTCCTGATCCGAGCCGGTTACAGCATCGTCATCCCCTTCAAGAACGTCTTCTACCGCCCGGTCACCTTCTCCTTCATTGTGGAGAACACCGCGTTCTCCATCCGCGCCATGGACTCTGTGAAGCCCAAGAAGGTCAACAACATCACGGTCTACTTCGAAGGGAACCCATCGGGCAGCAAAACACCCATCACCAGCAAGCTGATTGTAACCTGCCCGCCCGGCGAAGGCAGCGACACTGGAATTAAGTGGATTTATTACCTGAAGGGGATCACCCCGTAGTGAGAACCAGGGTTGGCAGCATCATCAAAAATCCATCTCATCAGCCCTTACGACCTTTGTGTTCTAAGCCCCACAAAGAATAGAGAAAATAATGAGAACTCTAAAGGTACTATCTCCAATTCAGTTATAAGGGCACTTATTTCCATACTATATAAATTCCAAATATCTATATGAAATACAGATACCCCATGTTTAACACGGTAACTATATAAAACAGAGCTATATTTTACTTTGCAAGAGCAAGTCTCTAAATTTGGTTTCTTAATATACCTACAAAGCCCAGGCACTGTGTAATAATCCCCACGTTTAATAAGGTGACCTTCCCTCACATGACACTTAGCAGCACATGACTCTGGGGCCCTGCAGTTTCTTTTTAAAACCCATGATGGCTTCAAGAGCCCTTAGCCATGACTCTGTTTTGACACTGTATTTTATTCTGCTTTCATATGAAAGCCAAACAAGTTACTACTTTCAAAGCAAAGAGCAGATCCATCAAGGCAATTATTGCAGGGGCAGAAGTTGGGGTGCTCCCCCATCTCTGGGTCCCTGATCTGTTTCCCATAGAAAGTTCTCACAGATGGCCAGATCCTGGAGAGATGCTAATAGAGACCCCAGTTCCCCCAACCCCACTCAGCTTGCAGAGCAGTGAGTCTCTGCCTAATTCTGATCCAGACCCCACCTCCCCAAATACTGATTTAGTCAGTCCAGGGAGGGACCTGGCATCTTTTTAGCTTGTATAGCAGAGTTGAGAAGCAGTGCTACAGATCAGAACCCATCTGGCCAGTCATGCTGCAGCCGGTCAGGAGTGTGCTTCCAGGGGGACCATGTCTCAGGTGGATGCGTTTTAGCTCCAGCTGTCTTGTGTGCTCACAAAGGGTGACAGTCTGGTTGGGGCCCTTCTTCAGAGGAAAGGCACCATGGAGGCCCCAGCTCTGGGGAGAGTGCCTCCCTGAACTCTCCCCGGGGTCCTGCAGTGGTCTTAATAGAGCCACTCACCCGTTGGCACCACCTGTTGACATAAAGTTGGTTGAAGACTGGCCCTCAGGCATAGGAGTGGAGGGCCAACAGGCTTCTGAACAAACGCGCACACACACCTATGCCTGAAGGTCCCCAGCCTCCACCTCCTCCCTTCTCCTCATCCACTCCACCTTCAAGAGAAGGAGGCATCAAAGAACCTCCATGGTCTTTTGGGAATGGATGCTCCCAAGAGGTGGTGCTCAGAAATGATCCCTGGACCGACAGCCTGAGGATCACCTGGGAATTTATTTAAAAATGCAAGTTCTCAGGGCCAGCCCTAGACCTACTGAGTCAGAAGCTCCAGGGGTGTGGCCCAGAAATCTGTGTTTTTAACCAGACCTTATGGTTACTGGAGGTGTTTTCTAATGGACAGAGATTCTTCCGCCTCTTTGTACCTCCCTCCGACCCTCAGCCCGTTACACCTGACATAGCTATACCAGGTGAAGCCTCTCCTAAAGAGGCTGAAGACACACGCTTGAGAGCTCATTTTTGTGACCACTGAAGACCGTGCTATAGGAATAAGGTTGAAGAACAAGACGACAGATATTCCCAGTGATTAATGAGCAGCACGCCGAGGGGGCACAGAGTAAGGAGCACGTCCTCTAACCAGCCAGTACAGAGTCCGAAGAAGCCAATGGTTCTCTAACTCAGTATCGATCAGAATGACCCTAAGGACTTGCTGACGCCCAGACTGCTGGGCCCCACCCTCAGAGGGCCTGATTTAGTAGGTTTGGGTGGCCCGGGGAATTTGCATTTCTGCCCGGTTCTTAGGGACGCCATCGCTGCCCACGTGGTCAGCACAGCTCTGAAGCCTGGCATCAGTGGCACCTAGGAATGCAGACTCTCAGGCCCGCCTGGACCTACTGAGTCAGAATCTGCATGTTAATGCCCTCCTGGGTGGGGGTGGGGCTGAGTGCACAGTGCAGGGGAGAGCATGGCTGTAAAGGCCCCAGGGGAACCGGAGCCTTTGCCGATCCCACAGCCCCTAGCTCTTCATTAGAGCCCTGGAGAGAATCTCACCAACTCTGCTTACAGCCTAGTGAGTGAAATGGGCACCTCCCCCCAAAATGCCCCCCTCCCACCCATTCCCCAGAGGCAGATCTGGGGGGAGGGGAGCCATTGGCCCATCACCAGCTTCTTCTAAAAGGGTAAACCTTTTCAACAGTTTTAAACCCCGTATGATAGACAGCTCTTAAGACTGCAGGAAAGAGGGAGGAAGCTGTGCAGAAGTTAGCTAAAACATCCATGGTCCGAGCACAGTGAGACTCCTCTGTGAGGGTCAAGACTCAGCTATGTTCCCCTGAGGCTGTGGGGCTCCCAGCCACCACCCTAGACACTGGCTGCTACAGAAACCCGTCACTTCCCAGTATCACCACCAGCGAAACAGTGCCTTTCGGTGGCCAGGGACAACTCCACGGCTTCAGCCCCGTCCTGCTCCAGCCAGCCACTAAGTCTGGGGCCCAAGCATCATAGGCCTGGAGACACATGTCCCTGGGACCAAGCACCCAGCCCAGACCCTGCCCCAGCATGAACCCACTTCCGGGATGACTTGACATGGGGTACATCACTTTCCTGTACGTGGTTCTTACATTTCCTTGGCCTCGAAAAAGGCAACGATGAAAATCATTTCATATTAGTATGTTTGGAATGACAGAATAGCTCAACAGAGGGCTGGAGGGGAGGCGTGGTGAAAACAAGCATCCTATCAAAAGCTCATAGAAGTTACATTTGAAAGAACACTTTCTCAGCAAAGCAGACCAAGAGATGTCTCACTGAGGGGGATGCTGAGAAAATATCAGGGCCCAGGTGGCACAATTCCAGAGACCATGGTGCTTGGAAAATGATTGTGAATGCTACGCCCTGACGCCATTCGTTCTACACGGAGGCCCTGGTGAGTATGGCATCCTGGTGAGTCTAGACACTTCTCTGGGCTAGACGGGCCTCGGGTCAGAGGTGATTATATTGTGACATCACGAGGGACTGCCAGATACTAAGAAATGCCAAATGTGGGATCTCCCAAGCCTCTTAGACCCTCAACATACTGCCCTGACACTCCAGCAAAATCACACTGCTGTTGGCAAAACTGCTTTGTGCAGTTCAAGATTGAGGGTCACTGTCTTAAAGTCTCAGAAGCCCCTTCTTGCTATATAATGCCCATAAGTTATGTGTCACTAACCAGGTGTCATCACACATGTGCAGATGAGCTGCAACTGTGAAATGATGGCTAGTGTGTAAGCAGACGTACTCATTATCCACTAGTCTGGAGGAGTCTGAGCAAAGCAGGCCTGGCCAGGGCCAGTCCCCACGGACAGAGACGTGAGCACATAGAGAAGGCAACGGAGGCCCTTGGGCTTTGTTCTCAGTATCCCTGCCAAATTATGGGTGAAAAACTTAATTAGCTGACACTTTCCAAGATATCAGAAAAACAACAATAACCATTATTTCCAGGAACTTCTGAACTAAAGGTAGGACAAAACATTGATTTGGGCCTTGAGCAAAAAACTGGTTTCTTAGCAACCTAGGCCAGAATGTGATTTCAGAAGAAAAGAGTTTCTTCTGGTAAAAAAAAAAAATAAACATCCCCTTATTGTTTCAATTATTTAAAAACTCTATCACATTATGACCCATGAGAAATTCAGTTCACCTTTAAGAAAAAGCCAAACCAAACAGCAAAAGAAACATGAACAATTATATTAGATATGGGTCTAGTGGAAATGAGTACACACTAGAGAAATAGATCCAAATTGTTCCCATTGATTTTTTTCATGGTTTTACATCAACTATCATCAAAATTCTAAAGACATAAACCTTACAAGACATTTAGAAATGCCCTTATCAGTGCTACTTGGTGTCAAGGTACCAGGAGGAAGCTGTTAAGCCATGCATTGTCTTCTGGAGATAAATCTGTATTTGGAGCAGTTTTCAGATTGTTGCTGCACCCACCTTTATTTGTAAGATTATATTGGCAGGGGTTTTAAAAGCTGTGCAGACCCCCACCAGGAAAGGAAAGCACAATTTATGTTTTATAAAAATATATCAGTATTCAAGCCCATGATTTTAAGGCATAAGCAAGGTTGAAACGGTTCTATGAAGACCTACAAGACTTTTAGAACCAACACCCAAAAAAGATGTCCTTTTCATTATAGAAGACTGGAATGCAAAAGTAGGAAGTCAAGAAATGCCTGGAGTAACAGGCAAATTTGGCTTGGAGTACAGAATGAAGCAGGACAAAGGCTAATAGAGTTTTGCCAAGAGAACGCACTGGTCATAGCAAACACCCTCTTCCAACAACACAAGAAAAGATGCTACACATGGACATCACCAGATGGCCAACACTAAAATGAGATTGATTATATTCTTTGCAGCCAAAGATGGAGAAGCTCTATACAGTCAGCAAAAACAAGACCAGGAGCTGACTGTGGCTCAGCTCATGAACTCCTTATTGCCAAATTCAGACTTAAGTTGAAGAAAGTAGGGAAAACCACTAGACCACTAAGGTATGACCTAAATCAAATCTCTTGCAGTTATACAGTGGAAGTGAGAAATAGATTTAAGAGACTAGATCTGATAGAGTGCCTGATGAACTAGGGACAGAGGTTCGTGACATTGTACAGGAGGCAGTGATTAAGACCATCCCCAAGAAAAAGAAATGCAAAAAAGCAAAATGGTTGTCTGAGGAGGCCTTTCAAAAATCTGGGAAAAGAAGAGAAGTGAAAAGCAAAGGAGAAAAGGAAAGATATACCCATTTGAATGCAGAGTTCCAAAGAATAGCAAGGAGATATAAAGCCATCCTCACTGATCAGTGCAAAGAAATAGAGGAAAACAATACAATGGGAAAGACTAGAGATCTCTTCAAGAAAATCAGAGATACCAAGGGAACATTTCTTGCAAAGATGGGCTCAATAAAGGACAGAAATGGTATGGACTTAACAGAAGCAGAAGATATTAAGAAGAGGTGGCAAGAATTACACAGAAGAACTGTA